CGGGGGGGGGGGGAGAGGAGTTTGACCTTCTCACCTAATATCCGTTATCCGTTACAATGACGAATGGGTGGCTTATACTTTATTATCCTGTGAATCCCACACCATGAGCTGTTATTACATTTAAATCGATTTCTTTTTATATATAGTATGTATTACTATTTCTTTCAAATGTGTCTAAATACAAGTCTCTATTAAAAATTAAATATGTCATCCTTTTGGTATCCGGATTCTTTGGCTAAATCATTAACATATTCCACAAAAGCTGGTGGTCCACAAACAACAAGTTTACCATCTGAACCAGTTGGTGAAAAAAATTCAAAATCAGATTTCTTAACAAATTCTCCAGTAACATATTTGATATCTAAATCAGGATATTTCAGAGCCATGTTGTCTAATTCATCTTTTAATAAAATATCAGTTTCTTCATTATTGGCAAACAATAATTTGATTTTAGTATTATCTTCCAAATTAGTAATAATTCTGGTGATGATTTGTAACATTGGAGTTATACCAGTACCACCAGCAATCAATCCAACTTCTTTATATTCATTAGGAATGTAATTAAGTCTACCGAATGGACCTCTAAACTTAACAGTTTGACCAATTTGAACATTTGCCAATTTTCTAGTAACAACACCATTTTTATAATGTTTAACCAAAATATCAAAGAATCCAGTATCAAATTGATTAGAAATAGGAGTATAATATCTAACCTCATCCTTTCCATCAACATTAAAACAACAAGCCAATGAATGACCAGTTGGAATATCTAAAACTTCATCATCTTTACCTAATTTAAATCTGTAAATAGCAGTCATTGGACCGATTAAAGTCTTATCCAATAATTCAAAATCTTGCCATTTAACAGCATGCATAGAAGATCTACGTTTAATAGCACCATAAATTTGCATTGAACAAATAATGACAATAAAAGCAATGGAATATGGCATATATTCCCATCCAAAGATCCATGTACCAAACAAAATTAAACCAATAGGTATATAAATACCATGTATAGGTTGCTTGAGTAATTCTCTTTTATCTTCCATAGTTGAACTGGTAGTCGTTAAGAAGTTAAGAAATGATCTGTTAATTCACAAAACAAAACAAAACAAAACAAAAAAAGTGGATATTCTTTATTAAAAAAAAAAATGAAAAGAAGAATTAACACTGAAAAAGTAAGATTTAAAGTGGAAAAAAAAAAGAAAGAAAAGAGAAACATAGGAACTGCACTTCAAGCACGAAAAGAAAAGACCAAAAAAAAAAAAAAACTCACTAAATAATTCGCCAGTACACGTACTTCGGAATATAACCGATCAACAACAATCTACGGGGGGGAATAATAAACTATGGATTTTATATTTCTTATGGAATATAGAATATAGAATATAGAATATAGGGTATGTTTATATAAGAATTAGAGGTATATAAAAAAAATCAAATACTAAAAGTAAAAAATAAGAATAAGGAAGAAAAAAAAAGACTATAGAACCCAAAATTAACATGAATAAATGAAAACATTTATATCAACCAATGATAGCAAATAAAAAAAATTAAACTTCAGATTTAATGAAAAGAAAATAGAGATTTTATTAAAAGAATTTGGATATTCTAGAATGAAAGAAAAGAAAAACTAATATTCTTCTTCTTCTTCTGGGAAAGAATCAGTACCAACTTCAATGTAATCTCTTTCTAATGCAGCCAAATCTTCTCTAGCTTCAGTAAATTCACCTTCTTCCATACCTTCACCAACGTACCAGTGAACGAAAGCTCTCTTGGAGTACATCAAGTCGAATTTTCTGTCAATTCTTCTCCAAGCTTCAGCAATAGCGGTAGTGTTAGATAACATACAGACAGCTCTGGAGGCACTGGCTAATTCAGAACCTTGGATAGCAGTAGGTGGTTGGTAACAGATACCAATCTTGAAACCAGTTGGACACCAGTCAACCAATTGAACAGTCTTTTTAGCTTTAACTTGGGCAACAGCATTTTGAACATCTCTAGTGACAACATCACCACGATATAACAAACAAGTAGCCATATATTTTCCAGTTCTTGGATCACATTTAACCATTTGGTTACCTGGTTCAAAACAAGATTGGGTGATTTCAGAAACAGAATTGGCTTCGTGGGTGGCTCTGGTCTTGGAGAAAACTGGAGCATAACTAACCAATGGAAAATGGATTCTTGGGTATGGGACCAAGTTGGTTTGGAATTCATTCAAATCAACATTCAAAGAACCATCAAATCTTAAGGATGCAGTAACTGAGGAAACAACTTGAGCAATCAAATTGTTCAATGAACTAAAGTTTGGTCTTGAAATATCCAAGTTTCTTCTGCACATATCATAAATAGCTTCGTTATCAACCATGAAAGTACAATCAGCGTGTTCCAAGGTGGTGTGGGTAGTCAAAACAGTGTTATATGGTTCAACAACAGAAGTAGAGACTTGTGGAGCTGGGTAAACAGCAAATTCCAATTTGGATTTCTTACCGTAATCCAAGGACAATTGTTCCAATAACAAAGAACCCAAACCAGAACCGGTACCACCACCCAAGGAGTGAGTGAAAAGGAAACCTTGCAAACCATCACATTGGTCACTCATTCTTCTAACTCTGTCTAAAACATCATCCAAGATTTCTCTACCAACAGTGTAATGACCTCTGGCGTAGTTATTGGCAGCATCTTCTTTACCAGCAATTAATTGTTCTGGATGGAACAAGTCCTTGTAAATACCAGTACGGACTTCATCAATAACATTTGGTTCCAAATCAACATATAAGGCACGTGGAACATATTTACCTGAACCAGTTTCACTGAAAAAAGTAGAGAAACCTTCTTCACCACCCTTTGGTCTATCTAATCCTTCTTGTAAGTACCCATCTGGTCTGATACCATGTTCTTGTGAGTACAATTCCCAACATGCATTACCGATTTGACAACCGGCTTGACCGACTATAATAGATACTAGTTAGTATTCATAATTCACAATTAATAATTGATAGGCTGATTGATTGATTAAGGATGTTGTTAAATTCATAAAATCAAATGCGATTACTAATATTCGATCTGTTGACGACGTGTAACACGATTTGTTTTGATTTCCTTGATCTGTTGAAAATAGAGAATATAACAAAATTCAAACAATTCACTACCTAACTGTATTTGTTATTCAAGAACATACCATTGATACTAATAACTTCTCTCATTATAGTTTGATTTGATTAATGAAAATGTGTTGTTTAAGATCAAAACAAGAAAAAGAAGAAAAGAAAAAACGAATGCTGTTTATTCTTAGTGAAAGAGAGAGAAGAAAAAATTTTGCGTGTGTGTGTGCAATAGGGATTCTCACTCTCTGTTTTTTTTTTTGTTGATTTGTTTACATTTTCAAAACTTTCACGATAAATCTGAATCTTTTTTTTTCTTTCTTTTCGCCTTCTCAGTAAAAATGCAAAGAAGTTCGTGTACAAATTTCAAAATATTCTCGATTCGTGTAGAAAGTAAACAAACGAGCTACAAAATAGAAAACTAAAGAACTAAAAAGCGGCAAAAAAAAATCAAATGAAGCATTCTTTTTTCTCTCTCTCTCTCTCTTTGCATCAAGTTTACAACCCAATGTATGATCTCAACTTGGCAACAAATCCTTGGGGTTTGGATTTCAATCCCAATTTAACTTGCAAGTCTTCACCAGCATCACTCAAAACATCACCAACAGATCTTTCCCAGCTCTTAACGTTATCATAACCAGTAAATAATCTATTCTGGAAAGCAGCTAAATTGACCAATTCTCGTCTGTTCAAACGAGATAGCCAATCATAATTATAGCCAAAAGATCTAAGATATGCCTTTAAGTCTGCATTGGAGAATGCTCGAACAACATTATCCCACTGAGAGTTAATTCCTTTCTCGGTCTTCTTGGCAGTTTTGTAGACTTTGTTGTTGAATAATGACAATCCATACAAAGCTTTACGATAGATACCTTCAGCATATTCGCCAAAGAAAGTTTTATACTTGACATACCCCTTGTCAAACCCCTTTTGAGCTTCTGAGGCACGAGAATTGACATCGGCAGCAAGTTTGGAAACATGCTCTTGAGCTTTATCGTATTTGGCTTGAACATCAGCAGCAGCTTCATCGTATTGGTCGCTGATTTGAGATTCAATGGAGTCGTACCCATCTTTTGCATCACTTGCAATGGACAGACCTTTCTTTGAAGCTTGGGATTTAAGCGATTCATATTGCTCACCAGCTTTTTCTTGATAATTCTTGACTTCATCACTAACATCAAGTACCACTTGATTTGCAGCATCAACTCTATTGTCATAAGTAGCTTGAGCACCGTACCACCATCTGGTTAATCTATCCAAAGCACCACTTTGTAATTCATCAATGTTTTGACTCAACTTTTGGGTTAATGAATTGACATAGTTTTTACTAGATATATGGGCATCTTTGATAAAAGCAGCGATGTTATTCTTTCCCTTTTCAGCACCACGCAAAAACTCAAGAGAGTATGCATAGGATGACTCTTCAATTTGATCCAATGCATCAGCTGCAGAGAATTTGGCCTTGTCAAAGTTTTCCTTGGCCGCATCACTTCCCAGTTTGTAATACTCTTGAACCACTTCAAATCCCTTTTGGATTTGGTCTTCAGTTAATTTCTCATACTCTTTAGGATCCAAATTCTTCTCCAAGTAATGCTTGTACCCATTGATATCTGGAGTATAGAAACGAATTTGCAGTTCAATGTTATTGTACAAATTACTAGCACCATTCTTTAACCCTTCAAACTGTTTCTGGAATGCAGAAACCAAATCTTGTCTGGACCCTTCAATTTGCTGACCTTGATCCTTCAACCATTGTTTTATGGAGTCGGTGGAAACATCATCAACTACCCAAGCGTAAGTTTCAACGTGAATTGGATCAAACTTGTGTTTCTTTACCAATTCAATCAATTGATGCTTAGTGGTGAATATGGAATATGAAACTTTTCTGACATCCAAGAATTCACGCAATTTATCTTTGGACCAATTGTTAATACCAACAAAGAATGTGTCATTAATCCATTCATCAGCTTTATTCTTTCTTTGTTCCCCTTTAGTAATCCATGGTTGGTAATCCTTTTCAGTGTCAGCTAACCAAGTTTGGATATCACTCAACATATACTTCTTATAAGTCTGAGCAAGCTTGATCAATTCATCTTTGTTCAACTCTTCAACATAAACACCAGGTTTGGTGTCAATAAAACCATGCAAGTATAACCATTCACGCAATTGACTATAATTCCAGGTTTCAAAAAATTCATCCTTTATTTGACCATACTTGTCGAAAATTGACTTGTCAAATAAATCCAAAGAATTAAACAATGATTCCTTTGTGTCCTTTATAGAGTTGGTAGCCTGGTAACTCAATTCCTTCAACTTGTCAATCAATTCTTCACGAGTAGATTGAGGTTCAAAATCAATACCATAATCGGTCAACCATTTCTTTAAATCATCGTCTGACCATGAAGATTCATATAACCAATTTCCAGGGTAAAACTTGGATCCCTGGTTTGTTTCAGCAATTTTGTCAAATTCTTGTTTGATTTTTTCAATCAAATCTTGTCTGGTGTCTTCTTTATTAAAAGAAATACCATTTCTTGATAACAAATTTTGCAAATTGGTTACTGGCCAACTTTCAAAAATCCACTCCTTAATAGAATATTTTTCATGATCCTTGTTTCCAAACAAATAATTGAAATTCAAGAATTCAGAATCTTGATGTTGACCATGGTTCTGTTTGATGAACTTTTGATATTCCTTTTCCAATTTTTTAGCTTCTTGATTAGCCAAACTAATCAATTTTGGGTTTTCCAAGTTCTCATTAAATGAAACCTTTCTTTCTTTCAAGAATTGCTTTAAATCGCTATTTGACCATTGGTCAAATCCATAGTTCGCCAACACTGGAAGTATCAACAAATACAACCACAATATAATTGAAACCATCATTGTCTTTTATTCGTTTGTAGTATTCAAAGAAGAAAGAGTTGTGGATTTAATTAATTATAAATTTTTTTAAACTAACAATTATAGTGGAGAACACGGAGAGTGCCATTATTTAAATGCATTTGAATGTCATAGCAATCCTGAAAAACTTAAATTGCTATTCACTACTGTACGTAATTGCATTTTGGTTTAGGAGGGTTGCTGTTAAAACTGTGGAACACACCAATAGTGAGACGAACGAGAACTTCCAAAGAAAAAAAAAAAGCAATCAAGAACTTGTCGTGGTAGAACAATTTAGAATAAATTAGCAACCTTAAATATCAAGACTCTTAAAGTTCTGTACATCAAAGAAATTGAAACATGAAGTTGGGAATTGTATTCTGTTGATAGTATTGTTGTTGCTTAAAAAAATTTTGGATTATCAACATCTTGTACTTTCCCCATACCAGAAAAAATCTCACACAGAATTGAACGAGCGAGTTTGCAACTTCTATTCTAATTTTTTTTGTTTCAATCTTCGTTTCAAGTTTCTACTTCTATTACCCATGGTCAATAAAACAAAAAAAAAACCAGAACAATTGTCTCTTTACAAAATAACTTCTATTACTCTTTTTCTAAGCAAGCTCCTATATTTATGTCACTGGTTAGAACTTATCCATCGAATGTTTCAAACTCATCCAATACTTCGAAGTACATAGAGTTGCAACTACAGCATGATCGGTTATTTAAGCAACTAAGCTATGGACACATAAATTATGACATTGATGATTTGAATGAAATGAGACAAACCATTTACATAAATCAGATGCTTAAACATAATATTAGAATTAATCATATCATGAGTCTAGAAAGATCACGGTATAAGATGTGTCCAATACAAAGTCTGGCAACTCTGATGTTTGATCAAGACCTGGTACGAAATACAAATTTATTATCTGCCAATAGTAAATTGAATTCGGATAAAATCGAATATGTAACAAAATATCGATTAGTTGATTGCAAGCTTGTTAAAAATCAAGTAACTTCTAGCATAAAAAAGCCATCATCATCATCATTATCAATAAAAGAACGACTAAAACAACTACTTGAGAAAAAACCAAATGAAACAAACTCATGTACCTCGAGTCAAGTGGAACCAAGCCTGGAATTGAAACATGCCCATCGTGAGTTTTTGAGACATGAACTACAACGAATGAGAACCTCAATACCTTGAATGATTTAGCACCATTTTCATAGTTCTGTACATAGGGTTCCTTTTCTTTTTGACACCCTTTAATAATATATTTCCATGTCAGACCAACTAGTCGGTGCAACAATACCCAGATTGGGATAGCTGATTAAATTGATTTACACAAATTCCAAGATTTCCAATCACTTGTGGTTATTAGCAAAACTTTACACATTTGCAAATTTTTTCAACACAAGCTGTCAAAATAAAATTAGGTGGAATGTGGAGGGAGGGAGAGAAACTAGCAGCTGAAACTTTGAAATTCTCATTCCTTCTCCATTGTTATAACACCACTAAAAAACCCGCATTGTAGTGGTTCTTTGCTCCGCGCTTCGCGTCTGATAATTTTATTTTCCTTCCAAGTTTCGTATTGATAAATTCACATTTCAAACATGCCACTTGTTTAATTCTAAAACCATGTTTCAACAAAACATGTACACGTCAATCCTTTAAAATAAAAATTTGAGCTCCTATTTAAATAACTAAAGGATGTTCTGTCCGGTGAAAGATGATTGAAAAAAAAAAGAAGAAACCAAAAAAAGATCAAGTTTCAGTAAACTACCACCTAGTTCTTTGATCGTCAGTCTTGTTCATACATACTAATCATGAAATTATTCAAATCAGCATTGTTAGCAGTTGCTCAGACTCAATTGGCATTTTCTTTTATGATTGATAGAATTGATTCTTTTCAATTCAGTGAAGTAGCACCATACAAGTGTTGGAAATTTGACAATATCCATGGTGAAACTAAATTCAAATTCGATGTTACTCATATGGAATTAGGTCAGAAATTACCAGTTAATGTTCATGTTAATGTGGAGCTGATGCATTTAGATAAAGATCAAGGAGAAGAAGATTTCACTATTCAAAGGGATGCTTATACCGTGTATGAATCTGACATCAAAGAGAAAGAAGCATTTGATGTTTTAATTGAACAACCAGGTGAATATTGTGTCCTGTTTAATGAAAACTCCGAATACTATGGTCCTTTCAATGCTAATTTTGAAATTATTGAAAAAATTAATCCAATCAAAGTTTCTCAAGAATTATTCAACCATCGTGTTACTGCGCTTATCGGTGCTTTAGTTATTGGTGCCCTTGTTGCTCAATATAACATCAAAGATTTGAAAAACATGTCACCAATTTCCAGAAGACTTTTTGTTCTTGTTGTTTTGCATTTTGCTTATAACGTCGCTTTATGTTTCATTTCCAACCCAGCTAGAAGTGTTCTTTTCCAAAACACTATTGGTAGTGTTTTGACTTGTTGGAATACTTACGTGACAATTATGATTTATTTTGGAAGTGGGTTCAAGAACCTTGGTTACAGAGTTCCTTCCAATATGGCCTGGCTCAAGAGAGCAATTATGGCTGCACTTGTCATCACCACCACTGTTTCCACTTCAGTATTATCCAACTCTGTTGTTAAAAAAAGCATTATGGTAGATGGTCAACTTCAAGATATTTACTTGCACAAGGATAATGGTCCATATATTCTGCAACCATATCTCCAATCTCTTGTCAATGGGGTTGTTTCTGTTCTCGGTGTTGCACTTTTGGTATGTGTTACCATTCTCCCATTCATCTACGGATTTGTCATCTACAATCGTTTCAGTAAATCTGGTGAACACGTCAATCAAGAATTGATGAGAAAAACATTGGTTTTCCATGGTATTTATGCTTGGTTTATTGGTTCTGCATTATACTATTATTTTGATTTTATGAAATTATTTGAAGAGTATGTCCCAGTTGTTATTTTATTTGTCATCTGGTTCTCTGAAAGACCATATGTCGCTCTGAAAGGTTTTGAAGATTTTGGCAGTTTGAATGGTATTAAGGAATTCTATTTGTAAGAAGTATATAGACTTGGTATAAGAATTAAAAGACACGCATACTTTTACTATTACTTTTTACTTTTTACTTCTGTTTTGCAACAAACGAGATCGATGTTGATTTTCGTGATGTGTGGACGTGGACCCTTAACGGGAAAAGTAATTGAACATCTGTTCATTTTAACTTGGCAAAGATGTATACGTGTCTATTGTAAGAAGTAATGTTGTCATCATCATCACCAACAAATGTTGAATTAGTTAATATTGTCAGTGGGAGTTAGCCTGTGGGTGATGATCGGCGATCCTCAATTTTAATACTTTTATAACATTTTCCTTTCTGACATATCTAAACAAAAAATAAAATTCTAAAATAATATCATGATTTCTTTTACCATGATAAAATAAAGCTCCTCCTTTTTTATATCGCCTGTTCATAGAAAGTATATATAAAGAATATCATGTTCCTAAGATTGACATAATTTTTATTTTCTTTCTCTTGTTGATTAATCTATATCAATAATAATAATCACCATCTGCAGCATGAAGTTTTTTAATTTACTTCCATTATTAGCTTTTCAATTGAGGTTCATATCATGTGAACATTCCCATCTTCTTAATTCAATAAAAGTATTAGAATTTAATGAAAAATCAGAAGAACAATGTTTAACAGTTCCACATCTTGATAGTAAAACTAAATTTGATATTGAAATTGAAGGTATTGAAAAAAATCAAATCATGCCAATTAATGTTAAACATAATTCTGAACCAATGTCATTTGATTTTGCCAATGCAAAAGATAGACATGAATTAGAACTGAACATTCATACCACTACTATTTATGAAGGTATGTTTGAAGGAAATGGTAAGAAAATTATCGATATTTATAGACCAGGTAATTATTGTATTACTTTTAATAATGATTCTAAATTTATTGGATCATTTAAAGCTAAAGCTACATTAATTGAAGAAATTTTCCCAATTACAATTAAAAAAGAAATTAAAAAAGCTGCTATTAAATCAATAGTTGGTATTGTTGTTCTTGTTGGTATTATATTCAAGTATAACATAATGAGTGTTGATGCTTTTAAAGATTTAACTCCAGTTTGTCAAAGTTTAATGCTGGTTTTATTTGTTGAAATTGCGTATTTCAGTATTATGTTTTCATTGGAACTGTATTGTTCATTGTTTCCTAGTGGTTATGCTTATTTGATTGTTGAAAATTATCTTAAACGTGGTTTACATAGTGTTCAAGAATGTTGGAAAACTTATGTCATTGTTATGATTTATTTTGGTAGTGGATATAAAAACTTGGGTTATAAAGTACCTTCCAATATTCCAATTGCCGGTAGAATATTTTTGGGTGTTCTTTTAACTTTTATGTTGGTTATATTACCAAATCATTCAGTTAAAGTTGCTAAAAGAACAGTACTTATTGATGGTGAAGTTTCCGATAAATATTTAATGATTTTCAATAATTCACCATCTCCATATAAATTCGTTAGAGCAACAATGTCTGGTCTTAGATTCATTGGTAGTGGTTTACTTTTATTGTGTATCTCTGTTGTTCCTGTTATTTATGGTTATATTATCTATAGCCGTTTTGCTAAAAGTGGAGAAATTGCTAATGCTCAATTAATGAAAAAAACTTTGTTATATCATGGTATTGGTTATACAATCACTACTATTATTGTTGGCGATTTCCAATTTGTCAAATTATTTACTGAATATATCCCAATCGTATTGTTGTGGTGGATTTGGTATTCTGAAAAACCACATGTTGCCTTGAAGAACAAATCTCAAGATGTCGAAGACACTGATGCTGCTGTTCCATTACAACCAATTAGCATTTAGGAAACCAAAAGTGGAATAACCGTAATACTTGTTTTGTTTCTTACCTGGCAGATCTATATTACTGTTATAAATTAAGCTGTATATGTTGTAGCTATATATATATATATATATATATATATAATACACTAAAACATTTCATATTCTTTCATAAAAATAAATAACACATTCAAGAAAATTGAACTGTACATCTATTCCTTGATAGCGTAATTTCTTCTAAACTTGTCATCAACTTCAGTCAAGTAGTAGGTACCTTGGCTCAAGTTATCGAGGGAACCTTGTGGCTTGAAGCTCTTTTGTAAATGAGCTTTTTCTCTTAATTCAATAGCAGCCAAGTATTCTTCTGGGCTTTGGATCTTTCTACCTTCACCTAATTTGTAGTCAAAGTCCAAAACTTTGGTAATTGGTGAGATATCACCAACAACAGTAACGGACAATAAAGTGGAAGCCAAACCAGAACCGTAGGAGAAAAGACCAATTCTCTTGTCTTTCAAGTTTTCAGCACCAACATAGTATAATAAGGAAGCCAAAGAGACCCATGATGAGGCAGTGTACATGTTACCAGTATTTGTTGGGACTTGCAAAGCTGGTTGGACTCTCTTTTTGGTTTCATCTTTAGCCAAAGTGACAAAAGTCTTTTCCAAGACTTTATCAGTCAAAGAAGCGTCGTAAGACAAGTTGTCAATGTGTTGTCTGGTGGATTCATCAATCAAATCAGCAAATTTGGATGGGTCGGATTTATAATCGTTGTACAACAATCTGGCATAACTCTTGGTGACCAACTTACAGGTTGGGACGTGGAAAGCGTTGTAATCAAAGTGATCGTAAACGCCAACAGTCTTGTCAGCATTACCAGTGATCTTCTTGGAGTAGTTCTTGTAACAGTTGTCAACGGCTTTAACATAACAAGCCAAGGAGAAGTGACCATCAACAACTGGGTATTCGCTAGTGAAATCAGGTTTGTAGAAATCATAGGCATGTTCCATGAATGAACCACGGATGGAGTCGAAAACAATAGGAGCATCAGGACCAATTAACATAGCAATGGAACCAGCACCACCAGTTGGTCTAGCAGCACCTTTGTCGTAGATAGCAATATCACCAGCAACAACAATGGCATCTCTACCATCCCAAGAAGAAGATTCAATCCAGTTGACAGCATTGATGACAGCAGAAGTACCACCATAACAAGCATTAATGGTATCAATACCTTCAATGTCGTTGTTTTCTGGGAACAATTGCATCAAGACAGATTTGACAGATTTAGATTTATCCAACAAAGTTTCAGTACCAACTTCCAAACGACCAATGTTGTTAGTGTCGACATTGTAATGCTTGATCAATCTGGAGACAACAGTCAAGGCGATGGAGTAGATATCTTCTCTATCATTGACAAAAGCCATATTGGTTTGACCCAAACCAATGGTGTATTTACCAGCTGGGATACCATCGAATTTTTCCAATTCTGATTGATTGACAGCTTGACCTGGAATGTAGACTTCAATTCCTTTGATACCAATGTTTCTAGGTGAGTTAGTCATGTTTGAAATATGTTAATATGTTGAATATATGTCGAAAATTAATTGAAATGAAAGTAGTAGACGTAGAATAGGATTGAATAGCCAAAACCACCAGTAAAAGAAAAAGAGAGTAATAAGTTGTAACTTTTTTTTTTGTATGTAAATTTTTCTTTTTAAATATATTTATTTATTTATTTTAAAAACCTGAAAATTTTTTGTGGTTTGTCTGTTTTTACAACACAAGCGAAACATAATACGTAAAAAAGAAATGGTAGGGCAAAAAAAAAAAAAAAAAGAAAAAAAAAAGAAAGAAATCTGCGTGTGCACACACAACTAACGCAACAGAAAAATAAATAAATTTTTTGTATAGGTTCTATACGACGAATTAATAGTGTGAACGCTACCACTTGTAGCTAATGCGTCGTATAAGATCTCACTTTCTCCAACAGATGAATGGCAACAACAACAATCTCTTTTGTCCAAGGCATTCTAATCATCAGATATATTACATTGGCAAATCAGTAGAATCTACATTCTATAGAATTTACGAATAGAAGGTGGTTTATAGATCTTGCTTGATTTAAAGAGAAGCACGACGTAGCATGTTTCTATTGGTTCGTTGTGCACCCAAAAAAAAAGTATCGTCATACGATAGTTTGACGAAACGTTTGCATAAAGCCTACTTGCTGCGGAATGATAAGACAAAACAAATTTCACTGTATGAGAAGATATTGGAAACTCTAAAAAAAAAAAACTAAAGAAAGAAAAAGAGATGCCATCTAGGCAACAGTTTGAAAAGAATACTAAGATTCAGTTGTTGTTGGCTTATGCTTGAATATGTAAAAGATTGATGCAGACCACGATCAACTGATGGTAATTGCTGCATTAAGAAATCACAAAATAAGCATTATAGTGGTGGTGGCATCCCAAGAGTCACTTCAACCGTTGAATGTGCTTGCATAATTTCATTAATTAGACTTGATCTTAATTGCAAAACGAACATTTTATTTCTTTTTCTTTTTAATGTTTCGTTTAAGGGGAGTAAAAACTACAATGACTTGTGTATTTGCATTTAAAGTAATCGTTGTTTTTTTTGGCTATCGTTCTATTGGATATATTTCTCCCAACGCGTCCTATGTTAGTCGTGTATTTGGGTAAAATCTCTCTCCTCGACGCGTGTACTGACATTTGGTGCAATTCAGTAATTCAGATTTATTACAGATTGATTTATTTAACTTTATCAATGAATAAGATATATTATTAAACTATGCAATTATGATTATACTTGTATCTATTTATAAAGTCCTGTCTTAATTTTTTGATTGAGTATACTACAACTCCAATGCAGCAACTTGTCGTAATAACAATACAGGCAACAGCAAATATGCAACCCATGATCTTGAATGTCAACAAAGGATAATTACCAACTTCTCCTTCACCAATAATGGTATTTGATAAGGACATAGTACCTAGAGGGAAAGTCATTCCCCAGAAACCTTTGTTTAATTTCAACAATCCGTATTTGTTGGTATGTTCTGGATGTGGAGTTTTTGCAAATGGCTTTATCTTGGAGAAAATTGAGATAACAGCAACAAACAACATGAAATAACCCAAACTTACCAAAAATGTTGAAAAAAATCCACATATACATAAAAGAATCTTTCCATACAATAATTCTTCAGGAATGAGTTGGTTCAAATTGCAGCCAAATAAATAAACACTGTATGATGATTGACCCAAGAACCCAACTGGTAAAAATCCAGTCATGATTATTTGAGTATTTGGGATTTTATGAATAATTAATCTTGATAAGTAGATAGTGATGATCATCAAGGCTAGACTTATAGATAAGCACCAAAGCATAAAACTGATGACCATTGTGATGACTGTTTCATTCAAACTATGCAATTCCAATTCAATTATATGCCCCGATGATGATACAACTGTAATGGAGACAATTGGCAATAATAACGATGCATTTAATTTGACATCTAAATCAACTTGATTGAGCTTGGACATGTATGAAAAATAAACAACAATAAAAGCAGTATACATTGCTGTGGCAACAGCAATCCACCAAAGTGTCCAAACCAAGTAAACATGCTTTCCATTTGTAATGATTTTAATAAAATTGACAATTGTTATATAACCCATCGAGAAACAACCCATGTATACCAGGTGGGCGGGGTCAACGTTGTACTTGGTGAATCTCCCTTTGTAGTAAACACAACTCATGACAAACAATGCAATATTGACTAAAAATAGAATACAAGTAACTCCAAACATGATATATCCACATATTTCTAGCCATTGACTAGGATAAGGAAATTTATAAAGTAATGTTGACGATATACCCGTACCCATCACACTGACAAAATATGCAGGGGTAAAGTTTTTTACAACATCTTGTATTATGAATCGTTGATAAAATGATTGATCATAAGGATTTTCATCTTCTTTGGAACTGGTAGTTGCTGGTATAGACTCAAATTCTGATACTATTGTAGAAACCTCCTCACAAAGTTCTTCTTCTTCATTAGCTTCTTGGGGTTCCAGATTTTCTGTCAAGGTAGCGTCAATTGAAGGAGTTAAATTGAGACCCTCCCTTGATCTTGTACTTTCTAAACTGTGGCTTTCCATTGTTTTTTTTTTTTTTTTTTCAACTGATTATGAAATAGGATTTGTTGATTTCAAAGATATCATTATTGTATTTCTTGCTGTGGATGATGGGTTCGGCTGACATTTAAATATAACCCGACGGAAATGACACTAGAAATTATGGAGTTTGAAAAAGAAAAAATATTGTAGCAAAAAAAAAAAAAAATAATTATAATATCACAAAAACTGAATTTCTTTTTACTAGAGTGTGAGTTCAAAATTACCAGTAGAATTTTATGTGACCATTTCGTATTGATTCATTAATTTAGAGTGATATCTATCTATCCGCTTCCCCGCGGTATTTACGTATCTTGAAGTGATTCATTTATCATAGTCATAATCCTTCTAGCAAATATGTATGTTTCTCCAAATTCCTTGAGGGTGTTTGATGCAACCAATCTTGCATGCATCTTGAATTACAAACTTTTGACAAGTCGTGTATGATGGCAACTTATCCACCACCTCACGTGAATAATCGAAATTTGACATAAAAATTAATCAATTGCAAAAAGCTGCAAAAGTATAAAAATCAAGAGAAGGTCCTGATAATTCCCAAATATTTGATCGTTTAATTTCTTTCTTTCTGTTTTTTGGTAATATAGGTATCATCTTGTCTTGGGGTTTTTTTTTATTGATAGATATTCTTGAATGTGTTGAATTGATTCATTCTCCATCATGGAAAATGCAATAGAGTTTTGCGATAAAAATGCGGCTTGAAAACTCCAACAATGAAAATTATTCCAAATTCCAAGTAGGGATTTGGCTCTCGATAACCACCATCAGCAAAATATACAAGTTTCTTTGCACGGTCCGAACTTGTTTTCTTCAAGTACATTGAATAATTGGAAGTATGTATGTTGTATGATTTATTAATAAGCAATGATGTATATTTAAAGAGTTGCATATCCCTGGTACTATCGATCCTACTTTATTTTCATTTTTTTTTTTCAATTTTTATCCTCCTAACTATCAATCACACAAAACAATGTCTGTATCATACGAAGTTAAACCATCCGATGAAATTACTGGTGCACCAGAAGTAGATTACTATACCCCAGAGCAACCAGCTCATGCAGGTACTTTCTATAGAGAAGCCCCAGATCAAGTTATTCCAAAGATATTCCAGCCTTTGAAAATTGGTAAAATTACTTTACAAAACAGAATCGGGGTTAGTCCAATGTGTCAATATTCTGCAGATGAAAACCTTGAGGCTACCCCTTACCATTTGATTCATTTCGGTGCAATGGTTACACGTGGTCCTGGTATTAATAACAATACTACTAGTACTACCACTGCCACTACCACCACTGCCACTACCACTACCACCACATCCACATCCACACCCACATCGAAACATTTGAAGAATGGAAATAAAAGAAGAAGAGTCATAAGAGCTTGTGATACTTGTCGACAAAAAAAAGTAAAATGTGATGGTAAGCAACCATGTATTCATTGTAAAGTATATTCATATAAATGTACTTATGACCAACCAAATATTAGAAGAAAAAAAAATTCTGGTATTCCTGTACCTTCACAACCAAGTCCAGCAATTCTACCAATGGCTGCTCAAGCTGCTGTTGCTTTTGGTACTAATTCTAATCACAATAGTCCTGATAATGGTCAGAATATTCAACATCCTGATGGTCAATTCCAGCAACATCTGCCATTAAACGAAACATTACCTAAAACAAATCAAATCATTTTTCAACAAATTATAAATGCATTGTTTCCAAAACTACAATTGAATGGATTTGATCCTAATTTACAACTAGATTTAAACAAATTTCAAAAAGCCGTACAATATACCACCACTAAATCTCCTACTTTTGCTTTGAATTTAAGTGAAATTTCTGATTTAATGCAAGATCCAAATGCTGTGATACCTCCAAAGACAACTTTATCTGTTGGTTCATTTGAAGATACTGGTAGTACATCAATGTCTTCTCCTCGTGAAGTTGGATTATATTTACCAACTAAAGAAGTTGCTCTTAAATTAATCTATACCACATGGAACAAAGCTTGTGTGTTGTTTCAAATTTTATCATCGTCCTTCTTTATTAGAGGAAGTTGATTTGTTGTATTCTTTGGATCCATCAAATTATGGTGATCGACAACATAAATTCTTACCCTTTTTGTATTGTATCTTGGCTTGTGGGTCTTTATTTAGTAAAACTCCATATGGGGATCCTGAAGAAGATAAAAGTTTAGAAGATGATGGATTCAAATATTTTTTGGAAGCCAGAAAATTAATAGATATAAGTAATGTCGGATATATAAATTCCATTCAAACTATAGTCATGATGATTATTTATCTACAATGTTCAGCAAGACTATCTACATGTTATTCCTATATTGGTATTGCCTTGAGAAGTGCTTTGAAAGAAGGTTTGCATAGAAATTTAACTATTTTCCAAAATTCAAAGAGAAAATTGGACCCAATTGAAGAAGATACTAGAAAAAGATTGTTTTATACTATTTATAAAATGGATATTTACATCAATTCATTATTTGGATTGCCAAGATCATTGAATGAAGATGAATTTGATCAGGAGTTGCCTGCAGAATTGGATGATGAAAATGTCACCCGAGATGAATATTTGTATGATAAACAAGAAGGTAGATTAAGTTCTTCTGGTTGTGCTAATCAACATACTAAATTGATGATGATTTTGTCTCATATAATCAGAAAAATGTATCCAATTAAAGTTAAAGATGATGATTCTGAAGAATTTCAATCCAGTTCAAGTGTTCATTATTCACGTGATAGAATTCATGCTAAAGTTACTGATTTAGAAGTTGAGTTGAAGAATTGGTTGGATAATTTACCACAAGAATTGAAACCAATTGATCCAAATAGTCCTGCTTCAAGTGATGGAATGGATAAAGTTCCAGAGAAATTCCGTTTGGCAAATTATTATCTTCTTTTAGAATTTTTGAATTGTCAAATTATCTTGTATCGTCCATTTATTCATTTTATTAGTGATAGTATGGATGCATCAGTATCAGATCTACGTTCATTAATTAGAGGTAGAAATTGTATTAAAGTGGCCAGAATGGTTGTCAAATTGGCCAATAAAATGATTGATCAAAAATTATTATTGGGAACTTATTGGTTTTCGATGTATACTATATTTTACAGTATTGCATGTTTGATTTATTATTTCCATTTTGCTAATTATAGCAATAATGGTAAACGTTATAATTATGCTGGGATTTTATTTGATGACGATTTGAGTATTGATATGATTAAGAAAGATATTGAAATTGGGAAAAAAGTTTTGGATAGTTTGAAAAATTCTTCTAATAGTTCATTAAGAATTTATAATATTTTAAACACTATGTTTGAACAATTGAATAGAAGAACAGCTACCAGATCAAGACAAACTTCAGGTTCTTCAACCACTTCAGCTGTTAGTAGCACTAATAATGATGGTACTGTTTCACAAACAGAACAAGTTCCGATTCCTCCAACATTTCAAAGTCAAAATGTTCAAACTATATTTAACAATTTCGATAATATGAATCAATATGCCAAAAAGAATCAACAAGATCAAGAGCAGTATATTAATGTTAAGAAGGAAAGTTTAGGTGAATTGTTTGATTCAACATCATTGGTCAAATTTAAATCAAGTACCGTTTTACCAAAAAATGCAGCCAATTTACAAAGAATGGCAACACCAAAAGAAGAAGTGAATAAAGAGATTGGAGAAGTTCCAGGAGGTAATTTAACATCAGATTATATGCCTGGATTATTTGATAAATTGGATGCACAAATTTTTGGTAAAATATTGCCACCTTATATGTTGGAAAAAAATGAAAGTTTACGAAGAAACATGATGAATAATAATCAAGCATTAGGTGGACAAATCTTATCAAACCAAGGTCAGCTGCAACAGCAACAACAACAACAATTACATCAACCACAAATGCCTCAACTACAGCATCCTGGAATTAACAATTTACCACCTGGAGGTGGGAGCAATTGGCCAATTGTGAATGGAGAAGATGGATTAAATTTAGAAGCACTTTTTGGAAGTTTAGGGGGTAATGTATCAAATCAAGGAGATTCAAATGGTTTAGAATATTTGGACCCCTTTTAGTAATATGTGTATCTGTATAATTTAATATTATTTATTTATTTTTCAGTATTTTTTTAAAAAATTGTTTGTAAGTAATTTTTGACTGCAAAATGCAATTTATAACACAAAGTAACGATAGTAATAATCGAGGGCATAGTTAATACTGCTCACATAAGCCCAAGGGACTTTGTTGGCACAACCAACAGAGAAATTGGATAACTAGTCAAAGAAGGACTGCTTCCAATCATTAAGAAAAGGAAAAACCTGTTGAATTCAAATTACAAAGCCGTGTTTAATGGTAAAACGTTATAATCTTATCAAGATAATAAAATCGAAATTGATTTATTTACAAAAGTTTTATAAATAAAGTATACTTTTTATATTAATTATTATATTAATGGAAAATATAAATGACATAAGACTGCTAGAATTAAATGATTAAAATGTTAGAATTTTGGAACATTTTATTATACAGCCACCTCAATCGATATTATGTAAGAATACAAAATTTAGCCAATTTACATAGTGGTGTCAATGAAAAATTAAATTGATTGATTTTTTTTTTCTTTGTATGGATTTTATCTTTGGTATTTATATTACTTCATTTTCGGATGATATTGCTGATATAACATTTTCATTCTCTTGTGATACAATATGAATTTCATGTGAAGAAATTAAAATATACTGTACAATTGAAACTACAGACTCCTATGAATATAAGTCAATCATATCATGGAAATTTTCCAGTTAAAGTCATGACAAATATCTAACCAATCAATACAAATACTTCCATAAGGATTTCTAATCCATGATTCTTTGACAATTTCCCATATTCTTTTTAAATTTCCTTGTTTGTATCTTTCATATATAACAGAAAATTTTGATTCTATATTTTGTCTATCAGATTTATTACCAGCCGTGATTCCACAGATTAGCAATGCCATACTTAAATTTTTTGCCAATTTGGTTTCAATTAACTTGTCAATGATATCTATTGATTCAAGTAGTAATAGTTGGATCTCACTAGATTTTGGTTGGGTTTGTTTAATATATAATAGAACATACATTTTACCAGCAATGCAACATAGTTTAAATAATTCCAATTGATCATTGTTTTCATCTGGTATAGAACTTGGATGACAATTATTGATACTTGTGATTAAATAGTTAACTTTTTGTTCAACTTGTTTATAAAACTGGACACGAATTGTCGAATCTTTTTGATGAACAACATTTTCCCGTTCTCTTTTTGTTTCAACGTAAACATTCATGATTTCTCCTAATAGAAGATAGATTGGTTGACAACAACCTTGATAAGGATCTAATCCATAATCACCTTCTAATAATTTTTGTCCTTTAAATAAATTATGGTAATTTTCCATAGTACAAGTAGTACCATTTGCTAATGATTCACTAGACATAACATCATAAAATTGGAAATTGGAAATTAAAAATTTACAATCATTTGAAAATCCAAAATCTTGAATGAATTTTTTTAATCCACCATAATCTCTTACTAATTTTTCACATTTTTTGAAAATATCATACCAGTTTTTTGTATCTCCTCTGTGAATATAAATTGCCATTTGAATTAAATTATAAGCAACACTAGTAAAATAATCAAATCGATCAATAGGACTTGATTTTACCAATTCTTTAGATTGAATTAAATATTTCTCAGCTTCTTCTCCATCTCCTTGAAATGTAGCTCCCCATGATGCTAGTAGATTCAGGATTGCTTCATTCGAAAATGCCAATGTTAGAAAAGTACTCTTGATATAATTTGTCTTTTCACTAAGTGAAACCAAATTGGCATAACGTTCAAAAATTTTAATATATTGTATTCCTTGATCATCTAGATAAAGTATCAATGGTGATGAAGCATTGATGTTGAAAGTTGGGGAAAATGTCGTTTCGGGAAAATGTAAATCTGTTGGTGTCGGTAAACGGATAATATCTGTAGATGTAGTAGTAATTGTAGTACATGACGGTACTTCGATGTCTACTGTTGTGATTGTCTTGTTTATATTTTTGTTCTTGTTCTTCTTTGGTTTGTCGACTCTGAACGAAGTCATATCAAATATTTTAATCTCATATTCACATGATAATCCACGTATTAAACAGAAATTGCATGAAGGATGAGTCTCATCGCATTTCCGTTTTCTTTCTTTGCATCTTTTACACCCTGTTTTAGATCTATTCCGCCTAGACAGCATCTAGTTATTCTTCTCTTGGTAAATAATTTGTAGGTACGTAAGTTATTGTGGAAGCGATTAAATGACTGAACGAAAAAAAAAAAAAAATAATAGAATATACGAGAAATACCACGTGTGGAGGGATCGATTGTGTAAATGGCTTATTTCTCTTTTTATGTTTTGTGGAGTAATGTGGGATGATGAATATTCTCTTTAATAATCTTGACCAGATCTTATATCATCAGATGATGGATGACTGTATATGCATTTGTAAAAATCAATGAGATATGTTTTGTGCAGGACCTGCATAAAAATGTCTCGATCTTGCATATAAGATGAGGGGGTTTGGAAGGACGACATTCTTACTCTTCTCATTAGACCCCTTCGTTATTGATGACGATAAAGTGGGTAATGTGGGACATATATCAAATAGGAGCACTTGGTCGACGTTACAAAACCTGGAATATAGCAATATATATTGACTTGATTAACATTTCACACACGCCTTGTGACTTATATCACTGTAAAATGGTAAGCAGCAAACAAAAAGAGAAACGTACTCAGAGTCACGAAACTAAAAATAGCTCAGATTTCAATCAGATCAATTTTAAAGGTCATTTTCAATACTGTGCACACTGACATCATTAAAGTTGCCCTTTTATTTGTCTCTACCATGCTCTGCAAGTTACTGTTCCTGCTCCTGTTCCTGTTTCGGCTAGTGTTACTGATTTTTTTTTCTTTGTCAGCCGGTTGAGGATGTGGGTCAATTTTTTTTGTCTTACACGCATCACACACACACACACATACACAGAAAGTTTTTCTTTCGTAAGTTTCCTGACCTAAACATTGTTTTTAAAAAAGAAAAAAGAAGGAAAAAAAAAACCACAAGATCAAGAATAACTCAAGAATATATATATATTATTTCTTTTCTTTGTTGAATCATCGTTGAATTATTATCAACTACTATCCATTATAATATTAGAATCATTTACGGATTAACTGTAAAAAAAAAAAATAGTTAACCTACGGAAAAAATACCTAAGGGGGTTTAAGGAACAGACAAAGTTTAAAAGAAAGTAAAAGGGGGAAGAAAAAAAAAAAATAAAAGTTAATTGTATAGATGTCCAAAAGAAACCCTTACACACGTCCGTGTGATTCATGTAGTATAAGAAAAGTTAAATGTGATCTACAAGTCCCTTGTTCAAGATGTGTAACTCATAATCTAGAATGTACTAATAAAAGAATAAGAAAAAAATGTGGTCCTAAAAAAATTCATGAAAAAACTAGAGAAGCAATTAAAAATTTAAATGAATCAGAGAATATTTTTACACAACAACTTCAAACTGATCATTTCATACCAGCATTTGCTTTAGATAAATTATTACCAAGTCTAAATTGTTACCAAACATGGTATTATGGTATTTGGCCTGTTGTTTCAATAGCGGAAATCACTGCCAGAGTAGCTCAAAATGATGTATCAGCGTATGCATTAGCTTGTGCTATAAGTGCAGCCATATTAAATCAAGTGACATTTATTTCAAATAATTCTTTATATTGTATTCCTCAGAATATTAAAGATTTAAATTTTGTTGGAGAATGTATAAGGGCAAGAACATATATGAATTATCAATATACTCCGACATTAGAAATTCTATTAACTTCGTTTTTTTTACACGTTGCCGAGGTTAATAAAGGAAGTAAAGCAGCTGGGGTATTATATTTAAGAGAAGCTATTACTATGGCACAAGTTATTGGACTTCATAAAGAATCTACTTATCAATCAAAATCTATTGCTGAAGCTCATAGAATGAGAAAAATTTATTTTTTATTATTAGTAACGGAAAGATTTATGTGTTTAGATGATTCAATTCCAGTTGTTTTAGATAATTCAATAAGAGAATTTACACTTAATGATGAAGAATATTCTGTTTTAATTGAAGGATTTAAACAATTAGTTCGAGTATTTGCTATTCCACTGAAATCTATATTTGATAATTTTATTCAATTAAATGATTCAAAATCAATGCCTCCGGAAGCGGCAGTTCTACTTAATAAAATACAAATGGAATTAGATTCTATTCGTATATCACCAATTGCTCCAGATATTCAAAAGGCAAATATCATGGTTAGTAAATATTGGATGAAAGCATTGACTTGGAAAATAACTAGAAGTAACAATCTACTAGATGATTTTAATGTTTCATTATCAGTTAATTATCCTTTAGAAATGGTAAAAAGATTTTTATTTGAAATTAAAGAATTACCATTGTCGGCATTTGAATCAAATGGTCCAGGGGTAGGATTTAAATTATTAACAATGGCAACGGGCTTAATTGATTCCATTGATCTTAGTGGTAATTCAAGTGGATATGATTATTTACAACAAATATTTGATTTGATTTCAAAATTAAAAAATACAGAGATTATTTTACCTAGAAGAGAATATGAACAAGTTAAGGAGGCTTTAAATAAAGTTCAAACTGATTTATTATTTAATAGTGCGCAACAAGGTGGTTATATATCTGAAGTTGACTCAAATGGTTCATTAGATGCATTTTTAAATGATCCAAGAGTATTTTATCCAACAGGTAATGAAACTCCAACTGATCCAAATTTCATTGCCAGATATCCATCATGAGATTCAATTTGCCTATATAAGTGTGTATATATATATATACGTAAACGTTTCTTCGATTAAGGTATAATATGTGAAATTACTTGTTGTGTAATATTAATATAATGTTTAATTACAGGAGATATTCCAGGGTAATTAAGGTTGGTGATTCGTGTCACGTGTTTGCAACCAGAATTTTTGATTGATTTATTAAAATGATTTTCAATCCAAGTTATTGCCGCCGGTATTCCAGTATATGCTTCAACCATATGATTATAACTTAAATCTTCAGCGATTTCCAATTGAACACCTTTAGAACACCAATATTCTTTTAATTTTTCAACATCTTTCATGGGTGTCATTTCATTAAATCTTGAATGATACAATAATACTGGTACTTGAGGGGTTAATTCCTGTTCAATAAGATTATTTTCAGAAATATATTTCTTGCAAATTGAATCATAAAGAATATTTTCATTATAAATATCTCCAATTATATTCATCATGAAATATTTGACAGCACTTGGAAATAAACATTCATGTGATTCAATTTTACCACCACCTGAATTAATTAACATTTCTTTGAAATCATTATATTCATTACAAAAACTTTGAAAGATATTAACTATTAATCCAGCATATGGACCACCATTTATTCTTTGTATAAATGATGTTATATTCCCAATAGTACCACCAGATACAACACCAATAATGTTTAATTCTGGAGAATAATATTTATTTAACATACTTGCCCAAATTGAAGCAAATCCACCAGTTGAATAACCAATTAATGCAATTTTTGAATTTTTAAAATTCATAAAAATTTCAATTGCTCTTATTGAATTTAAAATTGTATATGCTGATGATTTTCCAATTAAAAATGAAGAATTTGGACCTTCATGATCAGGTAAATTAACTATATAACCTTGATTAAGATAACCAGATATGAAAATTAAATCAGTTTGTATTTGTAAAGTTTCAAAATTTGGTGTTTGTATAGCATAAGAAGGTGAACATTTTAACAGAGGAGAATTTTCAAAAGATTGATGAGAAATGATTTTATTTGATTTAAAAAATTTTGGAATTATTAATGTTGTTATTATTGAATTTGGTAAACCATTCAGATCTTGAGATCGAACTAATATTTGCCAAGTTTCCAAAATGGGTAATTTGATTGATAATATACTTTTAATTGGTGATGGAATAGGACGAATTTTAAGAATATTTCCTGGTTTTGAATCTGTTAAGTTGTCTGGAGGATTATAGAAATCATCTTGATCAGGTGGAATTGCAAAACATAGGGTTATTGAAATGAATACATATAATAAGATCATGCGATACATGGCTACAGTGGTGGTGATTGACATTGGAAAAGAAAAAGTGCTCAAGGAATGTATAGAAAAAAAAAAAAAAAAAAATAGATGCAAAATGTAATCTACACTGGCATGAACTTTCCAAAGTTTGAATTGTTAAAACTTTCCTATATTTTTTGTTCTTTTTGGTACAATATTATTTAATATATGACCTAGTATAGCAACATATCTAAATCATCTATAGTTTCATCATCTCGAGTAGCAAATTTTTCCAAAGTAGTTAAACAACCATTATTATTTGTAACAAGTTGTGTTGATTCATTATGAATTTGCAATTTATTCACTATATCAGTTGGTTTTATAGTAACATCTTTATTAGAATATACATCACCAAATTTTTGTATTGCAATTGATTGTAATTTCGATAATGAATTCCCATTATTGGAATAACTTCTTCTTCTTGACAACAACAAATTAGCCAATTTTGAAGGTTTTGTAGATTTAGGTAATTGAATATTATATCCTGAAGATTGTAATTTTTTAATAATTTTATACACATCATTACCTGAGTCTGACAATAATGTATCAATTTGTAAATTTGTTAAATGATAATTATTTTCAAGTAATAAATCATTAATTTGCTTTCTTGAATCATTACTTGATTGAATTGATCTACCAAATTCTGAAGATATAAATATTGATAATGTTGATCTTAATGAGGATTTTATAGATATTGTAAATTGGAAAAATTTTATAAATTTATCATAATCAATAGTTTCAATCCACAACTTGTTGACATCTTCAATACCTTTAGAATTTTCAAATCGATAATTTTTAGTAACAATTTTTTCAAAATAATTCTTATGTAAATCAAAACTATCATTATTGGTAAAATTATCACTATGACAATTTGGTGGTGTTTCATACAAGATATTTTGTGGTAATCCTTCTGGTGAATTATCCAAACTTTCAATAAATAATTTAATATTTTCAATCAATTCATCACGTGTCATATTAATCAATTCCAATTCCCATTCAAATAAATATTGATTAATTTCATTCATAATTTCAACACAAGTAAAACTACTACTTGAAACATAAATATAAATCCCCATAGTTTGTTTATTATATCGAACTCCACTAAGAACAACATATCCAATTTGTTTCTTGGTTCGTAATTTATACATTATATCATGTGACATTAAAAATGCCAAAAAATGAGCCAAACTTCTTGAAAATTCATCTTGTCGTTGACAAATTTGAATATAATGATAAACCACATCGTTAGAATCAAATTCATTCCTATTCTCAACGGTAAAATTATAACTTTTACCAGATTTCAATAAAATACTTGAAGGTTGTGGGAAAATGGGAAATTCTAAATAAATTTTTAAATGATTTGAAAATTTATTAATAATTTTACTAATTTCAAATGCATATTCATCATCAATATTACCAGATATTAATATTTTAGTCAATTTAAAATCATATTCAATCATCTTCAGAACATTGGTTAATATAGATGTATCCATCAATTCCAATGCATCAATTCTTTCTTCAATATTAAAAATCCCATGTTCCAATAATAATGTACTCCCTGCTAAAACTTGTTGTAATGAATCACCACTTTGCAATTTTTCATATTCTTGTCGTAGTTTATTCTTTAAAATGACAAATTTTTTATAGCCAACATTACGTATTTCATAAAAAATAATTTCATAAACTCGATTGATAAATTTGGTGATAAAAATTTGATATCCAACAATAGGACCACAAATACAAATTTGTAAAGATGGACAAATTCCATAATTTGAATAAATTCCCCATGAAAATAAAGCAAGTTCACCAGGATAAAATTCAGAATACAACAATTCACCCAATTTTTCAACAAACATTTCCATACAAATACAATTTGTTACTGAATTTTTTGAAATTAAAATTTGTATTGATGAAGTAATAAAATTATCAATTGAATTTCGTTCAGATATCCACAATTCATGATTTTTAGAATAATCCAATAATTTAGGTTGTGAATTTTGTTCATCAGGAATGAACAATTGTGATTTTTTAGAATCATCAATTAATTGATCCAATTCTTCATGAGTTAATGAAATAAATCTATTATGTTGTAGAATATAAAATAAAGGAAATTCTTCTTTAATTGGAAAACAATCAAAATCCAAAATTTGATATTCAAAATTATAATAAGAATCTTTGATAATTGTAGATGGTTGATTAGAATAGAATTTGGGTAGTTTTTCACCAAGGATAATTATATTTAATTTGTTTTTATCAAAAGTTTTTCTAGTTTGATATATAAAATCATGAACATTTATTCCTCCTCCTCCTCCTCCTCCTCCTACTCCTACTCCTACTCCTCCTCCATGAGATTGATAATGATTACCTAGAAGTAAATCTTGAATTGAAACTTCATCCATCAGTAATAATTCAGATAAATTGGACACTTCATCCATTGATGATAAATCATTTTGTTGAAAATATGAATTATATTTGAAAACTCTTGAATATTCATCCAAACATTGAAGTAATATATCCTTTTCAGTATAAACAATTTGATTTATAAATTCCCAAATTGATTCAATAATCTCATTAGTCTTTGATAAATCTTTAACATGAAAATCAATCAACAATATATTTTGTAATCTTGAAATAGATTGAGTAAATGCAAACATTGATTCAATTAGTTTCTTATTTTTTAAATTACTACATAAAGAACCTTTAGTTTCATCACCAATTAAATTACACCAAATTCCTTCATAATAAAAATTCCTATTACCAAGGGGTAAAATTAATCTTAATCTAGTGGTACCATCCCTTTTGATAAATAAAATTTTATTAAATTCAGTGAAAACATCCATTGAAACATCAGATATTATACTTGTAGTGCTTTTCCGTTTTGTTATATTTTTCAAAGATAATCTTTTAGATTGTTTTGATAATTTTGGAATATCCAGAAAATGAGCAATAACAAGTTTTTGCAATTGATTTAAAGATAAATTACTTTTTAAAACTAAATTCATATTTTCAGAATGGAAATTATTTTGAAAATATTTAACAACTTCCAGTTTTAACTTCTTCCTATGCTCTAAAAGGGTTTGTTTATTTCCAGTTCCAAATTTACTAAATGGATGATTTTCATTAGATAATAATCTTAATCCATGATATAAAACTTTATCTTCATTAACTATATTCAATTGATGTTCATCATTAACTGCATTTATTTCATTAATTAAATAATCATCATTAAATAAAGGATTTTTGAACAATTCACTAAAAATTGAAAAAATTCGATTAAATCCAAAATCATCCTCAATTTCAATAGTATTCATAACAATTTCAAAATGAAAACAAGTTAAATATCCCATTGTAAATGCATTGGTATTACCACCTAAAGAATTTACAATATTGAAAAATTCATTTGCATTAGGAAATTTTGAAGAACCCATAAAAATCATATGTTCACATAAATGAGCTAAACCTTGAATATCTAAAGGATCATTAAAACTTCCAGAATTTATAGATAATGCACATGATGAATTAATAGTTGTTGGATCAGATATAATTAATGTTTTTAATCCATTAGATAATTTAATCAATTTATATGATTTATATTTATCAATTAAAGGTTTCTTAAACTCAGTTTGTAAAGTTGTGGCAGAAAAGAAATCCATCAAGAGTTAGAACAAAAAAAAAAAAAGTAGACTAATAAAATTTGAAAAGAGAGTTGTAATCATGATGTATAAAAAAAAAAGGAAAAATCACATCGTATTCGACCCTTTTATGTTACTTTTCCAAATTAAATCTTGTTTAACTCAAGGATGGTTGAAGAAAATAATAACAAATTAAAGAATATATTAAAACTGTCAAAAAATTTCCTAAAAAAGCTGCGACAATTATGTAACATCTTGGTAGCGCTTAAATTAGGAAACTCTTGTTAAATGAGAAGAGGAAAAAAAAAAGAAAACACACACACACATATATATACAAGTATTTCATGAATTACTTTATGGTGTCAAAGAGTCCAAATGGTTTCGAGTGGTTAATTGGTGATTTGGTAGTACCTATTACCGAGACATCTAATAAATAAGCATTGGTCTTGGGATGTTGGTTGTGCGAATAAAAAACCTGTTGAAATATGCAAGAGAAGCCAGCACAATAATAATAGAAGAGAGATAGAAAAAGAAAAAGAAAAAGAGAAAAAAATAATAATAATAATCAAAGACAAAACATAATTTTACTGAACCAGCATTTGCTTTGCCCCTCTAAATAGAGGAAGGGGGGATATAATGTGAAAAGTACTTAATAAATTTCCCCCATTATCTGATAATAATATTGGTAGCTCGTTTGTATAAAGAAATGCCAAAACAAAATATAATAATTCAATGAAAAAAACAAAAAAAAAAAAATAGGAGTTATGCTGTGCTGGTTAATAGACAGTATTTTTGGGTAATAAAATTAAAAAAAAAAATGTGTGACATTGAGTTTACGTCATCATTGTCACTCCACAATTAATTTTTCTTTTTCTTTTTCCGGTGGTCGTGTACTTTGGTCGTTCCTTTTTTTTTTGGTTTTGGGCTTATCGCAGCACATCACACACACTCTCTCTCTCTACCAATCGTAAGATTTCTTTTTTGCAATGATGAACATTCTTTTACAAACAAAATCAAAGAAAGAAAAAGAAAAGAGATAATAGAATTACAAATACGCGAGTTGTATTTTCTAATCCCCTTTCATTCCATCCCGCCCTCCCCCTTTTTTGTCTTTTGAAAAAAGCTGAATTGTTGTTGTCAATACAAATGTGTAGAACAATCTTCTTCCCATCTCTATAGATTAGATTAGAGACAAACTAAAAAAAAAAAAATTGATTGTATGGTTTTACACGACCTCCCAACAAATAAACACGTGTCGTGTACGATACCCAAAAACGCAATCGCAGGGGCGCCCCCGATAGCAAAAAGAATAAAAAAAAAGAAATTCACACAATTCCAAATTGAGATAAAACCATTATTGTGTGTGTGTGTGGGTGTGTGGGTGTGAGAGAGAGAGTTTCTTTTTTCTGCTGTTTGTTTGTTTGTTTGTTTGTTGTTCACTCAATTTTCTTACAACCAAAATAATAATTAGAAAAAAAAAAGGTTTCCCCTATTTTTTTTTTTTTCTTTTTTTGTTCTTCTTTCATTTATATATACAGTTCTATTACCAATCTTATATCCATTTTTTTCAATTATCAACAACTACTTTCAAAGTGATCCTACTTCTATTACTATAACTTCTTTTTCTTTTACTTCCGACTACCCTTATTTCAAATTAAACAATAATGATGTCCTACACTCAAGCAGCAACCAGCGCCACCGGCATTAACAACGCTAGCAACAACTACAACACTTCACCTACTTTATCCAACTCATCTATTTATAGCAATAGTTCAGGTTCTCCACTTAGTGCCTATTCTACCACTTCTTCAATGATACCTTTATATCCAACAGCATCAGCATCATCCATGTACAGTCGAAATAATTTAAACGTTGCAAAGAGTTTTGGTGATGATTTTGAGTTTTTACCTGTCACTGTCGAATCAAAAAAACGTTTCAACGCTTTCACTGCTACTTCTTTTTCTCCAAGTTCAAAGAAGTTATAATATTAGATTAAATTTTCAGTTTACATTTTGTTTTAACATTTACATTTAATTCATTTTAAGTTATTTCATGTATTCATTCATTCACTTTTTTTTATATATTTGATTTCTTTCATGGGTAATTTTTTTTTATTTGTATGCATTATTATTAGCTTTCAATTCTGGGATGTTTTTTATTTGAATTTCAACATAGAAAAGATTACATTTTATATATATATATATATATATCATCATATCATCATTAGGTTTAATAAACATTTAGTATTAGACTCTTTTTCTTTCGTTATCATTTGCTTGTTGTATCTCTAATCAATAATTCCGCAAATTCGTTTCTGTGAGAGAGAAGAATTATGCTGAGTTTTTGTTGTTGGTGGCGGTGACCCGTAAATTCAATTTTTGTACACAAGAACAAAATCGATGAGCAAATTCAACCAACCAACCAACCAACAGAAAAAGAAAAAATTGCGTATTGAATTTTCGTAGTGGAGGAAAGAGGGGGGCAGAAAGAGAGGGACCAGCCAATGAGGGAAGGAGCGGAAGTAATATCATCGTGGGGTTACATCACGTGCTGCTGTTTGGTCCTTCTACTCCTTCTTCTTCTTCTTCATGATAACTTTATCAATGTTCTCGCTGTGTAATGTAATCCATTGAGCAATTTATACAGATCTATTACAATAAAGTTTTGTGCGCCATCAAATAAAAACATTAGATGTACAATTTCCTACTTTTTTTTCTATAATTATTTCTTCAACGGCTTAGTATCTGAAACATCATAATAATGACGAGCTCAATTATCCATTTATCATTTTGATTGCAGTCAACTGTCTGTGATCACTAGCTTGTTCTTTTTTTAAATATTATTTTTCTTGTATGGAGAGTACATCATCGATGATGTAATATGTAATTGTATGATTTAAATTTTTCAATTTTTTTCTTGATCAACTCTGCTTGGTATATCCCTTTTTTTTTTTGAAAAACATCATTGCGCCTCTAATACTTTCCAAGTTGAACAAAAGAAGAAACTGCAACTACACTATAAATAAACCCTGACTATCAATGGCAATAATCTTCATGATCTTCATTTGTTAAATACATACTAAAAAAAAAAGAAGAAGCCACTATCACTATCCGTATTTATATTTAAGATCAATTTTTTTTGTTATTTTATTTTGGAAAACGATGAATATTTTAATTACTTTATCATTATTTTTTATAACTATAGCTGCTCAAACAAATCCAAATGTTGAATTTTTAACAAGAGTAGTATCTGATTTAGCTAGTAATGGAAATGAATATATTCTGTATTTTAGAAATGGTGGTGGACCAATTAATCTAGGAATAATAAGAACTGCTCAACAACTTACACAAGATGCAAATGGTGGTGATTCTTATACTACCTTAGCTGCAGATCTGGGATTTATGAGTGATTTAAGTGCTATGATTACTCCTTTACCTTGGTTTAATGAAAGAATAGCTACTGGTAATATATCCCTGGTTCCTACTGAAACAAATACTGCTCAAACAACATCCCCATCAAATGATGTTAATAAAGTAGGAATTACATATGTAGGATTTGGTGTGTTTGCAGGAATTGTATTTGCAATGATTTAAATAAGTGATATCGTAAGTTGTATAGTTGTTTTTTAGTACTGAATGTATGTATTTATGTCAACTTTCAACTTTTATTTGTAAAATTATACTAAATTTGCATGAAATCTTAATTTGTTTCCAAAAAAACTAAAAACTTTATTAAAATAGAATATTGAAGAATATGATCAGATATATAAGTTCAGATACTGATATATTATTGATTTGGAAATAATATGCTTTGCATATTGCTGCAAATTACAATTTATTAATTTAAAAAAAAAAAAAAAAAATTTAAAACTGTAAGTACTCAAACTAATTTAGGTGCAAAAAAAACTCTTCTGCGGGGAATCGAACCCCGATCACGCGCGTGACAAGCGCGTATTCTGACCGTTAAACTACAGAAGATTTGTTTCAACTTGACCATGAGTCCTGTTGTTCGAAAATTTTGAACTACCCACATATACAGACCACGTCACGTCACTAGAAATAGTTATTGATAATTCTCTGACCGCAAAAAAATAGACATAATCTATCAATAATGTATAGACAATACACGTCATGACTTCTATTACCAATACGATACCACACTCGTTTACAATAACTGCCAATCATACCCAACAAAAATAATATAATAATGTTTCATTCATTGTCAAATTCATTCTCATTTCTCATTACGACTAATTCTGGATTTATTACATGCATATGATCACCATTTAAAATTCAATATCTTCTGTTTCAGAATTGAGGCGACAACTAGTTTAATGAACTCTTAATTAACTATACACTTAAAAATAATAATAATAATAATAATTCCAATATAAAGCAGACGGGGCAAAGCAGGAATCCCTCGATCAATTGAGTTTAACTTTAATTCATCCCTTTCTTGTTGTTAAGAAAAACAACAAGTTGATGAATACGGTTTCGGTATTTGATAAATTTTGTTATCCATAGAGAAAGGAAAGAAAGGGAAGAGCTTTCGTCTAAAATGAATATACATTCTCTGCTTGATATTCTTCATAATTAAGAAACATGGAGGCGATGAATAATGATATCACCACCCCATATTAATCAAGAGGCGGTATGAAGAAAAAAAGAGATATGGCCCGCGCGTGGGCATGCGCGTACTGTGAGAATGAAAGACACCAAACATTTTTTTTTCTCTCTCTTCCTTTCTGTCCCCCAGTTGAAAAAAAAATGATAAATAACAAGACCTCCCTCATTACAAAGTTTTCTTCTTTCCCTTCTTCAATCTAATTAATTATATTTATATATATATATATATATATAAAAGAAAAAAATAGCTCAACACTTTTTTTGTTTTAGTATTTTCTTTTGGACCATAACGTATACTATCCATTCGTATATTATTAACAAGGAAACCTTACCAGATACGGCACAATGGCAACTCATGAATGTATGTATTTCTTTCTTATAATACTTGTTTTCGTTTAACTCATGTTACTAACACCTAAAGTGAATTATACAAATGACAGACGTCAAACACCAAGAAATAGATTCGGTTGGGTAAGGCGATTAATGCAAGGTCAAAATAGAGCAACTATTCATCCATCTCCTCCATCTACAGGAGTTCCAAACACAAGGCCAGTAACTTCTGATTCATCGTCCTCATCACGAGTTCCCGATATTACTAATAGAACCACTAGACTTTCAAATTCAAGACATATAAGGAATTCAGAAGATTCACAGAATCAGAGTGTTAAATCAACCGATGAATCAGATTCCCTACATAACGGTGGTGATGGTGATGATGGTGATGATAATTCATTAGATGCAATAAGCGATATGCATAGTGATAATGTCAGTACTACTCCATTAAAATCCATAATATCTACTCAATCTACGAAAGAACCATCAATATTAAGTGGTGATGCGAATATTGATCTGACTTCTTTGAATGCATCTACAGCAGAAACTTCATTAGCTCCTAGTGTAAACACACCAACAAATTATACATTTACACCAACAATTACCAATGGAAGCGCCTTGGCTACTCCAACTTCAAATGGTAGTAATAATAATAATCATAACCAAACATTGAATTTGAATAATTCAGGTGTTCCAGATCGTGATAGTGAATCTATTGTAACTTTGGCTAGTTCAACAAGAAGAATTAGAAGAAGAAGTATTGACACAAATTGTAGTACTGCTGGTATTCCTCCTGCTTCAATTATGGAAAGATTAAGTGTTCAACCAGCTAATAGTAATTATGCTACTAGCATTAGAACAGCAAACGATAGAGCCAGTCAAGTCGAAGCTGCATCCCATTATGACGATCAAAGTAGTTCAGTCAGAAGTTTCAATTGATATTATCGAGAATATTAAATTTTAATTCTTTTTTTTTTTGAGCTGGTTTTTTTTTAATAGTGGAGGTTGTAAGGTTTTATAATACGATATATATATATATATATATATATATATTAAGATTTGTCAATGTTTAGTAAACCATGTGTGTCCCGTCATGTTCCGCCTCTTCATCAAGCAACTTTTATCTTGTTTATAAACGTCACTTAAAAAACTCCTGCATAGTGTCGCATCAAGGAAGAAGTTAAACAAAAAAAAATAATCTAAAAAAAAAAAAAACCTGCCACAATAATTTAAAATCAAAACAAACCTAAAAAAAGAGAGTGAAGAAAAAAAAAAAAAAATCCTAACAAAACAAATCAAGGTTTTGTATAATCAACTGATATCCACATTTACCATACAGATCTAAAAACATATAGACATCTTCCTCCTTTTTTTTTTACTTTATCATTAGTTCATTTTAAGTTTATTTATATTATAAGAAAGAATGGGAACTTTTGGTTACCATGACAACTCCATTGAAGGAGACGAATACATTCAACGATTATCAACTTATATCAGGAAGAATGAAGAAGCATTAGCTAATGGATTACTTTGTTTTAGTAAACATAGAAATACAACTTTAAAGGTCAAACCATTAAGATTAAGTTTTACAATTCATCATTTATATTATATAACTGAACGTATTGAACAATCTCCACTTGGTGTTGAAGTAGGACCTTTAAATATTAAATTGGATAATCCTAATCATGAACCTACTTTTATATCATTTATGGCAAATAACGCAAGATCATCTAAACATTTTGAAAGTGATACAAGGTCTATTTCATCAATTAATTCCATGAAATCCATTGTTTCTAGTGCTAGTGTTTATTGGAGATCGGCAGCAATAAGTAAAGATCCAAAAGTTATAAATAAAGATATCAAGTATTTATATTCATCATTTACTAAAGTTCCTTGTTTAATATTGAGTCCCAAAACAAAGATTAGTAGTATAAATTCGTATGAAGAATATCCTTGTGATACATCTGTACCAGTTAAAATGTTTAAGAATCTACAGGTTTTAGAAATGGTTGATTACGAACCAAATGAAATTTTTGGATGGCATGTATTAAGTGAACAATTAAGAATTTTAATTATTAGAAAATCAAAAATCAGTGATATGGCAGAAGTCCTTTTCCATTTAGTTATTGATGATGAATCAGGTAGACTGAGTTTTAATTCATCTTCTTCTCATACTAAGACAAAAAAATATGATTATAATACTACAGGAGTAGGATCATCTGCTGATGATACTTTTACAGAAATGAATGAAATGTTTAAGCATAAGCGAGAGAGGGGATATACTGCAAATACAATGACAAGTTCCTTACCTAAAGATATGTATATTGAAGCAAAAGATTATAAATCATTACCGGAAGCAAAATGGTCATTTTTGAAACAATTGACAATATCTGAAAGTTCAATAACATCTGTACAATCATATATTTTTAAACCATTGGTGAATTTGGTGAAATTAAATTTGTCAAATAATTTATTAGAAGAATTACCTCCAGGTTTAGATCAATTGGTTAATGTTAAATATATCAATTTTTCTGATAATTATTTAACATCTTTGAAAAATTTACCAACAAATTTAACCCAATTGATAACATTGAATTTTAATAATAATAAATTGGAGGATCTTTGTGGTATTGAGAATATCCCAGCATTAGAGAAAATTGATCTACGAAGAAACAAATTGAATAGTTTAAAAGCATTGAAACCTTTAGTTCTATTATACAAGAATGGGAAAACCAAAATTGACAACATTTATTTGTCACAAAACAATTTGGCCAAAAATTATAGAAGCGAATTATTTAATTTATTCAATGGGGTAAGATATAAGAATTATATGAAACTTGATGATTCACGTCCAGGGTATTTTGAGAAAGCTATGTTACTTGATTCAGAAGCCGCAATTAAGAACTTGGAAAAGTTTTTGCAACCAGAAGAAGAAATCGAGCAAGAGGGAATAAATGGAGAGGAAACAGAACAACAACAGCAAAGACTACTAGTTAGAAAACAACGCAAGTCTCCACAACCAAAAGATCAATTACCAGCACCAGTACCAGTCGCTGCACCAGTATTGAACAGAACTACTACTTCCACTTTGGTTTCATCAACAGTTAATGCCAATGATACATTAACTGAAGCATTTTCACAAGTAAAAATAGAAGATGAACCAAGAGTTAAGAAGTATGAATTATCTCATACAGTCATATCCACGTCCCTTTCTTTATTATCCACACCAACATCTCCTTTGCATACCAACCACAATACAACCAATAAATCACCAATTTCTAAACCAATGACGCATTTAAATAACTCCAATAGTTCCATTCCGTCTAGTCCTTCACTTAAAAGATCAGCTACATTAGTTGATATTGAAAACTCAACCACTGCTCCAAATATTGTTACCCAAGTCCAAGTCACCGCACGTATGAGTACATGAATATGAATTAAGTAGATAATATAAATAATATCCACCAAAAAAAGGAGTGTATATCGAACTGGTTTCTTTTTTTTTTCTTTGTTTACTTATTTGCATTTTTGGCAACACAATCAACATTTTTTTTTTTTTAATTGATTTGACAACCAACAATGATTTTAAAACAAATCCTAATTATTGTTATTATATTGCAAACTAGTGTTTCATATGAAGAGATTAGTTTTACTCTTAATTCTAAATTCACCAATTCCACATCAATTAATCATGAAAATATATTACAAAAACGATCTAAACATGCAGAATCACCTTTATTTGAAATAGAAGATCAACTGGATTATTTTTGTACACCAAATTATTATCCTTCACGTATGTATTTGAAAATAATTCCTAAAAAAATTCTTAATAATCCAAGAATCATTCACTAACATTTCTTTTAGCACTTGGAGGAAGAATTGAAGGAATTTGGCAAAAAGCATTTGATAAAGCACGTAAAGTTATTGAAAAAATGTCAATTACTGAAAAAGTTAATTTAACAACAGGAACAGGATGGGGATCAGGACCATGTGTTGGAAATACTGGAAGTGTTCCAAGACTAGGTATTCCAAGTATTTGTCTTCAAGATGGACCTAATGGAGTAAGATTTACAGATTTCGTAACTCATTTCCCATCAGGCTTAGCTACTGCAGCTACGTTTAATAAAGGATTAATGTATTTAAGAGGTAAAGCTATTGGTAAAGAACATCGTAAAAAAGGTGTGCATGTTGCTTTAGGTCCAGTTATTGGTCCCATGGGTTTAAAAGCTGCCGCCGGCAGGAATTGGGAATCATTTGGTGCTGATCCTTATTTACAAGGTGTTGGTGGAGCAGCGACCGTTGAAGGAATGCAGGATGAAGGAGTTATTGCAACAGCAAGACATTTAATTGGTAATGAACAAGAACATTTTCGCCAAGTTGGTGAATGGGATCAAAATGGTTGGGATAAATTAGAATGTTCATTAAGTTCAAATATTGGTGATAGAGCTATGCATGAAGTTTATCTATGGCCATTTGCCAATGTAGTCCGAGCTGGTGTTGGAAGTGTCATGTGTGCTTATAATCGAGTCAATAATACATATGCTTGTGAAAATTCAAATTTATTGAATAATTTATTAAAATCTGAATTATCATTTCAAGGGTTTGTCGTTTCAGATTGGGGTGCTCAACATTCAGGAGTCAATTCAGTCATTTCTGGTTTAGATATGAGTATGCCGGGTGAAGTTTTTGATGATTGGTTAACTGGGAAATCATATTGGGGACCATTATTAACAAGAGCTGTTTATAATGGAACAATTAGTCAAGCAAGATTAGATGACATGGCCATGAGAATCCTTGCCCCATTTTTTGCTATTAAAAGTGTTCAATTACCTACTGAAGATGATGTACCCAATTTCAGTTCATGGACTCATCATACATATGGACAAGAATTCCCCTATCAACATTATGGTCCAATTGTTCAAAAAAACTGGCATATTGAAGCAAGATCAGAATTTAGTGATAACACTGCTATAACCGTTGCAAGAGAGAGTATTGTATATACTTAAAAATACTGGGAAAAACTTACCCATAGATAAAGGAGATGGGGTATCGAAGATTATTTATTTCAGGACAAGGAGCAGGACCAGATCCAAGTGGATTTAATTGTAAAGACCAAAGATGTGTTGATGGAGTATTGACTAGTGGTTGGGGTTCAGCAGCTGTCGGGAATCCATTTGTTATAACACCTTATGAGGCAATAGCTAAAAAAGCACGAGAACGTGGGATTGTTGTTGATTATTGTAGTAACAACTGGGATTGTGAAACCAATTCGGATTTGGCAGATTATGCTGATTTATCCATTGTATTTGTTAATTCATTTTCTGGTGAAGGATATGTTTATAAAGAAAGCAATTTTGGTGATCGTCAAAACTTGTCGTTATGGCACAATGGAGATGAATTGATTGAAAAAATAGCCTCAAAATGTCTTAAAACTGTAGTTGTTGTTAGTTCAACTGGTCCCGTGAACATGGAAAAATGGATAGAAAATGAAAATGTTGTTGCTGTGCTATTCACGGCACCATTGGGTCAATTTGTTGGCCAAGCAATTGCTGATGTATTGTTTGGAGATATCAACCCATCTGGAAAATTACCCTTCACTATTGCAAGAAAGAAACAACATTATGTACAAATAATTGATGATTTAGGGGGTGAAATTAGTCCTCAAGATAATTTTGATCGAGATATTTATTTGGATTATAGATTTTTTGATAAACATAACATTAAACCAAGATTTGAGTTTGGATTTGGATTATCATATACAAACTTTCGGGTATGTAATTTAAAAATTACAGAAATAAATCCACCTTCTGAATATTTACCTTATCCTCAAGAATATTTACCCATTGTTAAAACAGTTGAAGATGATGTTTGTGATCCTGAAGATGCTTTATTTCCTCATGAAGATTTTGATCCTGCCCCTGGGTTTATTTATCCATATTTGTATAATGAAAACATTCGTTCAGTAAATGACGATGATTGCTATGAATTTCCCAGAGATTACAATCCCGACCAACCATGCAGTCCACCATTATCTGGAGGAGGATTAGGAGGTAATCCGGCATTATGGGAAGTTTTATATGAAGTTAGTGCTGAAATTAGAAATGAAGGTAAAATCAAAGGTGGTTATACCAGTCAATTATACATTGAATTTCCTAGTACTATTTTACCATCACCTCCAAAAGTATTGAGAGGATTTGAAAAAGTATTTTTGGAACCAGGGAAATCTACTAAAGTTTATTTCAATATATTGCATCGGGATTTAAGTATTTGGGATCCTGAATCTCAACAATGGATTATACAAACAGGAACATATAAGGTATATGTTGCTTCATCTAGCAAGAAACTTGAACTCTGTGGAGAGATTGATATAGGTTGTTAAGTGTTGAATAATGATTGCTATATATTTAAATATATAATGTTTTGTTAGTCAAACATTTTGGATGATATACCATCGAAAAATAAAGTACAATTCTTGCTGCGAAATCCGTGCAAGTAAATCACCTGAATAATTGTCTTAAGTATGCAGTGTACATGTGGATAATTTTAAAAAATGTCCTCTCAAAAAAAAAAAGTCGGTTTAGAAAGTATGTTTCAAGTGATTTACCTCTACTTGTGGAATAGACTTGGATGGTTACTGATAATTAGTAATTTGAAAAGTATTTAAAAGTATTTCCGATTATTGGAATTTTGGAATTACAAAAGGGGGTAATTCCAGATGATTGAAATTCAAGTTATAATGGGTTTTCCGATAGAGGTAAATCACTTGAAAAATTATGCTATGTTATGTATGTAGTGTACATGTGTTCAAATTTTAGGAAATGTCGTTTGGTTGAATTTTTCTTATTTTTTTTTTTATTCAAGTGATTTATCTTTATCAGAAACCATATTAATGCAAAAAAAAAAAAAAAAGAATTTGTTAAATGTCGTGGTTGTGAATACCTCTATTTTCCGATGAAAATTACTAGACATGTCATTTGTTATTAATATTCACCCGATTCTTCCATTTATCAAAGATGCGAGAGAGAACCAGGGGGGGGGGGAAATGATGAATGATTTATTGATTCGTTACAATTTCGGATTAATTGATAATGAACAATTCCATTCATATTAATTGGCATTTCATACATGAATCAACCAATACTTCTGAATGGATTATGATTATTTCTTGGCATGATAAAGAAGTTTCAGTTTTTTTTTTAAAAGAAAACATCCCGTTTATATGAAAAATACTTTGTTATTCTATTGATGTTGATTAAACTACGGTATAAGTTTAAATTTACGTTAAATATTAAAATTAAAATTAAAATTAAAAACAAATAAACAAATAAACAAACTTGAAAACTCTAATCTTATATTAATAGAATAACTACTATCATCCTATAATGACCCTTTGATAAGAGAAATAACACGAATTGAGAACAAGAAATTAGACAGAATAGAAAGAGAAGTATAATTTCAAATGAAAACAATAGAAGAGCAATTATTATTCCATTCCAGGATGATAACTGTGGTCCATTAATAGAAGGAAGAAAGAGGAATTATTTTGTGGAATTCATTTACAGTTTTAAAAGCGCAAATGTGTAGGTTGCATTGTTACGGTAACGTTTATGTCATCAATATAGTTTTTTTGGTGAAATATTATCCCCCCAAAAACAAACTGGGGGGGCGGGGAGGGGGCAAGAGATGATGATTTAAAGGGATTAGATAAACGAAGTTGATTAACAATAATAGGTTACTTTCATTCAATGAAGGTGATGTTTGATTTTCCCAATGTAGTCGTTAATGGTTTGGTATTTTGTTTTTTTGAGGGGAGTGGGGGCAGTGCCCCTGAGATCACATTAACCGTTATTTTACAAAGCCTTCTTTGGAATGGATTAACGTATTGAAAGGGGATGAAAACCTTATATCAAAAGAATTGTAAATCGTTGCATCATGTGAAATATCACTAGGATTAGAGATATCAACCATAGGTTATAGTTTATACCATTAGAGAATTTTATTATATATTATAGTTCAATATTTCTTCTTATTTCTTTTTTAACTACTATAAGTCATGTAACTATATAGAAGAACAATGAAATAAGTAACCGTGGATTATTATATTCACGCAAAAATGAATGAATAGTAACCACTTTAAAATAAATGAAAAATGGGATCCACAATTTTATAAAATTTATGCGATAAACCAATCATTAATTAAGCAGATAAAGCAAACAAGAAACACAATGGAAAACTCTTTTAAATCAGGGATTTTTACCCATAACCTAAACTATAACCCAGTATGAATAATAATATATGATACAATATCATTAACAATAGTGATTATCACTGTGAATAAATAAAAAAAAAGCCTCAAAAAATTTCATTGATTATCGATAAATCTATACAAACTCTTGCAAAAGTGGAAAATCCATGTGTCATACTTCATATTCAATAATTTAAACCATGCCAAGCTTTAAAAACCACCAAAAAATATGGGGGAAAAGAAAAAGAAGGTCTATCTGGATATACCGTGTCAAGAGAAACCTTTAATGAGGTTAATATATTTGACAGGTAAACTTTTCAATTTTATTTCGGACTTAATCTGCAACGCACATGATTAAAGCAATGGTTAATTGCCCAATCAGAAAAGAAAACAGAACATCTCAACGGTATAATTACAAACAAACATATAACCATTACTAATATTCTCCTTCCAAAGAAGGATCATATATATCTTGCGCAAAGTGAAAACTCAAAAATGAATAATTGTATATTTCATATGCGATAAAGGATATCTGTTTTTTTTTCTTTGACACATACTGTAAAAGTTTTTTCTTTTAGCCTTACCACTTACCTAATTATTCCGATCCCCACTGTCCTAACCAATAGATGTATTTCCTGTTTGATATCATGTACAAAATCTAAAACTGACTTTTCAACAATTATTGATTGTTTGGAAATGAAATTCTCAGTTTATCTAAACTTTCCCATAATTCATTGTTTCTCACCATGGCTCTGTTCTGCATATTTATGTCCTGTAAGATTTCAGCCAATGACTGCAAAAAATTAGTAACACAAACAACAACAAAAAGGAGAATTTGCTCAGATTTAAAAACGTGTTAATATTCAAATATATTGTTATAGACTATCTACCATGGATGATAATAATAATTAAAAGAAAAACGCAATTATGTACATCACACAAAACTAAAAGGAACTCTATCACAACCAATGTTTGAAGTGTTCCTTTGCAAAGAGGTGTAGATAAGGCAGAACAATCCCCCCTTATTAAATCTAGAACCAGAACCACTTGGCATTTCTGTTAGTAAGCAATCACTTAGAGAATGTGAACTTCAAATACCAAACACATTGCAATATGAAGAAGATCATCAGGAATAACTATTATCAGTGAATTTATCCATATGTAATAGTCCGTGCGTTTGGTTTTTTTTTTCTTGGTAAACAATTGGAAGAATTATTAATAGCAATAACAAGAAGAAGAAGAAGAAGTACTGTCCGTCCATATGAAGTACAATGGAGTAAATGACACAAAGGAATATGGTTGATAATATTAAAGGGAAAACAATGAAAAGGAATGAAAGGATTCTATGCGAAGCGAAACTGAACAAAGAAAAGAGGAATTTTCCTTTATGACAAACTAAAGGCAAATGGGCAAGCAATCTTAGAAAGACGATGCTTAGTCCTCAATGATTGACTTATTGGTTTAAAACACCGCTATGAATCTAGATATTTGTTTTAGTAAATCAATTCACAGCCTCCATTTTCCATCTAGTTCTAATTCATTATCATGTTTCTATTCCACAATCGATGGCAGTATAATACATGCATTTTGAACACCTCTCTATCCATTGTTTCTCTAACTGCAAGTCTAATATACACATGGATAGCTAAGCAAGGTTATATCATTTTACAATTATACTGCAACATTTCCTAAGTTTCACCTGTTCCGGATTACATGTAGTCTGTGATTAAGGCAGTGTGTGTTGATTAGTGCTGCGAATTTACTGCGAAAAATAATAAACTTTCGCATAATTAAATGCAACAATCAATGTTAACTCCTAGAACACACTTCACTAACTTTCTTCTGACTATGATTTATATTATATTAGTTTGAAGGATTTACCTTTTGTGGATGTTCCATTTTTGCAATGTTTGCATTCCGAATTTATCCCTAACCTTTTTCGTTTTTCTTATGATTATCATATTTCTACCTATATTCACTAACCCTTCCCCCCCTTAGATTCCACACAATCTGATTAGTTATCCATATTGGTAACAAATATATAAGAATTAACTCATATCCTCTGCTTTTTTTTTTTTTTTTTAGTATTATTACAAGATTACTCTTCTTTTATTGACATAGCCAAAAAAAAAAAAAAGAAAATGAAGTTTGATAATTCAGATAAAGATATTGCTGTTACATTTGAAGAAAAATCCCTGTTCCCAAATACCCCTCCAGAAAGTATTCATACATTAACTAAATCAGATAATCAACAACCTAATAATGGTATTGATTCTAAAGAATTATGTGAAAAATTAGGTGATGCTCATAGTAACATTTTACCTACATCACAAATCATTATAATCCTATTAACTTTATCTTTAGCTACTTTAGTTTCATTTATGGATCAAACAGGTATTACTGTTGGATTATCTGAAATTGGTAAAGATTTAAATTCACAACAAACAATTAATTGGGCAGGATCTGCTTCATTATTGGCAAATACTGTATGTCAAGTATTATTTGGTAGAATGAGTGATATATTTGGTAGAAAAAAAGTCATTATGACATGTTTAATGATTTTAATTATTGGTGATGTTGCATGTTCAGTAGCTAAAACAGGAATTGAATTTTATATATTTAGAGCATTAGCTGGAATTGGAAATGGTGGAGTATCTTCATTACTGATGGTTATTTTAAGTGATATTGTTTCATTAAAAGATCGTGGGAAATTTCAAGGTATTCTAGGTAGTTCAGTTGGGATTGGTAATGCAATTGGACCTTTTTTAATGGGAGCTTTTATTAAAACAAGTAGTTGGAGAAGTTATTATTATTTCTTAGCACCTTTAGGGTTTATGGTTAATGTTATATTTTATTTTTGTCTTAACAATAATAGTAAGAAATTAAATCAAGTTGTTTCAAGAAAAGAAAAATTTAAAAATATAGATTATTTTGGTATTTTAATAGCTAGTGCTAGTTTAACTTTATTATTGATTCCATTAAATGGTGGTGGTTCAACTTATCCTTGGGATAGTAAAATAGTTATAATTATGTTTACTCTTGGTGGTTCATTGATGATTTTATTTTTAGTCATTGAATGGAAATTTGCAAAATTACCCATGATTCCATTAAGACTTTTCAAAAGTAAATCATTATGTTTATTATATTTTGCAACTTTTTGTTTTGGTGCTGCTTATTTTAGTTTCACTTATTATATGCCTTATTATTTTCAAATCATTAAAGGCAAAGATGAAATTCAAACAGCAATCTTTGTATTACCTTTAGTTCTTACTCAAGCTGGCGGGTCCATAATTTCTGGTCAAATAATAACTCGTACGGGTCATTATTTTTATGTGGTTACCGCGGGATACATTTTATGGCTATTAAGTTGCTGTTTATTGATTCTTTGGAACGAATCTTTAAATGATGGTATTTGTATTCTTATATTGTTAATAATGGGTAGCGGAGTAGGATGCTCATTTCAGCCTTCAATGGTTGCTGTTCAAGCCAATTGTTTAAAATCAGAACGTGCTGTTGCCATATCCACAAGAAATGTTTTACGATCATTAGGTGGATGTGTCGGTATTGCTGTTGGTTCAACTATTGTTAGTAATACCGTTCTAAAAGAGTTGAATAGTATTAATGACGATAATACATCATTGACAGATTCAATTATTACATATATTCAAGGTCATATTTATGAAAAAATCAACATTAGTAATCTTGATCCAATTCAAGTATCTGAAATTAGAGATATATACTCAAGAGGATTAAGAAATTATTTCTATTTTTTAATCCCATTGATGGGTATTTGTGTTGTTACAGCATTGTTTGTTAAAGATAATGGCTTAAAAGCATTGGATGAACAAGAAGATCAAGTACCTACTCAAAAGGTTAAAGATATTGAATCTTCCGCTACTTCAATAACTATTAGATAATGTTTCCTCTTTCAATATTTATTTCCTCTTTCAATATTTATTTTCAATAATAGAACTCAGTTTATATTCGACAGTGTTTCTTTTTTTTTTTTTTTTAATATGTGTATTTATTTTATATGCCATTGTACTTTTTTTCTGTAAACTTACAAAGAATCCAAAGTATCATTTATTTCTTCAGCTGATAATTTTCTAAATCTTGGACCAGGAGTATTAGTACCAGTAAAACCCAATAATTGTTCTTGAGGATCACTAATAACGGCAATATCCAAGTTTTCCCCAATTAATTCACCATCAACACTTTCTTTTAATGCCAAGAGAGCAACATGAATAGCATCTTCCAATTGTAAATTTTCATTCCATCTTTTTTCTAAAAATGTTTTAGCCAGATTTGAAGTTTTACCAATTGCAGTTGCTTTCCAAGGGAAATAACTTCCACTTGGATCAACTTGATATAATTGAAAAGTTTCATTATATTCATCATATCCTCCAACTAATAATGAAACACCAAATGGTCGAATACCTCCCAGTTGAGTACTTTCTTGCATAACTTTAGCAATTTCTTGAACCATTATTTTAACTGGTGGATATTCATTATATATACGTTTGTAATTAACTTGAGCTAATTTACGTGCTTTATCAACTAAAACTCTAAAATCTGGTCCCATTCCACTATATGTCATACCAATATTTGGGGTAATATATTCCACTTTTGTATTGGTATCATTTTTAATTAATGAAGAATTGGATTTACGTTCAGTAGCTAATATCACACCATTGTCACATTTAATACCAATGGTTGTGACACCTTGTTTAACTGCATTTAATGCATATTCAATTTGAACCAATTTACCACTAAAGAAAACAACGTTAGTAATTATGATCCTCACAATAACGATACATTCTGTTAAAACTATCAATTAACATACCTTGGGGAAAATGTAGTCAAAGAAAATGAATATCTATCAGCCATTTGTTTATTTAATTCGTGATGTTGATGTTGATGTTGACGGTGTAATTGAAACCGATGTTGATTAAAATGAAGGTGACAACCGTTTTGCCATTATCAAACGAAAATTCGCACTGAAATATTTTTTCTTCCTTCGTTTTTGTTTTGCCTTCAGAGACAACCCAATTGTGCACTTTACACGACTATGGTGATTTTGCTCACTTTGTTTTTCTTTTTTTTTTTTATTTTACAGTGCTCTTTATTTATTTGAACTCTATTAATACTTACTTATTACGAATTATCTAATCTTCATCTTCATCATCTGTATCAACTGGTTTTGGAGTGCCCTTAGGTGAACTTAACCATTCAATATATCTCAATCTTCTTCTTTCAGCTTGTGCCTTCTTTTCATTTCTTGTCATCTTCTTCTTTCTAGTTCTAACTTTGATATTTGCTGGAGAATCATCATCATCAGCTCTCTTTTTAAGTGGAGCACTTGGTGCTGGAGAACCTTCTTTTGATGCATTTTCACCACCATTATCTTCGAATCTATTAGAATCAACTGCAACAGTTCCCTTTTGGACAACTTGACCATTTTCAACATGCCATTGTTCTGGACATAAAGCACCCACAAATTCATTATTATGTGAAATCATGACAACACCACCACTCCATTCTCTAATAGCAATGGCCAAACCACCCAAAGAATCTCTATCAAGATAATTCGTAGGTTCATCCAAGACTAACAAATGAGGGTTATTCCACATGGCACCGGCAATAACAACTTTAACCAATTGACCACCAGATAATGATCCCATTGGTGTGTGATCAGCAATATCACCATCTAAACCAACATCTTCAAAATGTTTACGAATAACAGATGGAGTTAATTCTCTATAACCTAAACCTTCTCTTGAAGCTTCATGATCATCGAATTTTTGAATCAATTTGCCGAAACCATGTTCAAGTAAAACTTCTTTTGGAACCCAGGAGTTATATTTAGGCAACCAGTATTTCCATTTAACTTCATATTGGAAAGATTTCTTTAATTTTTGTCTACCAACTAAAGCTTCAATAGCACGTTTACCTCTACCATCATCAATATCAATTTCTTTAGACATCATTTCAATTTCATCTTCAGAAACTTTTCTACTTTCTTTCAATAAAACTTCACGATCATCACCAAATCTATAACGCCATTGCAAATATTGATTGGCAGTTTTTTCTTTATGTTGTTCGACATGTTGCAATGCATGTTGGGCAATATAACCAATTCTCAAGTTTGGATGTTTTTCAACTTTACCTTCTTGAGGAACCAATTCAGCAGTCAACAATTTGATCAAAGTAGATTTACCAGCACCATTTGGACCCAAAATAGCGACTCTGGAAGATAATGACAAGGAACAAGAAACATCTTTCAAAGAAGGTTTATCAGCTCCTGGGTAGGTGAATGTAACATTGGACATACGGGCAACAGCTCTAGTATTAGATTTAACACCAGTTAAAATACCTGGAGGTGGGAATGCCATCTTGACGTTGGAGTCAGTCAAAGTGTAATAAGATTTACCTTCTGGCTTGATCTTGACAAATTCAGACAAATTACCCTTGTAGTAGGCCAATTTCTTGTTTTCATAATGAATAATATCAGTACAAACAGCATCTAAGAATCCAGAATCATGCGAAACAATCAAGGAGGTAATCTCAGTATGTTCAACTAAATAATCTTCCAACCATTTAACATTGGTAACATCCAAGTGATTGGTAGGTTCATCCAATAACAAGACATCAGCTTTCATCAACATAGCTCTGGCCAATTCCAATTTCATTTTCCAACCACCAGATAAGGATCCAACTTGTTGTTGTAATCTTTCATCTGGGAAACCAACTTCTTTCAAAGCTTTTTCAATTTCAGATCTTTCAACTGTAGCCAATTCAGGATCCAGGGCAATAAAACTAACTAAATCCATATCAGCTTCAGATCCTTGCAATTTATGTTCAACAAAACAAGTTCTTAATTCATCTGCTGATGGGAAACCTTCCAATTGGCCTTTAGAAATGGCTCTCATCAAAGTGGATTTACCAGCACCGTTTCTACCACACAAACCATATCTGTGACCCTTCAATAAACGCAATTTGGTTTTGTTCAACAACATACGAGTACCATATGCCAACGAAAAATCAGCATCAACAATAACAACAGCACCATCATCACTGACACCGTCATCATCAGATTCTGGGTTGAATAAATGTCTGACATGAGAAACGACCAATTCAGCATATTTTTCATTGCTAGTGGCCATGACCAAGTATTCCTTCAAACGTTTCCAGTCATTGACATGAGCATCAACTTGCAAAACAATGGCCAAATAATTAGCCAATTTTTCATCCTTCAACAAAGCGGTTGGTTGCTCTTCTTCTGGAATATTTTCAGTATAGAAGTTCTTGGCTTGTTCTAAAGTAATTCTACCATGGAATTTACCGTCAGTTTGTTCACTTTCAGCATCTTTCAAAACTTTCAAAGCTTTTCCAGCCAATTCTCTAACTTCTGGCAAAGAAGCATTGTTGACGACTTTTTCAACACCTGGTAACAAAATTGGAATAAATTGTTCAATTTCTCTCTTGTTGTTGACTAATCTAGTTAAGTTTTCTGTGACCATGACGGTTTGTCTCAATTGTTCATTTGAAGATGATGACATTTTCAAAGATTTATCCAAAATTGGCACCAACAAGGACAAAGCTGGTTCAGTGACTTCAGCAACGAAAGTGACAGAGGATAAGTTCTTGATACAATCAGTGACTTTTTGAGGATCAGCTAAAGTTTCAACAATCAAATCGTACTTGTTTTGCAAATCCAAGTTATCTAAAACTTTGACAAATTTTTTCAAAGTGGTGATACCAGCTTTAGCCAATTCAGGTTTGAAATCAGTAGACAAATCAGTCAATACTGGGACAACGTCAATGAATTTCATTTCCAAAACATCTGCTGGAACTTCTTCAATCAATCTATCAAAGTTAACCAAAGCTGAAACTTTAGAGTTCCATTTAGCACCAGATTTGAGAATGGTCAAGTATTCATCCAATACAATCGAACCTAAAGCTTCAACTGGGAAAATACCATACAATGAATCAGTAGCAGATTTAGCAGCTTTAATAACATTTTTATCTTTATCAGTAAACATATCATATGCAGTGGATAAGAATTGCAACAAGTAAGCTTCCTTTGGAGTTTGACCACCGAATTTAGTTGCCAATTGTTGAATAATCAATAAAGCTGCTTCTTTGACCAAAGGAGAATTCTTTGGTTTCAATAATGATTTCAAGATATCGTTCAATTTCCATTCATTTATCACAGATAAACTTTCTTCTTCGGCTATTATGGAAATAATAGTTTCAACTTCTGGTCTAACTTCAGCTATTTTAGATGCGCTTTCAATTTTACTCAAGTTTTCTTCAAATGGAAGATTTGATACATTCAACTTGGAAAGTGCAGTATTCAATGATGTCAAAGAAGTAGTGGATGCATTAGGGTTAGGGGTGTTTCTACCGCTGGTTGGAACAGAACTTGCAGGTGAGGAAATTCCTGAGTTTTGGGTATTATTGTATCTATTATTGTTGTTATAGTTTTGATTGTACCCTTGGTTGTAGTTTTGGTAGCCCTGGTTGTAGTTTTGGTATCCTTGGTTGTAACCTTGATTGTAATTTTGGTAACTTTGACCAGTTGGTTGAAATGGTTGACTCATACCATAAGCTTGGTTGTAGTTGTAGCCTTGGTTATTATTATTTCTATAACCAAACCCCTTTGGCTTGTTTTGAGCCAGTTGCTGTTGCTTTATGAAATCATCAAATGACTTAGACATGGCTATTTATGGGGTGTGTATATGTGTGATGATATTCAAGATAAGACACACTTAAGATGATGTTTCAAAAAAAAAAAAAAGAGAAGAGAAAATTTTTAAATTTTTTTTTTTTTTTTTTCACAGACACACACACAAGAAGAGAAGAAGAAGAAAAACGTTTTCGGATTTTGGTTCCACAAAGTTTCTTTTTTTTTTTGACTCCTCGTATAACCATTTAAGGAGAAGCCGCAATTCACCGAATCGGGCAACACCACCAGGTGGTAAGGCTGCGATTGGATCAAGTATCATATGATACATTACATAATATTAAATTAACTATTTGTTTCTTATATCGAGGGTATATATATATATATACTTTTGGATTATTAACAATCAGAGTCTAATTATCTTTGGAAAGCCTTTAATTCGAGGTATCTTAACCCTGGGTAGGCAATAGCAGTGAAACCAAATGAAAGCCACATACCTAAATCAGCACCATATTCACCAACCAAGTCGGCAATTGGTCCACGGTAGTAAACTTGGTTCATACCAACAACAGCACCAGCAACACCACAAAGGAAAGAAAAACATGCAGCCAAACCCATGGTTCTTCCTTTTGGTCTGTTCCAATTTGCCCAATTGTACAATTCTTCATAGGATCCACTAAATTCCTTTTCGTGTAACATTTTTCTTTCAAGATTAGATCTAAAAAACAAATTCTCTTCTAATAACAATGCAATATAAATAGAAATCCAGTATCCCAACATTGGCAAAAAATTTGTTAAAATTTCCAGAAAATGATCTCTACCAGCAATTGATAACACAAAGTAGATAATTGCGACAATAGTAGCCCAAATCCATCTTGGAATGTAAATTAAACGTGGATCAATGATTTGGAATTCAAAAGCACTGGAATATGTGTTCATGATATTGTTACAGATCAAAGAAATGTACAAGATCACCACAACAAACTTCCCAAATCCACCCCAAGCAGAAAATGTTTCCACAATCAATCCACCAACACCATAGGCATTATAAGCATCATTCCAAGGTTTGTATGATAATGCAATGTTACCACAAATTGTACCCACAACACCAACAAAAACTGTTGGAACTGCAATACCAAAGAAAGTAACCAAGAAAATCTTATAGGAAGGAGTGCTAGCCGGATACATCACATAATAGTCACCAGCACCACCAGCCCAAGTCAGGGTGATTGAATAACAAACAGCAAAATAACTGAGCCAATTGCCTCTTGTAGTTACAGCAGAATAACCAGCTTCTTTGACCAATTCATTAGATTCGTGCACATATTTAACTTTTTGACAAACAACCACATAAAACAAAACAGTGGCAACAAAAATAGGGATGGATAATATAGTTTGAAACTTTAATAAAACTCTAATACCAAAGATGGCAACCAACCAACTGACAACAGAAAGAACTACAATCCCAACAGCCAATGAAATGTTATGATTAATGGCTTGAAGAATTTGTCCTCCCAAGACACAATTAATAATTGACCATCCAAGCAAACCAACAATAGATATCAAGGCAATGATCTTGACACCCCATTCACCAAACAAGAATCTTGCAGTAACCAATTGTCTCAAACCGGATTTAGGACCCATTGTGGATGCATATGCAGCAAGAACACATCCAATAATCATACTGATCAAACCAGAAACCATAGAATCCCTCATGTTTAAACCAAATAATAATGTTGGAAGGAAATAAGAGGACATGGAAGTAAGACCACCACAAGCTGCCCACCAAAGACCAATAGTTTCAACAAACAAGTGCCATGTTGGTCTTGATTCTGCAAGTCTGTCTCTTTCTTCTGGACTGACCCTTTCAATACCCGTGGATTCAAATCCTAATGCATCAAGTTTATAGATCCAGTGAATGAATTTTGGACCGTGAGTAACTGAATTCTCGGTAGAATGTACCTGAGTGAGAATCAGTGGAACCTTTTTGTTTTCTTCATCAAAGGATGTTGATTCTTGTCTTGTAGTATAATCTTCTTCCTTCATACTCTTATATTAGTTAGTCTTTGATTAACTCTGAATCAGTATTGGAATGCTTAGTGAATAATAAATTAGTTGCATATTCCAAAGTCAATAAATAAAAATTTTCTCTTCCTTTTAAAGTCCATTGTAATCAAGGATTCATGCAATCAGTTGTTTAACTTTCTAATGTACATAATGGTCAAAAATCATTTTTAGCGCATATTTTCAAAACTGTTATAAAGTTTTGATATCCCCTAACGCGGCCATTCTTAAACATGAACCACTAATTAGAACTTAAAAAACGGTAAGAGAAAAAAAAATATGCAACAGTTTCGACAGGAGAGACCATCTTTCCGAAGTATTTAATGCAGTTGGAAAACTTTTCTGGAAATTCTGTTCTCTAATATGAACTTGAATCATCAAGACTAATCAGGATGTCAGTAATTGAAAGACTTTTAAAGGAACATAACGATATATTTCAAGAATCCATCGCTCACCCGTTAACCAACGAGTTATGTCAAGGTACACTTGCAGATTATAAGTTATACACCTACTTGCATCAAGATCTTAAATATTTTCAACTTGGGTTGAATTTGTTTGGTAAAACATTGGCTTATTGTGATTATCCAACCGCCGCCATCAGATTGGGTAAACAGATTGGCTTTATTTCCTCCCAGGAAAATGACTACTTCACAACTACACTTAAAGAATTAACAGAAAACTCAGACTTATCCAAAGTTAAGAAATTGAAAGAAGAAAACTTGACCCTTTCATCAGTGACAAAATATCTTGATTTATTAAACTACTTAACTTATGAGTCAACTTCCTACATTGAACTAATTACTTTATTGTACGTCATGGAGAAGACATACTTGGGTTGGGCACAATACAACACAGAAAGAGGAATCAAGAAAGACTTGGCTTATAAACACCAAGAATGGATCAATTTACATTTGGATTATGCCTTTGAAGAATGGGTTAATTTCTTAGGTTCTGAAGTTGAGCGTGTTGTTAAATCGGAAGATGACTATAAAGTCTGTGAAGCAATGTTTGTTAAAACCGTTAAATTAGAAACCGAATTCTTTGAATCATGTTATTCATACAGCGAATAAGTAGACCAAATTTATAGTTTCTAAATCACTTAAAAAGTTTACTTTTGACTCTGTTGAAACAGTAGATCCGAACTGTACAGGTCGGCTTGGTTTTGCAGCGGATATGTAAAGTTGCAAACATTTGTAGGACCTTCTAGTCATAATATTATTTATATAATTAGCTACGGCTTTCTAAACGTATGACAGGAAACAATTTGTTGATCTCCGTATAAACAACATATCACGCGTATAAACCTGTTGGTGCATAATTTACATATACCGCACCATGAATACGATCATCCTAAAATTCACAATTATCGTATTATATGGGTATTGCTCTAATCAAAGAGGATTGGTATAATACCATGGCAGTAATTTATAAATTTGCAAATGAGATCTAAATCGTACAAAGTTGATCATTAACTACGCCATACCAGTTTGTTTTATCGCCCCATTATTAAGTTACATCCCTTATAAACAGATAACTTGTTACGAGATGATGAGACGACAACATGGACTATTTAATGCTATTGAAGAACTTTTTCTTTATCTTTTTTTTTTTTTTTTTGAACTTTTGATATCCGGGTTTAACCATAACTTTCAACAGGAATCAGAATGTCTGTAATTGAAAGACTTTTAAAAGAACATAACGATATATATCAAAAATCCATTAGTCACCCATTAACAAATGAATTATGTCAAGGTACTCTTGAAGACTACCGATTATATACTTACTTGCATCAAGATCTAAAGTTTTTCCAAGTTGGATTGAATTTGTTTGGTAAAACATTGGCTTATTGTGATTATCCAAATGCTGCAATTAGATTAGGTAAACAGATTGGTTTTGTTTCCTCACTTGAAAATGACTATTTTACAATTACACTTAAAGAGTTGACAGAAAAATCAGACTTATCCAAAGTTAGGAAATTGAAAGAACAAGATTTGATACTTCCAGAAGTTGCCAAATATATTCAATTTTTGAACTATTTAACTTACAAGACTACATCATATATTGAACTTATTACTGGTCTATATGTAATGGAGAAAACATACTTGGGTTGGGCACAATACAATACCGAAAAAGGTGTGACAGAAGGATTAGCTTACAAACACCAAGAGTGGATCAATTTGCATTTGGGTTATGACTTTGAAGAATGGGTTAATTTCTTAGGTTCTGAAGTTGAGCGCGTTGTTAAATTGGAAGATGACTATAAAGTCTGTGAAGCAATGTTTGTTAAAACAGTTAAATTAGAAACTGAATTCTTTGAATCATGCTATTCATACAGCGAATAAGTAGATGTAAAGTATGTTTTCTAAAAAATAAAATGCAATACCTTAAGAGGTTCTCTTTCGATATTTGAAAACATCTTGTAGTATCAACTTGTTAGCGATATTTGGAACCATGGTTCTAGAATGTACATGTAAGATTGGTCTTGCATTTAGTTTTTGGAATAGACGCTATTCTTTAGAGGGTCAATTAACTTATAAGTAGGGAATCTATCCGATAAAAAGTTACAAAAGTTTTCTAAAGGGGTACAATCTAAGTTCACGTGGACTCTCTTATCAACGGAAATTGAGTTTCATAACGCACAAGCCATTTCTTATGCGCTTCTTTGCAATCAAACTTTTAAGAGAATACTCACTTGGTAGTGCCTTGCAGCAAATAGTAGAAATAGGGAGGTCTACTATTCCAACAATTTTGTCCTTGTACAAGAATACCTCCTTATCAAAACTTACTCCTCATTATGATTCACTTTAAAGTTTCCGCTCTCCAGAATAATTGATCCTTTATCAGTTTATGTAAGTATCTCCTCTGGTTTATGTTTTTACAAATCGTTACATAATTGTTGGGGGAATATTCAACAAATATACTTCTTAGACAAACAATAGCCGGTTTATTCCTTTATGCTTTCAACCATCCTTCTTCTCCCCTATCTTTTATCCCTTTTCTGGTCTTAACCAAAAATTATAAATAGGGAATGATATCCTCCTCTTTTCCCATTGATTTCTTACTTTCTTTTTATCATCATCACAACAAATCAAGAACACAATTCTACAATGTCTTCTGAAAAAATCACTTTCTTATTGAACTGGGAGGTCGCTCCATACCACATCCCAATCTACTTAGCTTCTCAAAAAGGTTACTTTAAAGAACAAGGTATCGATGTTGCTATCTTGGAACCATCCAATCCATCTGATGTCACCGAATTGATTGGTTCTGGTAAAGTTGATATGGGTTTGAAAGCTATGGTCCATACTTTAGCTGCAAAAGCTAGAGGTTACCCAGTTACTTCAATTGCTTCTTTATTGGATGAACCATTCACTGGTATTTGTTACTTGGAAGGATCTGGTATTACTTCCGACTTCCAATCTTTGAAAGGTAAACGTATTGGTTACGTTGGTGAATTCGGTAAGATTCAAGTTGATGAATTGACCAAACATTACGGTATGACTCCAGATGATTATACTGCTGTTAGATGTGGTATGAATGTTGCCAAATATATTTTGGAAGGTAAGATCGACTGTGGTATTGGTATTGAATGTATCCAACAAGTTGAATTGGAAGAAGCTTTGAAGAAACAAGGCAAGAACCCAGATGGTGCTAAGATGTTGAGAATTGACAAATTGGCTGAATTGGGATGTTGTTGTTTCTGTACTATTTTGTACATTGCTAACGATAAATTCATTGCTGAAAACCCAGAAAAGATCAAGAAGTTCTTGAATGCTGTTAAGAAAGCAACTGATTACATGTTGGCCAATCCAAAACAAGCTTGGGCTGAATTTGGTGAATTCAAACCAAACATGCAATCTGAATTGAACACCAAGAAATTCTCCAGATGTTTTGCTTACTTCTCTGATTCTTTGTACAATGTTCACAGAGATTGGAGAAAGGTTAACAACTATGGTAAGAGATTGGAAATTTTGCCAGCTGATTACGTTCCAAACTATACCAACGAATACTTATCTTGGCCAGAACCAAAAGAAGTTTCTGATCCATTGAAGGCTCAAGAATTGATGGCTAAACACCAAGAAGAATGTAAGACTTGTGGTGGTTACAAGAGATTGGTCCTTACCGGTATCTAAGTAAGACATTAAATATTCTAAATATATATTGCCTTTCTGTTTTTTTTCTTTTACTATACTTTGTTTTCTTTAATGTAGTTTCCACTTGAATTGATTTTTATTGGGATTTACGATTCGTTGTTAATGTAGAATCAACAAACACCTTAGTTTTTGTTTACGTAGATCATTTATTAATGTAATTACGATACCATCAAATTATATATACAAGAGCAAATTAAAATGTTTACTTATAAAGGAATCCAAAAATACCTTCTTTCTTTGCAAGTCTTTCATTTTCTGGAATAAAAGCTTCAGAATATTTACTAATCTTCAAAACACTTTCATCAACACCAGATTCTCTTCCAATAACATCAACGAAATTACCTTCTGGATCAATCAAGTAAAAGAAGATCAGATGATCGACCAAATAATCTTGACCTGGTTTGACATCTGGTGGAGTTGAGAAATAAACTCTGTATTTTTTACAACAGTTCTTAACTTGATCATAAGTACCAGTTAAACCAACAATTCCAGAATGGAAATCATCCAAGTATGCACGAAGAACCGCTGGTGTATCTCTTGCAGGATCACAAGTTATAAAAACTGGTTGCATTTCAATACCTTTGGTTTTCAATTGATCCAAAATATCACCCAATTTATCTAATTCTTCAGGACAAACATCTGGACAATGAGTAAAACCAAAATACAAAATAGAAAAACGCTTCATATTTGGATCAACCAAGTTTTCATGAGTAAATTTATTACCTTCTGTATCTTGCAAAGTAAATGGTCCACCAACAGCTGGAGTACCAATAGTTTTATTGGCTTCCATTTCTTTTATTCTTTGTAATCTTGCTTTTTCCTTTTGGAAGTAGTAAGTCCCCAAACCACCAAGAACAACTAACAATACAACAGCTTTCCAAGTAGCAAACTCAACAGTCATTCCAAATCCTTTTGGGTTTGAATTTTTAGAACCACCAATTGCAACTCTACTCAATGGTCTCTTCTTTGGTTTGGATTCATCACTGGATGAAGGTTTTTGTTCTTGTAAAACCTTGACAGTAGAACCAAATGAACGAGCTGGTTGTATAGCAGATAATCTAGGAAGTATTCTAATTGAAGATCTCAATGGGACTCTCGAAAGCATTATATAAACAGGGATTTGATCTAGAGATTGGTTGAAAAAAAAAAGTGGGTTGACAAAAGAGAAATATAATAAGGAGAGCAAAAAAAAAAATTAAAGGTAGTTGAGAGTACAGGGAAAAAAAGCAAAAACTCACCTAGGAATATGCGAGCTTTTTTATACTCACCAAAACGAGAGGAAGTCTAACAGAGAGTGAATGAGAACATTATAAAGACAGAATCTTATCGAAAATTATAGAATTTAGCAATCTTCAAAAAAGTTTTATACTGGGAATAAACAGAGGAAAAGTACATTTTGCAACTGTATCAGGAGTAAAACATGGTGAATCCATAGTATACTGTGAATAACGTGCGGAGTTTGAATTATTCTTTCCCCTAGGCATTCCTTCGCGTTGATTAAAGAGCGAAAAACAAAAAAAAATAAAAAAAAAATCATTGTGAAAAATTATCGTTTCCAGAATCATCTACCACAGAGTTAGTCATCTCATAGTTGCAACATGGGTAAATTAGAAAAAATCAACAGTTTGGTAAAATGGGCTGAACTGAATGGAGCAGAATTATCCCCCGATGTGCAATTCAAAGAAATAACGACAAATAACATTGGGGCAATCTATGACGGCAAAATTGCTCCAAGTGATAATGGATATCCAATTAGTATTCCATTTAAATTGATAATAACCACTCAAAATGCCATTACTGAGTTTGGTAAATACTTAAAATCTACTGAAGATAAGAATTCCAATGCCATATTGAAATTTTATTTATGTCATGAAAGAATTAATGCAGATTCGTTCTACCATCCATATTTGAAATTGTTGCCAAGTTTAGCAGCTATTGATTCTCCTTATACTTGGTCAGCTCAAGATAAAACATACTTGAAGGGAACCAATCTTGGAAATTCTTTAAAGGAAAATTTGGGTAGTCTAGTTGAAGAATGGTGGGAAGTTATAAATCTACTTAAGGATGAAGTTTCCAAACCTGAACAACATTTCATTAATATGAAGTTTTACTATGATTTTAAATTCTACACTGATGATGATTTAGACAAATACTTGAATGAAGAAGACATTAACAATTGGACAAGCTTTCCAAACTATTTATGGGCTTCATTGATACTTAAAAGTAGATCATTTCCAGCTTATTTAATTGATAAATCATGTAACAAAAATGATGCTATGCTTTTACCAGTTGTTGATTTGTTAAATCATAATCCACAAGCAAAAGTCAATTGGGATGTATCTGATGGATTTTTCCGTTTCAAATCTGAATCGATTCAACCTGGTAAAGAGATTTTCAATAACTATGGATTAAAAGGCAATGAAGAATTATTATTAGCTTATGGTTTTTGTATTGAAGGAAACCCCCGTGATTCAGTTGCGTTGAAAATCAAAATGCCAGAAGAGAAATTGAAAGAGATTGAAGAGCAAGGTATAAAATTACCGACTATTGACGATTATACCAATGCTGTCGTGGCCGGGGAAACCACTGAATCAAATACAAACTATAATGATGGTGTTTTGTTTTTCATTAATAATGATAATATTCCTGATAGTCTCATTAAAACATTCCAATACTTAGTACAAAATTCATGGGAAAAAGGAATCACTTTACGTATGCAATTGGCCGGATTGAACCATTTGCGTCTTGCTTTAGAAACAAAGAAAAACATGTTGCAATTTGATATCCCGCAAGATTCAACTAAACACAAGTATATCAAATGGTACATCGATTCACAAAGTAAGATATTTTCATCAGCTATTAAACAAATCAAGAAACTAGAAAAGGAAATTTTAAGTAATGAAAAATCAAAATTGATTACATTGAAAAATGTTTACAAGAAGGATTCAAAGTTTCTGCAGTCTTTACTTTTCTTGGGATTCCCAGATTATGAATCAATCTTACAATCTGAATTCCAAGATCAATGCTGGATACTATGGTTAATGCGTTGTTACAACCGTGATCAATATTCCAGTGATGAATTTTTACCACAATGGATTCACGACTTGTTTGTGCGTCTCAGAAAGGAAACCGATATTACTGCACAAGAAGTTCTCAACTATAAACCGATTTACGAAGGATTATTCCCTGGATTACCTGATCAATTACCCGAAATATATGGTAAAGGTCAATGGACATTGAGTGAATTTATTGTTGCTGCAAAATTGTTAGATTTAATCAGTTTTGTTAGGGGTAAAGAACAAGAATGTATATTGGTAGATCAAGTTTACCAATGAGGATTCTATCAACAAGAAACATATACATATATATATATAGAATTATAAATCCTTATTGATATTCTATTGTCTCTTCCATTGCTATCTAATTAGTTCTTGTTTTTTTTTACAGTATTAATATTATCAGCTAGTCTATTTGATTTATTGATCACCTCTAATCTTGTTTAATACCACCGGCACCTGCGACTTCAGCAGCTTCAACAGAAGCTTTGTCAGTTTGAACACCACCAGCACCAGTTAAAGCTTCCAAGAAACCTGGAGCAGCCTTGAATGGTCTTTTCAAATCACCAGTGGCTGGAGTACCAAACAAGTGAATCTTAACAATGTTTGATTCCAAAGCACCCTTTAAAGAAGAAATACTTTGCATAACCAATGGGTTGGTGTATTTCATGTAAATGTGCATGAAACCCATCATAGCCAAACCAGTGAACATACCTTTGATTTGTTGGTTAACTTGTTGCAAATCGTATTCTTTAACAGTGGTAACAATAGCTCTTGGTTCAGTTTGTCCAGACATTGGGTTAGCTGGTTCAACATATTTCAAAGTAGTCAAATCATTCTTAGCATTAATTTTAGCTCTAACAAAGAAATAAACTAAAAATGCCAAAACTTGACAAGTAATGTATGCAGCTCTAGCGTAGAATAAGACATCTGGGTCTTCAAAATCTAATTTCTTAGCGACTTGCATCATCACAAGCATGATGACAATGTTGGAAACAGCTGGATTCATTATGACGTGGTTGGTAGTGGTTCGTGGGCTTGATTTAAGAAAAAGGCTAAAAAAAGGAAAACCAACTTTTAAAAATTGTGTTGTCTGAAAAATTTTTGTTTTTAATTATGAGGGCAAAATTTTTTTTTTTTTATTTTTCCTGCTTGTTGTTGTTGTTGTTGTCGCCAGAAAGTGCGGCCCCAAAAGAAATTTTTCTTTTTTTTTTTTATCTCCTCCCAATAATTTATTGAACAGAAAAAAAGAAACCCAACAATGTCGTATACAATAAGAATCAGAAATAAAAATCACTATCGACATAAGACATTATTGCGACATTAATTGCTGTTTTATTTTTTTTTTTTATTAATTACGTTTTACAACACTCTGTATATGGCAGGAGACTATATATGGTATCTGGTATATTCTAAGCCAATAAACTTTCTTCTTCAAAGGAAACATCACCAAATTCCCAACATCCCAAGTGTTTGGATTTAGCTTCACGTTGGGCAGCGATCAATTCGTTGACATATTCTTTAACAGCTGGTTTAACAATCTTGGTGTCAACGACACCCCAACCTTCTTTAACCAATTGCTTGTTGATGGTGTATGAGGAATCAGTTAAACTTTGTTCAGCATCGTACAAAACACCTTCATATTCAGCAGAGACACCTGGTAAGGCACTAATGACCAATTTTCTATCGTAAACCAAATCTTCTAAAGCATAAACAGCATCAGTCAAGTAATCGGTTGGCTTAGATGGTGGTAATCTCAAATTTTGTAAAGTTGTAGTGTGTGCAAAAACTGGGAAATTAGTGACATTAAATCTGTCTGGTAAAACACGCAATGAACTCAATGGAACTTTATCAACATTACCAAAGTCCAAGTGTTTGACTTCATATCTACCGGAGGATTTATCAAAGTTTATAACTTTAGCACGGTAGAATTTTCCATTATCAGAAAATTTGGCAGAAACAAATTCATTCTTTCTTGGACCCTTGGATAATTTAACTGGTAAATCAGGGGATGATTGTGAGGCACTTGGAGTTTGACTGTGGAATTGTTGGAATGCTTGTTTAAATTGGGCAAATTTTTGTGTAGTTGTGGCATCTAATAAATGGAATGACAAAACACCAGTGCTTGGATCAATGTCAACAACTTCTATATCAAAGAATTTTGGTTTAGCGGCTTCAAGGTTAGCTGATTCTAATCTAGCAGTGGTTTCAGCTAACTCTTTTTCAACTTTTGCTGGATCATAGTTAGCCCAGACACCCTTTTTGGCTTCTCTGGCATCTTCTTCTGCTTTTATAAGTGCAGCAGCAGCTGGGTTGGAGTTGACTGCATATTCGTGGATTTTAATAATACCTTGTTCTAACAACTGTTGTTGAACTGGGGTCAATGCATTGGCATTAGCATACAAGTTACCAATGAATCCACCTAATTTATCAGTATCATAAATTTCAAATTCAACTGGTCTTTGCAAAAATTTCTTGTTCAAGAATTTAACACCTTCTTCGTTTAAGGAGTCATGTTTATCATTAGACAACCCACCCAAAATTAAGGTCAATTTCATACCTTCCTTAGGGTTGAACAATTTAACACGGGAAGTGGATGGAACGAACTCAACATAATAGCCACTGATTCTGCCCTTTTGTTTGAAACCATTCAAAAATGTTTTAGCTTTGGTGAAATTTTCTGAAGCATCGATGATTCTAGTACCAACAGTAAGTACTTTGTTCAAATCACCGTAAATACCTTTCTTTGAAGTCTTTTTGGCTTCTTCTTCCAATTCAACTAATTTATCCCAGTTCATAGAACGTTCATGTTGTGTAGCTTTGTTGTGTTTGATAACAGTACCAAAACCATTGGTGACAATCAATTCTGAAAGATCAGTATTGCCGTACTTGAAACTGACCAATAATCTGGCTTCCAATCCCAAATCTTTATTGGCTTCTCTGTATCCATCAACGTACAAACTACCTTGTTTACCAATAACTTGTTGTCTAACAAATTCTCTTGCAGTTGAAACCAAAGCTTGTTGTTTGGAAGAATCGGTAGTAACTGTGGAGTCATTTGGTTTTGGTGCTCTGATAGAAGCCAATTGAACAGTTACTTCTTCGTCAGAGTGTGGCAATCTAATCAATAACGTATCAGCGTTAATTACCTTGGCAATAGTAACATTTGCAATGGTGTTACCTGGTCTCAATTTGGAGCCTGATGCAACAGCTGGTTTCTTAGCAACAGTGGCATTGGCAAAGATACCTTTACCCAAAGCTTTGGCGGTTTGTTCAGCTTTTCTCAAACCACTCATGGCACTAGATCCAATCAATGTAGATTGCCAATCAACAATTTCAGCAAAACCAGATTCTAATAATTTCTCATGAATATTATTACCTGAAGAATGATTGATGATTGCAATTGGGACGCCTGATTGACTTTCTCCAATAATACTAGCCGTCAATTCAGCTTTTGTGGTTAATAATTTGTCTTCAACAAATTGTTTGGCTTGTTGGGCCACTTTGGTGATATGAGCTGGTTGGGTAGTATCATCAGTTCTTGGTGCTTTTAAACCAGCTAATAACAAAGTAGTTTGAGCTTGTTGTTTTTTGTTCAAAATCAAACGTCCAACAATTCTATCACCACTAATGACTTTTTCAACAATAAGTTTAACTGGTTTAGATTGAGATCTGTTGATGATCTCTTCAGTTACTGGAACAATCTCGATTGGGGTATGTTTATCGGCCCATAATCCAGCTTGTTTCAATTTGGCTGCGTTTTCAATTTGACTCAATTCGTAGATATAGTCATTTGATTCAGCATTTTCACCATCTCTTAATTTGACGTAACCTTGAGATAATAAATATTCAATCAATGATTTGAAAATTGGAGCTTGAATATCACCAAATTCTCTGTTAGCCGCCTTGGCTGATACTTTGAATTTGATTTCTTTACCAATTAACAATTGACGTAAATATTCCTTAGATTCAAATTCGTCAATTGGTCTTACGTGTTCCAAAGTAAGAAGTCTTTCTGGAGGTGGGAATTGGCTTGTTTTTGAAGGAACTAAAACAACAGAGTCCCCACTTAAAACGTTTTTAACTTTAGCAACAAATAAAGACATGGTTTGTATAGGTGATGATAGCTTTTATGACCAGTATTGTGTGAATGTCTTTGTCGTACCGGTTACTTGAAAAATTGTGAAAGTGAAAAAAAAAAAAAAAAAAAATGTGGGCAAATTCGCGGACAACAAAAACCTAATGATCTGTTAACAAAATTCAATACGCACAAAACACTTTCCTATCGACCACCACCACCACCACCACCACCACCACCACAACTCTCACAGATTATCTTAAACGAACTTTTTTAAAAAAAAAATAGAAAAAATCAAACCAATTCAAATAAAACTATCAGAGCCACACATTCCGATAGGCATATATCAAAAATAAAAAGACGAAATGCCACCACGTTCAACTGCTCAAAAACGTTTATTGAAAGAATACCAACAAATCTCAAGAGATCCACCACCAGGAATACTAGCAGGACCAATAAGTGAAGATAACTTGTTCACTTGGGAATGTCTATTAGAGGGACCCTCTGACACCCCTTATGAAAATGGTGTTTTTCCTGCTATGTTAACCTTCCCTAAGGATTATCCCTTATCACCACCAACTTTGAAATTCGATCCACCATTATTGCACCCTAACATTTATGCTGATGGAACTGTTTGTATTTCTATCTTGCACCCACCAGGTGAAGATCCAAACCAATATGAAAGACCAGAAGAAAGATGGTCACCGGTACAAAGTATTGAGAAGATATTATTAAGTGTTATGTCCATGTTGGCGGAACCAAACCCTGAAAGTGGTGCTAATATTGATGCTTGTAAATTATGGAGAGATAATCGTGAAGAATACAATCGACAAATCAGGCAACATGTTAGGGAGTCATTAGGATTATAAGTATTATTGGTCAAAACTTTGGACTTGTATTAGAGTTTTAAGTAGGGGTTTATCTGTGTTTATAGAATAATTTTAATTTTTACTTTTACGTAGATTAGGAAACTTTATTATCGTTAACGGGATCGTCGTCGTTGCGGAGCAGTCGACGTAGCAAGTGATCTTGTCACCAGTCGAATGGTGCGAGATTTCACGCCAATTTATTTTTTCTTTTCTTCCACCTCTCAGTTGTGCATTATATATTCTTTTTTCATTCGATTTGATTAGATCTAATAATGAGTTCAAGAACTACTAGAGTAACTATTATAGGAGCTGGTATCTCTGGGTTGAAAGCAGCAGAGAGTTTATTATCAAACTCGAAATTTACAGCCAATGACATTGTAATACTTGAAGCACAGGACAGAATTGGTGGTAGATTGAAAACAACAGATCAATCACAGTCAAAACTTGGAATACAATACGATCTTGGGGCATCATGGTTTCATGATTCATTAAACAATATTGTTTTGAACGATATGATCAACCAAGAGTTGTTGGATGTTAAGAATGATGTCTATTACGACGATAAAGATGTTCAAGCTTATTCGAGTAAAGGGAAAGTCCCAATTGTTGATAAACAGCTTAATAGAGTATTAGAAGATATCGAGAAATTCATTGATTTACATTTCCATGATAGTATAAATACACCAGATTTATCATTACACGATATAGTGGCCAAGTTTTTTGATGATCGTGACAAATTTTTGACACCAGAACAGAAACAGTATTGTGGAAGAATGATGAGATATTTAGAACTTTGGTTTGGGATATGCTGGGATAAAATCAGTGGTAAATATGCTGTAATGGATCATCAAGGTAGAAATTTATTAAACAAAAAAGGATATGGATTTTTGGTGGAAAGCCTAGCCAGGAATATCCCTGAATCATCACTTTTGTTAAACCAGGAAGTCAAAAGAATTGTTAGAAATAATAAAGAAGGTACTAAAAAAGTCCTGGTGGAAACTACAAATGGATTGAAAGTTTTTTCAGATTACTTAATTGTGACTGTTCCACATTCAGTTTTGGCATTAGAACCAAACTTGGCCCATGGTATTGAATGGGAACCAAAATTACCACAAAACATGATGGATGCATTCAATTCGATTCATTTTGGCGCTTTAGGTAAAGTTGTATTTGAATTTGATTCGATTTTTTGGGACAATGAACAAGATAGATTTCAAATTATCGCTAATGAGTTGAAGACCCCTGACGGATTGTCCGATAAGTTAGATCAATTGCCGGATCCTTTCACATATCCCGCATATGTCGTTAACTTTTCTCGGGTACATGGAAAATCTACCAAGGGAAGTTTGGTCATTCTTATGCAAGCACCACTAACAAACTATTTGGAGGCTCATCCCGAGCAAGCATGGTTGTATTATAAGCCGATGCTACAACAATTGGCTGTTGGTACGGATGTCACCATTCCAGATCCAATTAACACTATTGTCACTGACTGGACAGTAAACCCGTGGGCTCGTGGATCATACTCTGCAATGTTTACCGATGACGATCCTAGTGATTTGATTATTCAATTATCCGGTGAGTTTGAGAGCTGTGGTATACGAGAATCGTATATCCGATTTGCGGGTGAACACACTATATCTGATGGTGCTGGTTGTGTACATGGTGCATATAATAGTGGTATTCGTGAAGCACAATGGATATTAAATGATCTTCACTTAGAATAGAAATAATATTATATATATATATATATTATCAGTAGATCCTTCTAGAATGCACGAGATGATTCTCTGTCTCATCGACCAGAGGAGAGAAGAGAGAGAAAAAAAAAAATATTGGTTTATTTAAAAACGATACTTTCCACTGAACATTTTTTATTTCTTCTTGAAATTTTTGTTTAATCATAATCAGATAATCAATTATCATGTCTGCTACTGCCCAACCATTCGATGCTGAACAAGCTGATAACTTAGAAGAAATTGAAATGCAATTTGCTGTTAAAGCAGTTGAACAAGCTGAAACTTACTATTCATTATTGGAAAAAGTTAAAGGTTCTACTTTAAGATTGACTAAACACGATGATGACATTTTTAATCAATTATTAGAAGATTTCCCAGAATATAAAGAACCAAAGAATGTTTCTGTTATAAGTGAAGAAGAAATGAAGAGTCCAAGTGGTAAAGCTAAATGGAGAGCATTTTGTGAAAAATTCAACGAAATTGCTGATTACAACTTTGGTACTTTACTTAGGTTGAAAGCTAATGAAGAATATTCTCAAGAAAACACCATGTTTGCTGTTAGAATTCAATTCTATGCTATTGAAATTGCTAGAAATAGATATGGTTTAAATGACTGGATCTGCAAGAAATAAACATAACTTCTGTATAATAAAATAAATGAGAAAAGGAATGTACAATATATGATAAATACCATATTCACCTGTAGTTTAATATTCTTACTTGAGATTTTACAAACTTTGGTTCCGCCAACCAGAGAGTATGCTATATTCGTCTACTTCTTGTATCCAATTACGACGAGATGAAAGTCTAAAAAAGAAAAAGGCACACTAAAAGCAATTTAAGCGTTCAAGAGAGAGGTAACGAGAAAAAGACAGAAGAAAAAAAAAACAACTGTCAACAACTTGAAACTAATCAAGAGATCAAACTATTTTTCTGAATCATTCATCATCAAATTAATTATTTAATCCTAGTTGTAATTAAGGAGATCGAAAAGTTGTTCTCAAGGAAAAGAGGGAAAGAGCAATAAAATACTTATGGTTGCAATATGGCTCCGCCAAAATCGGTCAATACAAATAATTCCCAAATAAATTCACAAACACAATGGCAGAATAATAATGGAAACGGGAACAACAACAATGGCAATATCACCAAACTTAATCAATCTTCTTCAGGTTCAGAACCAATATATACATTACCTGGTGTTATAAACTATCTCACTTCTGAATTTACTAATTTGGAACGATTTAAAATCATGACAAATTTAGAGAAAAATGAAATGAAGTACAAGATTATTCAATTACAAGGGGAAGTGACAACATTAAAATATAATAACGAGAAACAACAATTAAAGATCAAAGAGTTGGAAGAAGAGAATTCCCGACTTAAGTTAAAATTAAATCCTGAGGCTCATGATGAAATTGAAAATTTAGAGAAAAGTGAAACGGCTGAACTAGATGAGATTGATTTACAAATGATTAAGCAATCAAGACAACAGTTAACTAACTCCATGAGAGAAGTGGTGACTTTGTTGAAAGCACCAACTACAACGACTCGTGCAAGTAGCACATTAACCAATAACAATAATAATAACGATTTTGAGGCATTGTTAAACAGCCCCGACATTGATCACGTTGACGAGTTCAATTTCAATAGTAATAACGATTATTTATCATCCCCCAATAGAAAGCATAATAAAGGAACAAATTCAAATTCTATAATTTCACAATTTTTCAGTGGTGATCTGACAGTTGAAGATTTTGGAAAAGAAAAGTCAAACGAGAGCACTGCAACACATGATGAAAGTCTTGATTTGGATGATGTTTTGGAAAGAGCTATAACAAATTCAAGTGATAATTTAACTGTTGTTCTAGATGAAGATGATAGGCATATGAATGAAGATGAGACAAATAAGATACAAGAACGCCCTCATGAGATGAATCTTCAAGAACATAATACCATTGATGACGATGATAATGATAATGATGGAGATGAAGTTTCATTTCATTCGGGACTAAGATCTCCTGATCCCAGTCCTGATCCTACTATAAATGATTATGCTGATTCAAGTTATAACCATCTTGATGTGTTCAATCACGATAAGAATACCATTTATTTGAATTCCATGAATGATGACTCCAATAAAAGAGTTAAAATGTACATGGTTTCAGATCACAAATTAATAGCTACACATGAATTTGACATGTATTCATCACCAAAGAAGATATTGAACTTATTTCCAATTAGCATTCCAGATACATTATTAATTATTGAAAAGAATGGAGATATCAAATGTCTAAATGTCAAGGATGATGCAGTGAAAGAACACACAATAACTTCAGTTCAAGCTGCATTCCAGGATATTGAATCCTGTGGACTAATTGATTTCTCTATGAAATCAAACTCAGAAAACGAATACTTTGGATTGTGTATATCTGGACAAGCATCATTGAATCAACAATTTCTTCTGAAGGTTTATCAATTGAGTTATGATTTGACAACCAAAAATATATCATCAAAAGAGATTGGAAGTTACAATAAGAAATTTTTGACAAAGGGAAAATCAGCTAATAACGTTCAATTTGCGGGTTGGTTCAACAATAACAACCTTTCTTCTGATAAATCTACCCTTGTGAATGTATCACCTAGAACTGGAAACAGTAAATTGGCTAAGAAGTCCGTTAGCTGTGATGATGTGACACTCTCACCATATGAAATATTGTATAAAGTTGACGGAAAGACAATGAAGTTGAATATTGTACTGAAGCAAAGTTCAGTATTCACTTAATAGCTTATTTTTATTTTTATTTTATTAATATATATTTATATGTATATATATATATGTATAATATAGTAATGTTAATTTTAGTTATCAAACTCTTTGATCCAAATTCATGGTTGTCAAAAGATAGACAGAAAAAAAAAATGTGATAATTTTACGACACAGTACGGCATCAACACTTTTTTCTTTTCAATTTACCCAATCAACAATTGATCAAATGTCAGACACTTCTCCAGTGATTGTTTCACTAAATGAATTAAACCATGGTTTGGATCCCCAGACATTGAACAATTCATTTGGACCTGATTCTCTTGGAATCATCGTTGTCAAGGATCTTCCATTAGATTATTTAAAACTTCGAGAAAAAGTTCTTACTAATGCATCAAAATTAGCTAATCTTCCCAAACTGATTTTAAAAAGTTTAGAAAATGAAGAATCATATTGGTTAGTTGGTTGGTCATGTGGAAAAGAAAAATTGAATAATAAGGATACACCTGATTTTAAAAAAGGTTCATATTATATAAACTGTGCTTTCCATAATGATTCATTACTTGAAGGACCAAGAAAAGAATTGGTTGATAAATTTCCTAATTATAAAGCATATACTGGGGAGAATATTTATCCTCCTGAAGAACTAATTCCTGGATTTCAAAAGGATATAAAAAGTTTGATTAATATGATTATTTCAGTTGGTGAATCAGTGGCCACATCATTAGATTCTTATATTTTGGATCATGTTGATGGATATGAAAAAGGATATTTGAATAGGGTGGTGAAAAATTCTACATGTAGTAAAGCTAGATTATTGCATTACTTTCCAGATGAGGGTGATTCAAAAGGAAATGAGGATGATAGCTGGTGTGGGGAACATTTGGATCATTCATGTATTACCGGTTTAACTTCAGCATTATATCTTAATGATAAAAATGAAATTGTAACTCCTGGATCATCAGATGATTCTGGATTGTATATCAGAAACAGACATAACGAAATTGTTAAAGTTAATATTCCAGAAGGTTGTTTGGCTTTCCAATCAGGATCTACATTGCAAGAAGTATCCAAGGGTTACTTCAAAGCTGTGCCTCATTATGTTAAAGGAGCAAACGAAAGTGTCGGATTGTGTAGAAATACATTGGCCGTTTTCATGCAACCAGATTTGAATGAGATGGTTAATGATACAGAAAATTTTGCCCAATATTCATCCAGGATATTAAAACAGAATCACTAAATAGGGTCTGCCAAACCGCGGGTATTTCAAGAAATCGTGGTGGGGAAGAAAAAAGTTTGCGCGGCGCAAACCTTAGAAATCGGGTGGTACAATATGGAATCAGCAAGAACAATTCATAACGATATCATTGATCGAGTATATCAATCGGTGTGACATTTATCAAAAGTAGTATTTCCCCGTGTGTAGTGAATCCTTTGAATGGACGAAATATTTAGAACATGAAGTAAGTACCGAACTTCGGAGTTTCGCCAATGATCATGGTTAAATTCCAGTTATAATTTGAAATCAGTATAAGGATATACAACAGTTTGACATCATTATACGTGCATTGTATATAATCTAAAAGTCAATTGGATGTTTTTTCATTATTTCCTACACATCAAATTTATCCGTGGTGGTCTAGCTAAGAAGTCAGTGGAAAAATAGTTCAACGGAGAAAGAAGAAGAAAAAAAAAAAAAGAAGTTGATGATAACAATCATCTAATTTTCTTCTTCTTCCTCATTAATCACCAACTCAAAGAACTTCAATGACAGGTCTTACCCAAGAACAATTGAACACATTTGATCAAGAAGGAATGCTCTGCATTCCAAATTTCCTTACTCCAGAACAAACCAAGAAATTATTAGATGAATCACATTTATTATTATCAAAATGTGATTTATCTACCCATCCAAAAACAACATTTAAAACTGCTGATAATGATCATATTGGAGATAAATATTTTTTTGAATCTGCTGATAAAGTTTCATTTTTCTTTGATACTGATGCATTTAATGATGAAGGTGTATTACAAATTGAATTATCTAAAGCAATTAATAAAATAGGACATGGATTACATATGAATAATGAATTATTTGAAAAAATAACATTTGATAAAAATGTTCAAGATATTGCCAAAAGTTTAGGATATAAAGATCCAAGAGTCTTACAAAGTATGTGTATATTTAAACAACCTGCTACTATTACAGATGAAGAAAGAGAAAATGCAGTACCTCCTCATACAGATGCAACTTTTTTATATACTAATCCTCAATCAGCGATTGGTTTTTGGTTTGCTTTAGAAGATTGTACTTTAGAAAATGGATGTTTGGCATATATACCAGGATCACATAAAAAATATCCTGTTAATAAAAGATTTGTCAGAGTAAATGGTATGAATAAAGGGTGCAATTTCCAACACTTCAGTGATGACCCAGAGGTTAATGAAGAGTATAAATTTGTTCCTTGTAAAGCTGGTTCTTTAATATTGATCAATAATTCAGTCTTGCACAAATCAGAGAAGAATAAATCCGATAAATCAAGATATGCTTATGCTTTCCATGTAATTGATGGAGTTGCAAAATATGATGAATTGAATTGGTTACAAATTCCTTATACGGGAGGGACTAATTTCTCTAAATTATATAAATCTACATAATTTTAAATAATCAACCTTAAGTTTATTTATTTAATACTATTGTTAAATCTAGCAACTCAGTGATTCTCTATCATTAATCAATTTACCTTGCCAACTATAATACTTTGACATATCCACATGATGTTTCTTTCCGGTACCTGACTCATACATTGAACATCCATATAATGCAGCATATGGAGGAGTATATAAATGTAGTGAAACACTAACTTGATCTTCCAAAGGATTAGATATTTTATGTAACCCAATAGAATCATTAATATAACCAACAACATCCCTTTTCAAGGTGGTTTCTTTTTTAATTTTCAATTGATCACCTTCATGATCCGGTACTTCATATAAATGTTCAATCAATTCACCAGAAAGTATTTTCATACAACAATGAGCATCAGCATGATCATGAATAGCACTTGATTTACCAGGTGACCATACTAAAATTAATAAATTTGCATTACCATTAAGATTAATGATTCCATTACGTGAATAATTTCTTGAATTATCATGTAATGCCAAATGTTTCCAATCTATTTCATCTGATTTATAATCATTCATTAATTGTTTCACTTTTTCAATATCAATATCATCATTACTCAATCCTTTACCAGAAAGTAATTGTTTTAAATCAGTTATTAGTTTATAAAATGATGAGTCTTTAGGGATACAATCTATGGTATTACCATTGATTTCACAACCATGATCTACTTCTGGTAACAAAGTAACAGGACATGATATTGGTGTATTGATAGAAGTGGTGTTGACAATGGAATTATTATCAGGAATGACACTAGCAGGGTTTACAAGCATTATACTCTAGCAAATACAGTAAAGAAAAGGGATAGTTGAATGCAATAGGTTGATTTGATATATCTGAATTAGAAGAAGCAGAAAAAAAAAATTAAGGGGGGTTGAAGGAGGAATCTAGTGCTATTTATATCATGGACACAAGATTGGTTAGTTTTTTGTGGGATAGAGATGATAAAGAGAAATTGTAAAATTAAAATTGTAACGGAAAAAGTTTTTTCGCTCTTTTGTTATTTTTTTTTTTGCTGTATCAATAAGAAGACGCGCATTTACTCATACACATTTTGATTAGATAAAAAAAAAATGTGATTATGTAATCAATATAAATAAAAAATTATGAGTTTTAATTGGATGACATGGCAGTCGTTTCCTTTTATTTGATTAGGGATTAATTGCTCAAAATAATGACGTGTTCAGAATAAAAAACAATATGTAACAATGAGCTATGTTGCTTCTAAGTTATTATCTCCACTTTTAGGCTTTTGTCCCTTAAGTAATGTTTACTCACGATGAGAACAGATTAAGAGATATAGTGGTTATATTCAATAATTGTGCCGTTTGAATCAATGTATCTGGTGATATTTATCACTCTATAGTTATCTTTACATACATGCAAGTTAATACTTCTTGATACCAACAATGATATCAATGTATCGTGCGGATAGCATTGCCACATGGACTTACCGACCAATAAAATGACCAGCATTTACCAATCGATATGTAAATTCAAAGCCCTAGCTATGGAATTTGCTATCTCTCATTCTCCCTGTTACCATTTTGCTATTATTAGTAAAAAAGAAAATTGAATTCACGTTCGTTTTTGTACAACTCATCAAATAAATCGGAAAGGGAAAAAGAGAGAGGGAGAAAAAATGACTCAACGTGGTGGGTAATAAACTATTAAATTGCATATTCAAAGATATCTTGAAAACCAAATCGATAACCTATAAAATGCTTTGTTGCATTTGAAAGATCTGATTTTCAGGAACAATTTGAACCCCAATATTTGACATTTTGCAGCTTATTGTGTTGCAAACGTAAATTATTGACACTTTTTCAAATGACGAACATTCACGTGACCTGAAAATGTTTGAATTGACTGTTGTGCACGACTGGTGTTGGAATTTTGTGATTTTAATCCGACCCGATCCTGAACCCGCAGAACTATCATAAATGTAAATCTTGCATTAGTGATAATTAATCTGTGAAGGGCTAGATCAATGAAATTGGTGTGCATCTATGGGAATATATTTCAAGTAGTAAGCAATGAGTTAGAGGTTATAACATGAGTTGTATTGATGCTGTGGTTATGTTTTAGGGTATAAATTCAACAGCTAAGTTGGATTGACTTCAGCTTCTTGAGTTTTACCTAAAGGAGATATCAATTTCTTATAATGTGAAATGATGACACTTCACTTTTTGCACAGGATATTCCCAGAACTTTGGTTTGGAATCACCACTGGAAACACATGCTTTGTGTGTTGAATAATCAAGGAAATTGGGTTTATTATAGAAAAAGTGGCAGTAAACCCGACCGGAAATAACACTCTCCATAAATTTCGAAAATATAAGAGAAGTGATGCATAGAGCCACAACTTGCAAAAAATAAAAAAAAAGCACATCATCAAGGAAATGGAAGCAAAGTTTGTTTGGTTTTAGTTAAAATCTTCAATAGATCACCATTTATACTAGATAAGGGAAAGGGAACACTGTTTGTTTGAATTATGATAATACTATAATCATGGATCACGAATCATTTGTTACATCCATTGATACTAAAGAAGAAACATATCTATACGGTCAATCATTCTATCAACGATTCATAATACAAGATGTAGTGAAAAATTTCACTCCTGCTTATTTTGTCAGTGTAATGGGTACAGGTATATCCTCTTCATTGCTTTATAGATTCCCTTATCCTAGTCGATGGCTAGAAATATGTGGATATATCATGTTTGGACTTGCATGTGTTTTGTTCTTGATTAATGTTACTTTGTTTATCATGAGTTGTGTTTACTACAAGGGGAGATTTACTAGTTATCATGTTGATCCTTCCAGACTGGTGTATATGGGCTCTTTTTCCATGGGATATATTACAATTGTCAATTTTATAACAATTATAACAAAAGGAAAACATGTTTACTTGGTTTGGATACTTTGGTGGATTGCTGTTGCTTCAGCCATTTATACTGCTTTTATTGTGGTTTATTTTTCATTTATGTCAAAACTAAATCTGGTTGAACTTGATGCTAAACTAAATGCCAATATTTTATTACCAATAGTTACAATCACCGTGGTATCATCATGTGGACACAACATTGAGATGGAATTACATTCCATAAATGAGACTATAGTAACTATGTTGACAAGTTTCATGCTTTGGTGCTTATCTGTAAGTTTAGCCATGATGATCATAACTATCTACATATCAAGATTAATTATTCATAAAATCCCAAATACTCAAATAATCATGACTGGATTTTTACCAGTTGGGTTCTTGGGTCAATCATCATATAGTGTTTATTTATTTGGCAGCAATTTGAACCAACTCATTCCTAAAGAATTATTATACGGAAAGATTTTCTTATGTATATGTGGATTCTTTTCGTTATTCCTAGTTTGTTTGGGTTATTTTATGTTGTTTGTTGCCATTATCTCTATTTTCTCCAAGATAAAACCATTTGCAAGAACACCACATCACGAGCATACAAATAGGTATGGTTTGTTGAAGTTGAATAAAAGCTTCTGGTCCATGACATTCCCTTTGGGAACCATGTCTTTGTCAAATACCATTATTGGTGGTGGTGAAGTTGGAAATTACCCCTTGTTGACATTCAAGATCATGGGCTGCATTTTTGCAGTTGCTTGTATTGTTATTACGACAAGTTGCTGCATTGGGGTTGTGCTATACTCCATTAAAAAGTTGCGATTAGATTACATAAATAGTTATAAGTATAATAACAATTGCATAGCGTGATAGAGTTTTCAAATCTTCTACAGCATTTTTATTATTGTACACATAATGAACTTGTTTCTGTATTATCTATATGTTCCATAGTTTAACGGTTCTATCCCAACCACTACTTACAATAGAATCACCTGCTCCATTTATATCACAACTCATCGATCTATCATGACCTTTTAATGACTTCACTTTTATCCAATTATCGACTGACCATATGTTAACATTCCCATCGAAACTTGAAGAGATCAAGAGTTTCCCATTGGCCTCCTTGTCATTAGATTCACCTCTTTGATGATAAAAGTGTACATCTGAAATAGGTTTAGTATGAGCTGGTATATCTTGTAATGCTTGATCATTCTTTCTCAAATCCATTACTTGTAATACTCCATTTGCATCTCCTGTGACTAAATGATTATTACAAAAATCAGCTCTCCAACAACTCCTCAATGTAAATACTGATCTCCCGCTTCTTAAATCCCAACAGAAGGATCTACCTTCTTTACCTGCACTAAATAGCAAACTACCATCTTGATGTATTGAGCAAGAAATAACTTCACTCGTATGTCCTTCTTGAACCATTAATTCCTTTTCATTATTTATATCCCATAATTTCCAAGTTTTATCAGATGACGAAGTAACAAGATAGTCATTAATTGGATGGAATATTGATTTTGTTATTCTCTGATCATGTGCTTGTTTAATAGATACACTTGGTTTTAATTGTGATTCAGATACTTCCCAAATATTTAAATTTCCTTCATTTCCACCAGATGCAAAAACATTCTTATTGCTATTCATATCCCAATCTAGTGTGACTTTTTCAGAATGATATCCATTGGGAATAAATGAAAATGTGGATAAATCTTTACTATTCATAATACAAATAGATCCATCCCATGATCCACTAGCAATAAATTCATCATTAGGTGAAAATCTAACAGTTGAAATCGCCCTTGTATTCCCTTTAATCATTTGTGATCCAAATAATTCAAATTTTGATGCTTTTAAATTCAAATTCCTTCGTTGTTTTAAATAATATGTGTAGTCAAACAGATTCATTTCTTTCTCTAAATCTAATCTTGTTGATGCTTTAATCAATGAGCTCTTTAATATCTTCAATCGTACATCATATAATTCTGAAGGTCCAGGAGTATAAAATTCTTCATTATCCTCTTCTTCATCTTCTTCCCCTTCCATCATATCTTGATCTGTGGTTAAAGTTATTAATCGTTGTTTTCTTGCCTCATCGTCTTCCCCGGGGAGTACCATTGGCTGACCAAGGTTTTTTAATTGTTGTCTTATTTCTTCATCTGATTCAGGTACAATATTATCATTGATAACTGGTATATCTTTAAAATCCATTGATAATTGACGTAATTAATTCAAATCCTATATCTAGTCTGTGGCCAGTTAAGTTGAATACCCATATTCGTGCAAATTGTACCAAAATAAACCAAATCTTTGACATTGAAAATAATTAAAAAAAAAAACTATTCTCCATGTTTGCACGACCTTTTTGAGAGTATTTAAGAGAGGGCACAAAAAATTTTTTGCTCAATTTTAAATATTAAATTATTTCGTTATTCATAAAGCATGAGCTGTTTTCCGAAATAGCATTTTTTAGGTTTGAGCCAGAACTTATGTGTATTCTACTAACTAATACACTTGTGTTTTACGATATCATCTAGCATATTTGAAGAGTCTCTTGACTTTTTAGTTATAGTTTAATGTATACAATGCTTTATTAGTTTGTCTTGTTTATCTTGTTTATCTATCGATACAATACTTGTAGGTTGTTGAAAATCTCTCTTTCATTTCTATTCGTCATTGATACTATTGATCTGATTAAGATTTTAATCTACAATAACAAGTCTATTGTTATCAAGAATAAGAATGAACAACATGGAGCAAGAGTTTCCTCAGTGATCAAATTTTGTCCATGAAGAATCTGCTCAACAACCAAAACAAAAAGATCAACTCTTTCCAAACCTGATGGTTGTCACATTGATAAGCACGGTTAATAATCTTCGTATATCTCTCCCTCCTCTCCACATCTACTCTTTAGGAACCATGTGATGAACCACTGTTGGTTGTTGTTGAACATGATCGCGAAACTTCAATCAACCCAAGTCAAACCAGCAACACTGAAAAGAAAAAAAAAAAAAACAAGACAAGACAAGACAACAACCATAAAACCAAAATACGTTTTCCTCTCTTTGAAATTCAAAGGAACTCAAGTATCATCATCATCATTATTATTGTTACGATTAGCAACGATGAACTTACTCAAGATATTAGACACTACACCTGAACCACCAATTATAGACTTGGATATTGAAAATATAAACTATTCAGGGGATTATCAATTAGCTACTCCAATGTATGATTTTCAAAAAGAATTGATTGATCAAATTATATCTTTGCATTATCCAGACATTTTAAAATATTGTGAATTAAATGATAATCGAGAGATTATTGTAAAATCATTAAATATATGTATTGAAAATTGTTTATTAGTTTGCACTCATCCTTATTTATTAATTGATCATTATATGCCGAAGAATTTCACATTTAAGGAATTACCTGGCAAATTAAGTGAAACTAGTGGGAAATTTAATGTTTTGAAAGATTTAATCAACGTCTTATTAAACGGTGGTACTTATCACTCCCTTAACATTGGAATTGTGATGAATAACAAAAAGAATGTTTTTGATTTGGTCGATGCTTTGTTATTAGGATGTAATGGTATAAATAAAAACGTGAAGCGATATGTTGGAAATAATGTATTGCGTGAATCGAAAAAGAATAGTAACGGTAATAACCACAGTGGTGGAAGTAACGGCAGTAATAACGGCAATCGTAATCTGAAACATAAAGATGCATCAGTTGTTCACTTGGTACCTCACGATGGAATCACTAGTAAAGATAAACCCGGTTTAGAGAATGTTAAATTCGATATATTGATTGTTTTGGATGGTAATGTGGATACCAATGGTGATTTCTTCAAGAATTTGAGAGTTCAAAATAGAGAATCTCCTTGTGCTATAATTCGATTGGTGCCAACCAAAACTATTGAAAATATCAAATTATATTATGCTGAAAACAAACAAGATCCAGATTATTTGTACAATTTAATATCATCAATTGTTTGTCTTCGAGATTTTATTGGTCAATTATCTCCAGATGTTTTCCCTATTTATAATCAAAAATTGACTTATTTGTCAAGTAAGTTTTTTGACAAGTTGTTCAACAATGAAAATTCCTCGGAATTTCCTGGTTGGCCATTACCACCATTAGCTAAGATTCCACAATTTACACCATATGATGTTGAAAGGTCCTTGTTAACTGAAGTTCATTTTCATTATACACCTTATGATCCAAACCCAAATGCAATGCCATGCGTGACGGAACAACAAGAAGAAAAACCAAGTTATTATGAAACAAGAAGGTTAAACCTGGACTACATTACCAATCCATTGAAGAACTCATATAATATTTTAAGTGGTATTAGAAACGATGACAATTACAACGATTCGTCTATTTTGACTCACAAGTTGTTGTTACAATTAAATGAATCGTTCTTAAAATATGATCAATTGGATGAAGAATCTAAAATTTTCAATAAATTTAATGAACCAGAGATACAAGAAGATAAAATTGGTAGAAGAGAAAAAACCATGAGAACAAGTGTAAGTAAAATAATTGAAGATGTTGATCATTCAGAATTGAGGATATCAAGTTCTACAAAAATGGCCGTTAAAAAGAGTGAACAATTGGAGAAATTAAACACAGAATTGATAGAAAAGCAAACCAAGTTGAATAATTTTGAGGAAACTATTGAGGATAAGAACAAAAAGGAATTTGTATCTAAGCAAATGGAAATTTGGAAAATAAGAGACCAAATTAAAGAACTAATCAATCGAACAAGATCTAAAAATGATGAAAAGAATTTTATGGTTCAAGAACATACAAATTGTCTAAAATCAATTGAAGAATCAGAGAAAGAAATCGACGAATTGAAAAAGAAAATTGATGAAAATAAACGTAAGTTTAGCAGTATATTAGAAGAGGGAGAATCTAAACAGGATGAATTTACAAGTAAGAAACAAAAATTAATGAATGATATCAAACAAGAAGAAACAATTAATGAATCATTGAAATTTAAGTTAAATAATGCATTTAAATTCTTGAAAGAAACATCACATCTAAAAAAACGTAAAGGTAGGGGAATCACACCAAAATAGAATCACATCTTCTTATCTTTTTCTTATAGTTGATAAATAGGCATTTCCAGTTTTACAGAATCTAAAATTAATACATTATTAATCGGACTTTCTTTTTTACTCAAGAATTGAATGACATCTTGTGATAAAGCACCACCTAAAATAGCTGTCACAGGAGCAAATTCAGTAAATGCTTGACGACTTAACAATTGGAAATAATCATCAGTGATCAATTCAGGAGGAATTTCTAAATCTTTACAAACTTCAAGGGTTTTCTTTTTCAATAACTCAATAGATACATCATCTTCAACATTTTCCGGTTTTTCAATATCTAATAATGCAAAAATTATTGGAAAAGATGGAGATATTCTTTTAAATTGTCTTTTTGTTAATTGATCTTTTAATTTTTTTGAATTAAATATTGTTTTTATTGGTGAAAATTCATCAGTTATAGTAACTAATTCTTTTTCATCTTCACCAGATATTTTTTCAATTTGAGAAATTGTTTTATGAAGTGATAATTTAGTACCAATTATTCTTTTAACATTGCCAATATTTTGTTCTTTTGTTGATTCATGTTTAATTAAATCAGTAATTATATAACCAAACATTCCATGAGTACCTGATAAATATAATGGAATATTTAAATTTCTCAGAATTTCATTAATATAAATCATATCTTTTTTATTCAATTCTGTACCAATTATTAAATCAAATTTTTTAAAATAATCATCTTTCATATCATATAATGTTTGAGTATTTATATTTAAATTAACTCGATTATTCAATTCTCGAATATTATCAACAACATGAGGTAATTTCAATTCTCCAATAATTTCATCGTTATTAGGTAAGAAAAATTGACATGTGAAATCTTCAGGTTTAATAATTGAATCATCTAATATTTCAATTGTATTTATACCTCCAAGTACTAAATTTTTAACAATTTCAGTTCCAATTCCTTTAAAATTAATAATCAATATCTTAGTCGTTCTTAATCTTAATTGAGTAGTTATACCCCATAACCTAATTTGTCTATCATATAATGCAATCTCATCTGCTGTTAATTGATCATTATTACTATCTCCATTTATCGACATATTGTCTGCTATCATATACCTTTATTATGATGATGATGAAAAGAATATCACCGAAGTATAAATTAGAAAATTTCAATTCATTTGCTTGTACATTCTACACGCATAAAGAGAAAAAAAAAAAATTTTATCACTGACCTGAGTCACGTGCATGAGTTGCAAAAAGTCAAAAAAAAAAAAAAAGAAAAAGGAAATACCTATTGAATCACTTGTCTTTTAATGTCAATGGGGATTATTAAATTATTTGCACAGTTCTTCAACCCGTTATCACATAAATCTTGATAATATAATACGTAAACTGGCATATATCGATTAACAAATTGAGTAACTTGTTCATCAGTCATGCCTGATCCATTTTTTGAAATTGTATCATGTTCTTGTTGTAATCTCCAAGTATATACATTATTAACATTATTTGTTTTTAATGTTATAAATATTTCAAAAAATGACCATATTTTTTGATATTTCACTAGATTATTATTGATTTCTTCTAAATGAAACATTTTATAAAGTTGTAAAATACCCGATACTTCAGATGTTAAATATTTTAATCTTAATAAATCAGTTGAATAATTAATATATCCATTGAACCAACCTTCAAATAAAATTATATCTATTGGTGAATCAACATTAATATATCCTGAACGATCACCTAATCCATTAAATTTTGATTTATCATATTTAGGAATTTTTATATTTTCCCAAATTGATTTATAATTTTTAATTGATTTATTGAAAATTTCATAAAGAGTAGCTAAATCATGAGTACCTGGTAATCCTCTACCTTTTAATAATGGATTATCAGTAGAATTATTTAATTTATCTTGATCTTGTTTAGTTAAATATACATCATCCATAGAAAATTGAACAATATTAAAATTAGGGTATGATTTCTTTAAATATTCGTTTAATTGATTAGTTAAATATGTTTTCCCTGATCCTTGAGGTCCATTGATCCCAATAATTAAAGGTTTTTTTGTGAAATCATGGGTTTTAATTTGTGAATCAAGGTATTCGGTAGTAATTGAATATGAAGTCATGTTGTTGGTTCTGATTTATCAAGAAATTTATTGAATTGGGGGAGGGGGAGTCGAGTCGTCTCCATTTTTTTTTCTTTCTTTCTTTCTCCTCGTCGTTGGTGTCGTCGTCGATGTCGGTTTACTCCGGTGATGTATCGTTAAATACCGGGGAGAAAAAGATCCAGCAGGAGCGGAGTACAGGTGAAACAAATTTACTTACGCTTATATAACCTCTCTCTACGTATATATATGTAAACAACATTTACATAGTACATATTATAATTAAATAGCTTTCAATTCTTTTAATTTTTCAATCAATTGATCAACATTATCAACTTTAATACCAGCAGCTCTAGCTTCAGGTTCTTCAACTTTTAAAATTTCCAATTTATTTTCAACATCAACACCAAAATCATCAATTTTAGTCTTTTTCAATGGTTTTTTCTTTGCCTTCATGATATTTTGTAAACTAGCATATCTTGGTTCATTTAATCTTAAATCAGTAGTTATAATCATTGGTAATTTAGCTTTTAAAACTTCTTCACCACCATCAATTTCTCTAGTAACATAAACTTCATCATTTTCTTTAATTTCAACTTTTGCTGCATTAGTAGCTTGTGGCCAATTTAATAAACCAGCTAAAATTTGTCCAGTTTGATTAAAATCATCATCAATTGATTGTTTACCTAAAATAATTAAATTTGATTTATCTTCTTCAACAATTTTTTTCAAAATTTTAGCAACTCCCAATGGTTCAATTTCTTGATCAGCTTTAGTTTCAATTAATGTTGAAGTATCTGCTCCTTTAGCTAATGCAGTACGTAAAACATCTTGTGCTTTTAAAGGTCCAATTGAAACAGCATGAATTGAATCAACATTTAAATTTGGATTATTTTCTCGAAGTCTTAATGATTCTTCTAATGCAATATCACAAAATGGATTGATACTGAATTTAACCCCCTTGGTTTCAACTCCTGTTCCAGTTTTGTTAATTCTTGGTTTAATGGCAAAATCAATAACCCTCTTGACAGGAACTAAAATTCTTAATTTTGAAGACATGATTGATGTTGACCTGGTGTATCTTGGTTGATCTGTAGAAGTAAATATTGCGGTGAAATTTTTATGAGTACGTTTTTTTTTTTCTTCGTCTTCCTTTTTTTTTTCATCACCAATCCCTAAATCGGCGTGCAACCAATTATTTTAATTCGTTGTAGCGAAAGTCGCAAAGAAAAAAATAAATCTGATCTGTATAAGAACCGTATTAATTCATTATGTAATAAATAGCAAAAGGAAAAGAAAAGAAAAGAAAAAGAAAAAGAAAATACAAAGAACAATAAAACAAATAACTACTCTACTACTCAAGATTCAAAGGTGCACGAGTTCTAGCTTTCATTCTTTCAATTCTTGCCTTTAATTGCATAGTAACTTCAGCAGCACGTTTCCAATCAGCTCCGTTATCAACATCCATTGACTCTCTACTATTTGTCGGAACAACAGATGGACTACCATAGCTCATACTAGAACGGAAACTATTGGCATTAATAATTGTACTAGGATTACTATTGTTATTGCTATTGCTAGTTCCATTACCTGTTGATAACCCATTACCATTTCCACTGGCAAAGTTTTGATTCTCCTCGCTACCAATAGATAATCGCTTGACACCAGTGCTGATATCACTAGACATAAATTTAGATGCGGCTGTGTTTGGTTTGTAGAAACTATTTCTGGAATGACTGCTACTCATATTACTTCTTTCAAACGCAAGATTAGATTGGTGTAATCTACTGATTTCTCTCTCTTGTTCTAAATCTTTAATCTTGTAGTTGGCTTTTTCAAGTTCTAATTTCAAGTTGTTAATATGGGTATCCTTATGGTTGGACGTAATCAATGCATTTCTCTTTTCATTATCTAATTCTCGTTTTAATGACTCATTCTTGTCTTGATAAAGCTTGTTTGATTCTTCTAAAGAGTTTATAGATTTCAAATTCAACTCTTGTTGATGCTGTAAGTTATTTTTATCTTCTTGTAAACCAGCAATTTGTTGCTTTAAAAGCGTAATCTCTTCAAAAGAAGCAGCTGATTGCGGCAGGGGTACAACATTATCAGAAGCTGAATATTGTGCAGTTGATGATGCCTCAGCTGTTGCACTTGGAGGACGCAAATTTGGCTTGGCTAATGATCTAGCTGTCATTCCTCTTCCAGTTTTAACATCATCACGCTTTACTGGAGATGAAGCTGAACGTTTAGCTGGTATTGTTGTAAAAGAACCTGTTGGTTTTGGTTGTGATCTTGCAGCAGGTCTAGAAGATGTTGACGTAGAAGGTTTCAAAGCTGGGGCAGTGGATGCTCCTCTGCTACCACCTATTGAAGTCTTAACTTGTGCTTTCTTTTCATAATAATCATTAATTTTAGATTTTCTATTCTCATCAACCTTCTCAAGAAATCCATTCAACTCTCGAGGACCAGTGATTTTCATCAATGTACCAATCATTTCTGTAGCGGCCTGTCTAATTGGCTCCTGTGATTCGCTTAAAAGCTTGACACCACCTTCCATAATGAGATCTATTTCAGCTGTCTTTGGTGGCACTTTGGTATTCGATAAGCATCTTTTGATAAAATTAGCTGATGCAATCTTGTTTTGAGGGGTTTTTAATTTCATACCATTTACTGCTTCTTCTAAAACCCCGCCATGGAAACCTGATATACCAAAAATGGTATCCAAAACATTATCCAAAGCTGTTGCAACTGATGGTTTCTTTTCTTTGAGTCTTTCCACGACTGGTGTTATCACTACTGATTGATATTTGGAAAACTCGTGTCCCAAGCCTTTTGCAATAAATTCGATACAGTTGGCAGCCAATTGTACAACCTGAATGTTAGCATCTTTCATACATTTAGCAAATATTCTTAAAACTGGCAAGTAATCATCATGAGTGACCAATTTAGGGGATTTTTCCAAAACTGGCACAACCTCTTCCAAAACTGCTTTTCTATCTTTCCAAAGACTGGATGAAATTCTTGATTCAAAGTCAGAAGGAAATTTACTCAAAACTTCCACAGGATCAACAAATTCCAACGGATCAAAATCTTGTGCTTCTTCTTGATTATAATTATCACCAGCATCAGTCATTTCCACATCATCTCCGTCGGTGGTTGTAGTGGCAGCGGCGGCGGCAGCAGCAGCAGCAGCAGCAGCAGCTTCTAATTCTTTTTGTCTTTCAATTTCTTCTTTTTGTTTTCTAGTCAATCTCTTTTGTGTTGCTGGTTTACCAGTTTCTTTCTCAAATGCAGCAGTTAAATCTTTTTGTTGCACTGGCTTCAAATCGGGGAATAAGATATTCGACAAAGCATCACCCATCCATCTGTACAATTCAATAGTTAACTTTGTAGTTTCATTTCTAACATTCTTATCGGCGTGGGCAAATAATTTAGTCAAACAAGGAATGACAGGTTTTGGTGAGATTATTTTACAACCAAAATTCTCAAAAATAGATACTAATCCAGCAACACAACCAGTGACTAATTTTGGAAGTCGATTTGTTAAATAGGGCAATATATCTTCAACAATTGAATTTGGATCATTTGTGATTTCCAACATTAACAAAAGGGATTCATTACTCCATTCTTTGGTATTCTTTCTTGTAGATAATAAACCTTTCTCACAAATAGATCCCACTATTCCTAAACTTTTCAACTTATTGACATTGGAAACAGTTCCTCCATAAATTAAAAACTTGACAAATGTATTGTATCCAGCTTCTTGGGCGACTACATTTGAATCTAAAATAATCTTCTTGAGTACATCTAACAGAAGATTGGTAAACACTGGATCATTTTCGTTACGTGACTTTTCAAATTCTGCTGCCAATTCATCATATGCCTGTAATCTTACTTTCCAAACTTTATGGACCAATCTTTCATCCAATGATAAACTGGAATAATCTTCTTCTTTATCATCCATTGTATTGTTGTGGTAAATAATTGAAAAAAAGAAAAAACCCACTAACACCAAAGTTTTCTGTTATTTTTCTCTCTAAATTTTTTTTTTCTTTTATTGTTTTGTTTTGTTTTGTTTTGATTTCAGACTCCCAAAGAACTTTTTATAGTCGTCTCGTCTCTAGTCTGTTGCGCGAGCCCTTCGTACTCCGTGGTGCATGCCCAATTGCAATTATCGTACACTTTACAAACCATATTCTCATTATACTATAATCATATTCATTACTTTTATGTTGTTTTTATTTTTATTATTACTATATGGATTTTAAAATGAATATATATATATAAAGATAAATAATACTAATTTGACATATCACCGGAACACAAAAAAACTACCAGACTTTCTACCTACTTTTTCTTCTTCTTCTATTGTTGTTTGTATTGTAAACCATATTTGGCATATATTTCATCTAAAGGTTGTAATTTGAAACCCCAGTCAGCCTCACCTTCTCTGTCAACATAGTATTTCTTCAAATCAACTTGATGATAAGGATGATAAGAAGTGTTGAACCAAGGAATAACAAACATTAATAAATGACTGTATTGACTGTTTCTATTGGAAATATCTTTACTTCTATCATCCAATTTACTCAAGTTTTCATTATATGGTAATTGACCCAAACTTAACTTCTTTTTAATTTCATATCTGTCCTTCTTAACTTCTCTTTCATTTTCTCTCCATCCAAGAAATCTTTGACTTGATCTAACATAATTCAAACAAAAACCACCTACAAAACCAAGTAAAGTAGCTGCTCTTACAGTAGTTCCAGTAACAATACTTGGTTTCATTCCTTTACCAGTAGAAGGTTCTAATTTTTCCCATATTTTCATACCAATTGGGAATGAAGCAGTAATTAAACCCCAATTAACATAATCAGATGGTCTGAAGTATGAAATAACTCTGGTGAAATATGGATCTCCATCAATTAATTCATATTCACTGTGTACTGGTGGTGCTCTGACTGGTTGATTAGAAGCGGAGTATGACATGTTTTTTTTAAAAAAATATGGTCCTTTGTTGTTGAAATATTGTCTATTCCAGGTAATCCTATAGATGGAAAGAAGTTTTTCATAATTTTTTTTGCTCAACATTTGATTGGTAACGAGAAACCCACACACACACACTACAAGAGAAAAAAAAAAATGAAGTCGTGTGTAATGTGACAATATCGAATGACAAATTAACAAGATAAAGTAGACATCAATATGAAAAGATTAGTTAGTAATAACCAGTTGCTAGAGCATCTATGAATAGATTTTTATATGTAGAGTTGATCAATATTGCCACTACCAGGAGAAATCACATCATAATGGATACGTAGAATTTCCCTTTAATGTGTCAAGCACAATCATTAAGAATAGGAAACATATTGGAGTAATTCTCTACAAAAACGCTTACATCTGTCAGTCTTATTCATTCCTCAAAATGTGTCCTTCTCCCAATTTTACTGTCATGATTCTTTAGTAGTCATATATTCCTAGGGTATCATGATTTATACGGGCGTAAAATTACACATACCGTCGTTTGCTCGCACAAAAGAAAAATCTCAAACCGATAATTACTGTAGATATCCGAAATATCAAAAAAGACCAAAAAAAAAAACGTGAGAAATACAACTATAACTTAGTCGCCACTAATCATTAATAGATATAAACTATTATGCCGATTCAATTGCATCATGAAGAAGGGGATGAAACATACCCACATCATAATGATATATTTAAAGATGAACATGAACCTAATATTTTGACTAGATTTATTAATAGTGTACGATGCTATAATATTCCAATTATTAATTTTATAATATTATTGATTTTGGGCATATTTTTAATTAAACTAACTACAAAATATACTAATTTATATATGAAAAATTCATTGATTACAATAATAATTACAAATTTGGTATTGTATGGAATATCAGAAACTTTAGCTCAATCAATATTATGTTATAGAAATGATCAACCAATGATTAATTATAAATTACATGAATCTAGTGGTAGAAATAATAATAATGGAATTGTACTTCATAGTGGAATTGATGATTTAGAAGAAGGACATGTTGAAGAAGAAGAAGATAATAATAATGATGATGTTGTAGTAATACCTTTAAGTTTTTTCAAATTTAATCGTTTGGCAGGGTTTATGTGTTGGGGTTTTATTATGGGATTTTGTCAATGTCTTTGGTATAAATTCTTACAAATTTATTCTCAAGAGCCAAAATTTATTGAAGTTTTAAGAAAAGTTATGACGGATCAATTTTTATATTCTCCTGTTTCATTATTTTGTTTCTTCACATATGGTACTATTATATTGGAAGATAAAACTTGGGAAGATGCAAAAATAAAACTAAAAAAAATCTATATACCAACGTTATTTGTCAATTATTCAGTTTGGTTCCCAGTACAATTTTTTAATTTCTTGGTGATTCCTCGAAGCTTCCAAGTACCTTTCAGTTCTTCCATAAGTGTGTTGTGGAATTGTTATTTATCAATGAGAAATTCAACAAACTAATTCAACTCAAATATACATTCCTAAATTTGAGAAAGCACCATTGAACTTTCTAACTTTATTACTGATTGCATTCAAATACTCTTGTTGATCATGAATATCGATTAAATTAACTAGTAAATAACTTGTATCAACAATTGAATCATTATCTGATTTCTCGAATCCTGGTTGACCTTCGGAATTCAATACCAAACATGTTACTTTATTCTCGGAATTTAAATTCAATTGAGAAACCATTGACCCAGCAATACCTGTAATGGCATGAGGAGGTTTCAAATCAGGTACTTGGTCTAATAATTCTTTCCCCTTGTAATGTTCACCGGAATATAATTTATTGATTGATTGATTGTTATTCAATCCACAAGGTGCTAAAATTATCCAATAATGAGTATCTTTAAAAACTTTGATGATTTCTCTTGCCAATAAATTATAAGTTATTGAATTAAAAAAATGAGGAATAGTTATTGATAATATACTATTATCTTCATTACCAACAATAGGTATATCCAATTTAGGATATTTATTTTTCAAATTTTGATTTTTTAATGCCACATATAATTGTTCATCTTCATCATATTCCAATTCATTACTTTTATCAATCGATTCGTATAATTCAGGATAATCAATATTAATCAACCCAATTGATTCAAATTTTAATTGATCTTGTAAAATACTTATTGTTGATGGTAAAACAATTATCGTCTTTGGTGAGACTTTTGGTTGTTTTGAAAGTTTTATTGTGATGGTTGGTTTGAAATTTGGTTGATTCTCATCCTCGTCTTCCAAAGTATGACGAGGATTTCTAGTTTCTGTGATTGGTTTAATCTAATGGGCAATACATTGTTAATAATCGGTATTTTAATCGTAGTAAGAATTGAGTAAACGTATACATACTAACATGGTATAAGTTTGCAACTTAAAAATAGTTGCCACTGATAGAAAATAGATTCAATTTTTCAAACCCCAAATGTTTATATGATGACGAGAAAAAAAAAAAATACACGTGGAAATGTGTCACGTGATGGTTTTGACAAATTGATTAATTGCAACAATTGATGTATCCAGTATCTATCAAGAGATTCAGTTTCAAGCACCTGCATTGTTTACCCTTTAACATAGACATGGAACCTACACATTGAGTATTATGATTTATACGATGGAATAATGCAAAATCGTACCACTGGTGAGAATCGAATGAGGAGAGAGAGAAAAAAAAAAAAACACACAAGTAAATGAAAAAAAAAGAAGCTATAGTATGAACCAACCAAATTTATACACATACCTGTCAGATAATGTTATCCCGTGGTTTCAAATTGACTAGCAAGAGAGTTATAAATCCTATATTGTTTAGATCATATCATTCTACTGATCATATAGGTTCTAATACTATTTTAAATCAATCTACTATTGAATCTAAAATTTTAAATACATCACTTAAATATATTCCTGAATATGGATTTGATCAAAAATGTATAACTAAAGCTATTCAAGAATTAAAATATCCTGATTCTTTAAATAGTGTTATTTCATTTAATGATAAAAGTCCAGCTTTACAAATGATGTTATATTGGTTGAAATTACAAAGATCAAAATTAGAAACTTATGTAATTGAACATGCACAAGAATTAGATTCAATGAAAAATGATTATGAAAGATTAAATCATTTAATTAAAATTAGATTAATGTATAATGAACCAATATTAAAAGAATTACCTCAAGGTATTGCCCAATTGATTGTTCCATATAATTTAGGATCTGGATTAGAACAAATACATGAATTAAGTGATGATTTGGCATTTTATTCTGGAGATGATAGTCATGATTTTAGTTGGTATAGTAAGAGATTAGGTATAAGTACTATTTATGTTAGTTCAGAATTATTTATGGTGAATGATACTTCTAAAGATTTTGAAAGAACTAAACAATTTGTTGATAATAAAGTAAAAGATTTTGAAAAATTAGGAAATGGTTATAATGATGTCGAACAATGGTTAGGTTTTAATGCTATTTCTTTAGTAAATTTAATTAAATCTCAATTGAACAGAGGTTGATGTAAAATATGTTTGTATATACATTATTAGATAAAAATATATATATAGTTTTTCACATTTATTGTAACTGACTACGCACAGCTATTAATTTAGTTCTTGTTTCTTCTAATTGATTTTCTTCATTTTCAATTTTGGATTCTACTCTTTTAATTTCATCTTCTATAAATTCAATACGTTTGTTAACATTCATTTTAGCTTCACTATAATCTTGTGGTAATAATATAGGACCAGTTAATTTATAAATTTTGGAATCTTCATTAAGATTATCAAATTCTTGTAGAACTATTTTATTTTCTTGATATTGAGTTTCTAATTTTGATCTTGAAGAAATTAAATCATTTAATTGATTTTGATGATTATTGAAATTTAATGATAATGTTTCAAATTGTTGTTTCAAGTCAGACATTCTTCAGTATAGATACACAATTGTTAGAAATGGGTCGAATCATCAAAGGATTTTTCTCTAGTTCTTTTTTTTTTTTTTCTTTCTTATTTTGTTCCTCCCTTTGCCATGGTCGTGTTGGGACGAACTCGACTCACGCCAATTGTCGCAAACTTTAACTCCGGGTCTTTACATGGTTCCAAGGTCAACATCAAATATTCAAACACATATACCGTGATTATTTACAAATCCTATAAAAAAAAAGAATATTAAAATGTTAATCAGAAATGAAACAAACAAAAACCAAAAACCAAACTAGATATTAAAGATTAGAATAAAATAATTAAAAAGAAAACCAATTAGTTATTACAAACCCTTTTTGCCAAAACTAAACCAAAACCAAACCAACCAAACAACAATATCAATATCAATACCAGTACCAGTACCAATTATTGGTTTTAATTAGGAAAAATATCGTTTTCTTTTTCATTAATTACAATTTCTGTAACTCGTACTTTATATCTTCGATTAGTTTGATCCCCACCATAACCTTGCATTTCTTCATATTCATCATCATCGTCGTCGTCTTCCTCCTCTTCAACAACTTCTTGTTCATCGACCATGACTTCATCTTCATCTTCGTCATCATCTTCAATCGCTACATCATTATCATCTGTGTCAATACTGTTTCTTTTACTTTCATTCAAGTTCGGCCTTTGTGGATGATAACTAGTGTGTCTTCTCAAGCATGTGTTACCTCCACTATTACCATGACTCATACTATTCAATCTTCGAGTTTTTTCAATAGCCAAACTTCTCAGTTGTTGATAAGGAGTAGCAAATAAATCCTGATTAAATATAAAACCTTGATACTCTTTTAAACTTATGATATTATAATTATTACTATAAGATGATTCATAAACTTGGAAATTTTCATTTTCAATCATGGAATTACTTAAAAATGAATTTCTTCTAAACCAAGGAGATGAACTATTGGCTAATGATGAGTTTCTTCTTTTAATCATCGTGGGTTCAGGTCGTGGTGATGGTAATTTCGGGTTCTTAGGTGACGTGGCTGATTTACGTCTTGGTTTTGTAGTTACGTGATTGTCCACCATTTCTTTTCTTATCTTCTCCCACACTTTCTTTTATGATCTCGTATAACACAATACTTTACTCTCACACACTTGCACTCTCTATATCCTTAATTAAATATGAGATAAGTCTTTTTGATCTAAAGTTGCTGAGTTGTAAGAAACTGTTAATTTATGAGCAAAAAATAAAAGAAAAAGAAAGAGAGAATGAGAATAAGAGAAAAGGGAAAGGGAAAAAAAAGTGTGATTGTTATCTCGGCTTACTGGGTTACCACCACTCCTTTTTTTTGATTTGATTAATTCAGTTGCTCTCTTTGACTAAAAATTGTGGTTATCGCAATACACAAAAGAGAAATAAAGAAAAAAAAAATTGTCATGTGACTAGTAAAGTCACGGGGTATTGTGTCACGTGATATGTGATAGTTCAAGTATGATTGACACTATATACAAAAATATAACTAACTAACTAAATAAGGTTCACGTATACCTTCAGCAATAAATAATAATAATAATAATAATAATAATAATAATAAACCATAACAAATACTCCAAAATAAATATAAATCATTTCCCTCTTTTTATTTTCTTCTTTTTGATTAAAAAAATCATATATGTGAGACCTTAATCAACATATTGAACTACTTTATCCTTTGAAAATAATCCACCTTTTTCTTTTAATCTCATCATAGCAAATTGTAATCCTAATTTTGATTTTTCCATATTTGTAGAAAATCGATTATGACTCCATTTTTCAATTTTTTCTTTAAATCCAAACAAATTCGAACTAAATTTAACTTTACTTTCCAAACTAGTCACTTCTAATCCAGTACTTTTATATTTTAAAAATTCTTCTACTCGAATAAATTTCCTATGATCAAGATTTGAAGTATATGAATATAAAACTTTTTTATTTGGATCAATTACAGATTTTTCAATAATCCAAGAATTCAAATTATTCCCCAAGAAAGGTTTAATAAAATTAGGTAATCTACCTGTTTTAACAATCAATCTAGTTGTATTTAATTGACCTTTGGAATCCACAAATGATTCTATTGTATCTATTGACAATACATGTTTTGAATATGGATTTGGATATCTATTGAAATATGCCAAACTTGTTGTTTCAAAATCAAAGTTGAAATTATGTTTATTCTCAAAATAAAGAACCATGATGAATTATTATGATATTAGGAATGTATGAAATGGAATATATGGTGAATATAGAAAGTGGTTGAACAAAAGAAAGGGAGGAAAGTTTTTCGTCTTTTATATGTATTCTTTTTTTTTTTTCAGCACGGAGAAAAAAAAAATGAGGAATTGATTTTTCTTAAGGGAGCGATGAAAGTCAGGTTATTTTTTCTTTTTTTTTTTTTTTCTCCCGCTTGTCGTCGGGCCAATGTGCGTTACGGAAATTGTAATTATAAAGCCCGTGGATATTGTTACAAGATGGTTACGAAGAAAATAATACTGCAACAATAGACATGTAATAATGACTGTAACTGTGGAGATGAGCATGGATTGTTGATGAGGGGAGTTAGTTGATATTAAAAGAGGAGAAAACACCTCGAAAAGATAAATTTATTAGATGTTCATACTGTGAGCAAAAGTTACTCCAGGAATTGAGTAAAATTTTACAGAAAAATCAAATCATAAAACACAAACTTAATTTTTGCAATAAATGTCAATAAGAAAAATATGTGATACTGTTGGAATGTTACAATTAAACGAATAATATAGTATAAACTCTACTATGATTAAATCTGTCACAATCATTGGAGGTGACATTTTACTATATACATCAGTTATCATTAACTCGAAGATGTCCAGAGAGTTTTATGAAGCACTGGACATAGTTAATACTAGTAGACAGGTAGAATGTGTCATTTTTTTTTTAAATGTAATTGATGAGTGCACGTAAGCATTTACTACACAATCAGGAGAAGCGAAAATTTTACAGTTTCCAACAAAGCGACTGGGTGGCCAAGTTGGCTAAGGCGTGAGACTGTTAATCTCAAGATCGTGAGTTCGACCCTCACCCTGGTCGTTTATTTTTTGTTTTTTTTCAACTAGTTTTTTTTTAAACCACTGGAAGGAATTCATCTAGATCTGCTCTTCACCCATAATAGGGTTTACTTTTACTTTTTTTTTTTTAAATATAACAAAACACATTATTTATTTCATGTACTTTATATAATAGTCTATTTCTTACCACTCTTCTTAATACCACCACCAACTAATGGACCACCTTTTTTAGCTTTTTCAGCCATGGCTTTTTTAGCAGCAGCATCAGCTTTTTGTTTAGCTTTGAAGGCTAAATCATCTTCATCTAAATCTTGTTGTTTCTTCTTTGGTGCCTTTAATGGCTTGGCTTTACCACCTTGACGTCCTGACATTGTTCAGTAATTGATAAATGTATGTAGTTGAAGTATCTCCAAGATGACTATGTGTGATGATGATGATTCTCATTGAAAGTTTTTTTTTTTGTCGTTGTTGCTGTGGCAGAGAGAGAGAGACAAGATTTGGTTTTCGATATGTCATGGTGTGTTGGCGGCGGCACACTACCTCCTTTGTGATTAACAAAAAAAAACTGAAAGTACGGGCAAACAAAATTAAAAGGGGAGTGAGAAAAAAAACACACCTGAAATAGTTTCTGTACAATTGTTCAACAATTTGATTTAAAATATCGACAACTTAAGGTTTTCATTTGGTTAATCATGGCAGTATTGACAACTCCAGATAAGGAGAAGATTAAAAGAGTTATACCAAAAGCCAATAATAAAATCATTGATGCAACAGTGGCAAGATTATATATTGCATATCCTGATCCTACCAAATGGGTTTATACTGGATTAATGGGAGCAATTGCCTTGGTTGATGATTTAGTAGGTCATACATTTTTCCTTAAATTAGTTGATATTACTGGTCATAGAGGTGTAATATGGGATCAAGAATTATATGTAAATTTTGAATATAATCAAGATCGTAAATTTTTCCACACTTTTGAAATTGAAGATTGTTTAGTTGGATTATTGTTTGAAGATACCAATGATGCCAGTCATTTTTATAAACGAGTTATTAATAAATCAAAATATGGATCAAGTGCTACTGTGAAAAACAAAAGTGCAATTGCATTGAAAGAAAGAGTTGGATCAACACCTGGCCATCAAGCTCCTGGTCCAAGAGGTGAATTTATGGATGTTAATACAGCACAAAGAGCAAGAAGAGCCAAAGGTGTTTTGTATTATGATGATGTACCACCACCAGAATGGAGATCTTTATATGCAGAATTAGAATCTGCTGGTATTACTGAGGATATGATTGCTGATAATAGAGAGTTTATTAAAGATTATATTGCCAAGCAAGGTGGACCATTGGTTGGTTTGGAACCACCAATTCCTAGAAAATTCCAAAGAAAACACGAAGTTGAACATTCTAGTCCTGAGCCAACACGAGTATCATCAGTGGCATCTAAAGCTAAGAAAGCACCACCACCACCTCCACCACCAGGTGTAGCACCTGCAAGTTCCACAACAACACCAGAACCAGTTTATTCTCCATCTCCGGTACCTGAACCTCCACAGAATGCACCACCAGCATATTCATCATCAACTCCTACTCCCGATCCAGTACCTTCATCAGTACCAACACAATCTGCACCTGTTCCAGCGCTACCAGCACAGGAGCCACAGAAGAAATTCAAATTACCACCGTTAACAGCAAAAGCACCACCAGTTAGAAATACATCATTGCCAAGTGCAAGTGAATTAAGAGACAAACCGTTACCACAATCTCCAATGTCACCGGCATCACCGGCATCACCAGCATACGCAACCCATCAACAACAACAACAACATCAAAATACAGTTCATCATGTTCCACCGCCATTAACAAATAATGGAATGCATGCACAATTACCTCCAGCTCCTCCTGCAAGAGGAGTTCCACCACCTCCACCAGCTAGAGGAACACCTCCTGCCCCACCCCCAAGAGCAGGAACAGCCTCAAGTTTAGGAAGCCATCCAACTTTGCCTCCAAGAAATGCACCAACATTACCTGTAAGAACAAACACACAATCCAGTGTAGGTTCTGGAACTCCACCAGCACCACCTCCACCTAGAAGAGGTGCACCACCACCAGCACCACCTCCAAGAAGTAGAGTCCCATCACAACCACAACCACAACCACCAGCACAAGCTCAACCAATACAACCATCGCCAATGCAAGTCCAATCACCTGTACCACCTGCATTACCACAAACAGCGAGACCACCTATTGCTACACCTCAGCAAGTTTCTGCACCACCGCCACCGCCACCTTTACCACCTCAAATGAATACGACTGCTGCTGTTCCAGCACCACCAGCACCACCTTTACCACCTCAGATGAACACCTCAGCAGCTGCCCCACCTCCGCCGCCTCCAATGCCACCTCAGATGAATGCTTCAGGGGCACCACCACCACCACCTCCGCCACCTCCAATGCCAGACATGTCATCAGGCAACACTGGAGGAGGATTATCGGAATCAACAGGGGATGCTGGCAGAGATGCATTATTAGCATCTATTAGAGGAGCAGGTATTGGTGCATTAAAGAAAACGGACAAATCACAATTAGAGAAACCAAGTGTATTATTACAAGAAGCCCGTGGTGAACCAGTATCTACACCAGCTTCAACATCAGGAGGAGGAGCAGGAGGTGCACCACCAGGACAACCAGCTAGTTTAGCTGATGCTTTAGCCGGTGCTCTTCAAAAACGTAAAAATAAAGTTGCACAAAGTGATGATGAAGATGACGATGATTGGTAAGTTAATATTTAGATAATTACTTTAAAATGTTTTAGGAATTGAATGAATATAATAATAACTTTATCTTTATATATATAGATATGTATGTTTCTAATATGTACTGTATGTTTATCGAGCAAGACACGTAGTTAATAACTTGCTTTACCTTGAGGTTCAAACGGTAATAATAAACTTAAAACACCGGCAAATAAAAACAATGCTCCTGATACAAATATTGGTGCAGAAGTAGTAGTATCAGCATAAATTGCAATTATTGGAGAGAAAACCCCCATTATTCTATTTGCAGAAGCTGCTAACCCAACAGCAGTTCCTCTAATTTGAGAATAAAAAATTTCAGGAGTATAAGCATATAATACAGCATACATTGTAGTTGAAGAAAATGAAAACATACAATTCCATGCAAGATAAGTATTTGAAGATTTTGAAGTTGTTGAAGCAAATAAAAATATACCAGTTAAAATTAAAGATAAAAATAAAGTACCTCTTCTACCAATTTTTAATTCAACTAATAATGCCCCAATTAAAGAACCAGGAATTCCTAAAACTGAAATAATTAAAGTATTTCTATAAGTTTCATGAACACTTAATGGTTTATTTGCATTTCCTCTTGATTCTAAATAACTTGGAATAAAAGCATTATATAATGGAAATGCTAATCCAATAACTCCCCACATTAAAATAACTAAGATTGTTGAAATTGTCATTCTTTTAGATATAAAACATTGACGAATATGAGAAAGATCATAACGAGAAAGTTTTTCTGAAACTAATCTATTTTTAAATTGTTTATCATTATCATCATTATTATTATTATCAAGATCTGATTCAAATTGATCATCTATATCTTGTAAATCTTTTATTGTAATTGGACATTGTTTACCATTAATTTTAGCAATTTTTTCTAATGTTTCAATTGCTTTAATATTATTACCTCTTGCTAAATAAAATCTTGGTGACTCAAATACTCTAAATGAAAATCTTGCAATAAACATTAATAAAGTTAATCCACCCATTGTAAATAAAAAATATCTCCAACCTTTATTATCATTCTTATAACAAATTTCTGAATTTACATCACATGAAAAATTTGAAATTAATCCCCATGAAATCAAATTTGCAATAATTTGTCCTAATGCCCACCAAATAGACATTATAATTAATAAATATTGATGAGTTCCAGGTAATGATTCAAGAAAAATAGCTGAATCAACAGGTAAATTCCCACCTACTCCAAAACTCCAAAATGATTCAAAACAAGCAAGGGCAACAAAATTTGGACTTGATCCTCCAATTAATGACCATATGCCAGTTATTAAAAATGTTAAATTAAATGCCCATCTTCTACCAATTATATCAGAACTTAAAGACCAAAATAATGCACCTACAAGTAATCCTAAATTTTGTGCTAATATTAAATATGGTCCTTTATTTGATTGTGGTGGATGAACTCCGTTAATTTCATTTAATCTTGGAAGTATTAATGATGTTAATACTGGAAATGCATTATCAGTAAACCATCCAAATCCAGCAACAAAAAATAATCCAATTTGATATTTACCAAATCCAATTGTTTGAATTGAATCTGAAAGTAATTGTGATTTTAATAAATATGGTTTATCAATAACATCAGATTCATTATATAATCCATATGTAGTTGTTGATGATGATGATTCTGATTCTGGCTCTGGTTTTGTTTCAACAACATTAAGTTGTTCTTTCGATGAAGACATGATACAGGTCTGACTAAATTATCAAACATAATACCAAAAAAAAAAAAGAAAAAAGCAAGTATGAATTATTGTTGAATGAATTGAAATTTTTGCTCTCGAGATATTTGGGGTAATTCAGGAGTGGCGAAATAATACGGAGATAATTATCAACAGGGAAACGTTTTTTTTTTTTTTTTTTTTTTTGTTTTGAATTTACAGTTGCTTTGCGGATATATGTCCACAATTTCATTTCAATACGGCAATTACACCATCTTACTTTCCCGTTGATATTTCCTAATAATTTTGCAATTATTTATTTACAATAAGAGGTACATAATATCTCGTAGTTTTTAGTAATAAGCCAGTTGTATGCATGGCTTCGCGGGGTCTGAATAATTGTTACGGAATTAGACAGGTCATTAACACCAGTCAGGTACAGATTATGAAACTAGACTGGATGAGTCGCTAATGGAAGTTACAAGGAGGACATGTAAGAATATATAAATCCAATATTCTATAATTCCAAATCACAACTGATATCTTGACATATGTATGGTTTAACAAAAAAAAAAAAAAATAAAGATAAACACCAATTTATGCAATTTGGAGAAATTTTTATTTTGCAGCTAAACTTGCAACACAACACAACTCTTGTCTCGGTTATAAGTTCCATTTGCAGGATCTATTTTCACCTTTTTCTTCTTCATTAGAGATCACCAATTTATTCCACAAACTTTAACTTTAGATATTAAAGTTCTCAGCCATTGCGTTGTAATCCAATGATCATGAATGTACGGTTATGATAATATACAAGAAGAGCAATTGGGAAGTAACCAAAAGTAATGCGTCGAAGTTGTATGAGGATCCTCCTCCTCGTTCTGCAGTTGACTATACCTAGATACTCTCCTGTCTACAGGTACTACCAAATGTCAATTGCGTTTTTTTAATTGTGGCGATAACGGCAATTGCATTTACTGCGCCCATACGTGTGCGCATGCACAAATAAACTAAACACAATGACGTAATTACAGTTTTCTGTTGTGTGATAGAAAAAGAATTTTTCTTTTTTTTAATCACCGTACATTTACCGGATGTACACAATCATCTCATCTTTATCACAAGTGAGAACTGAATTGAATTACATCCGGTTTACAGATGGTTGCTGGTCGGATTGTTCTCATCATCTGGAAACAAGGGATTTATTACGAATATTTACATAATCACATCTCTTTTACTTTCACCCTTCCATTGTGAAAATACCGTTGTCTCCGCTTTTTTTTTTTTCTTTCTTTATTCTCAATCAACAATACAACCCTGACATCGAAGAATGTATAGTCATGTGTTTCTTTGAAAGACACTCTATGTATGAAATTACTTGTAGGGTAGGAAGGGAAGGATATCACAAAATAAAAGGTTAATGTCAAAGCCTGGTTGAGGGAATAATCTAATCAATAAAAAAGAGTTTCCCGGTCCATCTAATTCAGCACAGCCTACTTTTCATACTCTACATATCACCAGAGGAAGAGGATCTATTTTGAGATATCTTTTTTTTTTTTTTTCAAATATATAATCATGAAAAATTTTTCATTTTTCTTCTTCACCATTGTGGTTCTGCCACATCTAGGAACAGAATCATTATGGCTTGTAAATGGAAAATCGAAAAGAAGAAGCTTGTTTATTAACTCCTCTTTTATTCGATTTGCTCGTATTGGGTGCCAATGTTTACCCTTTCCCCCCAGAATTCTCAAACAATGAAATTAAAAATATCGGATCATACGCTTTATACTTTTTTTTTTCTTAATTTCTAACCCTTGATGATGATAATGATTATTAATCGCACAGATCCCTCCTCTTCCTCCTCTCTTATTTGTCACTAAAAAAGAATCCGAATATGCACCCAAAGCTGCAGAAAGACTCCCGATGGGGGAGAGATATAGTGCAGACAGAGCAGAGTACAATAAAATTTTCCTCCTGCTGGTTTTTCCTGGCTGAGTAGTAGTGGTAGTGGTAGTGGTAGTAGTAGTACATAAACCAAAACAAATCCCACTCAGTCCGAAAAATTATAATCACCGTATATATTTTTTTTTTTCTTTACAAAAAAATATTTTTATATAACATTACAGTACTTTTCAACAGATATCAATAGTTTAGTTATTTCAACTATCCTTTTCCTTTCCCTGTTTTATTTACTCTCATTTTTAGACTGTATAAATACTCATAATGGAATTGACTCATTTACTATGTTTGTTGACATCATTTGTCACTGTAATTAACGCATGGTCCCCTACAAACAGTTATGCCCCAGGTAAAATAGATTGTCCTGCAAATTCTTCATTAACTAGAGATGCAAATGAAATTTCCCCATGGGAAAAAGATTGGCTTGAAGGTAGAGATCAAGTATCTAAAGAAAATTTAATTGAATTTTTAAATCATGCAAATATGACTGATTTTGATGCTGAATCTTATCTTAATGGATTAGATCGTTCTATTAAAATCGGGATTGCCTTTTCTGGTGGTGGTTATAGAGCAATGTTGAATGGTGCTGGTCAAATGGCTGCATTAGATAATAGAACTAGAGGTGCTTGGGAACATGGTTTAGGTGGTTTATTGCAAGCTTCTACTTATCTTGTTGGTTTAAGTGGTGGTAATTGGCTTGTGGGTTCAATTGTTATGAATAATTGGACTTCAGTACAAGATATTTTGGATAAAAATGAAATTTGGGATATTTCTCATTCAATTATGAATCCAGGTGGTTGGAAAGTTACTAAAACTTATGAATATTATAAAGGAATTTCTGATTCTTTAGATGAAAAAAGAGATGCTGGTTTTGATGTTAGTATTACTGATACTTGGGGAAGAGCTCTTTCTTATCAATTTTTTAGTACTTTAAATGATACTGGTAATGCTTTAACTTGGTCTACTTTACAAGATGTTGATGTTTTCCAAAATTATGAAATGCCATTCCCAATTGTTGTTGCTGATGGTAGAACTCCTGGTACTTATATCATCAGTGCCAATTCTACTGTTTTTGAATTTAATCCTTTTGAAATGGGTTCTTGGGATCCATCTGTTTATCAATTTTCTCAAGTTAAATATTTGGGTACCGAAGTCACCGATGGTGTTCCAAATGATGGATGTATTGGTGGATTTGATAACGCTGGTTTTATCATGGGTACTTCTTCTTCATTATTTAATCAATTTATTTTACAAATCAACACCACTTCATTGTCATCTATCCTTAAATCACTTGTTACTTCTATTTTATCTGAGATTTCTGATGATGATAATGATATTGCTGTTTATAAACCAAATCCATTTGAACATAATGACGTTGGTTGGTCACAATCTATTTCAAATAATGATACTTTATATCTTTGTGATGGTGGTGAAGATTTACAAAATGTTCCACTTTATCCTTTGATTCAAGAACAACGTGATGTTGATGTTATTTTTGCTTATGATAACTCAGCTGATACTAATCAATATTGGCCAAATGGTGCTTCATTAGTTGCTACTTTTCAAAGACAATTCACTAATCAAAGTAATGGTACTCATTTCCCATATGTTCCTGATGTTAATTCATTTGTTAATTTGAATTTAACTTCAAAACCAACTTTCTTTGGTTGTGATGCTAGTAATTTAACTTCATTAACTCAAAATAGAACCAGTGTTTATGATATTCCATTGATTGTTTATACTGCCAATCGTCCATTCAGTTATTGGTCAAATACTTCTACATTCCAAATGAAATATGAAACTGATGAACGTAATTCAATTATTCAAAATGGTTTTGAAGTTGCTTCAAGATTAAATGGTACTTTAGATGATGAATGGAATGCATGTGTTGGTTGTGCTATTATTAGAAGACAACAAGAAAGAGATGGTGTTGAACAATCTGATCAATGTAAACAATGTTTCCAAAGATATTGTTGGGATGGTAGTTTATCCAATGAAGATTCAATTAATATTAATTTCACTACTGATGGTGTTACAAATGATACTGAAACAATGAGTGTTAATATTGGTTCTATCTCAACTACAAGTTGGTCAGTATGGGGTGTATTAATGGCCACTTTGGCAACATTTTTATTAGGTTAATTGTATACAAATGACCATAGTAGGAGTTCAACTAATACTACTATGTACTCCAACTAATACTACTAGTACTACTAGTACTGCTAATAGTACTAATAAATAAAACTAAATAGAATGTTTTTAATAAAAAGATTAATAATTGTATTTGATTGAATTAATAAGTAACAGTGGATGGTATGTCACTTTAGATGATGTGAACAAGTCACGTGTCTATACTAATCGTGTAGAATGACACAATTTGTTGTTAAGAATAGATCGTATATGCGTATAATGAGACGTGTCTAATATACAAAAATGTATGAATAGAGTTGGTTCCTTCTCCTCTTTCTCTGTTCTACTTGATCCCGAAGGGGAATCCATCGGTTTTTATGCTAATTCCCAGATGCCTTCACACGTCACATCTCCTGGAGGAAGATTCATCTGACGACACCCGAAAGGGTTAGTTAACAATATTCCGTCAAAACACACTTGGTGGTGGTGTAGGCACACTAGGTCGTGTAACCTGACCAACCAGTCAGTACACGTACATAACATTTGTTCTTTATTTCTCAGAGACACACGCGTACTCGCAAGTTGAGCATTTTGTATAAAAAGGAAGGAGAAGAATTTTTTTTTTTTAATTCTTTTAATACTACTTTTTCTTTTTTACTTCATGGATCATTTGGACTTCAATTGTCTGTTCTTTATGCGTGTTCCAATTACGTTGTTTTTTAGGGATACATATATATGAGACCAACTTCGGTTACTAACGTTGATGAAGACCTGCATATCACTATTGATATGTTCAGGTTTTTAGCATAATTTTTTTGTATTGGTTAATATATATATATGTACTTATTATTGGTAAATTTATTTTACACCTGTAGATATAAATACTATAGTTGACTTCTTAGCAGTTATCAATTCTGTTTAACTATAGTTCTTCAATTTATTCATTTTCTTTTTTACAGTTCTAGACGATGTTTCAAGAAGATAAAGAATAAGAATAAGAAATAAACGTTATGTTTGAAAAATCTTAATTGAAATTCGTTCCCGTTGCTAATAGCAATGATTCCAATTCTCTCCTGGTTTTAAAGTATTGAAACGTTAATAAACAAGGAATAACCTTCTCTTGAGAAACATAAACATAAACAGATAAGTCAAATATAGCAAAATTTAATGAAAGATCACTATACTACAACATCAATATGGCTTGTCTAATTTTACTTGACAATCTCTTTACATTTGAATTTTTTACACAATTGATGGTTTATCACTAATGATTTCCATTTTATATCTTGAAATATCTTTGAAAAATTGTAAATAACAAGTATTTAACATGTTAATAAAACCAAATTAAAATTCAAATGGCTTTCTTATGATGGTAATTTCATAAATAACATCTATATAATTCAATCATGATTTCATACCCTTGTTATACCTCATATTGAATAGACCCCAAAAAAATACTCCTCCTCTTTTTCTTTTAAATCACAACGTTGTATAATCAATAATAAGTACGTACTTGTGTGATGTGATTATTAACAAGGTGTGCGCAATTAGTGATTTGTTATAGACACGACCCACTTATAATTTTGTTACAAATAACAACACTTTTGGCTATATAGTTAGTACAATTGACTTTTTTTTTTAAAAACTCTTGAGATTCTAAGAATTAAAAGCAATGAAAATAAAAGCAAAAAAAGTTTGTATACTCATGAGAGGGTTTGATATGTTTAATGAATCTTGTGTGGTTTTAACTAGGTAATTATCTTTCAATATGATTCTATTTGATACAGATTCGGATTTGTTTTCCCTTTTTGGAATTATTATGCGTGGGCGAAAGAGAGAAAAGAGAGAAAAAAACGACGAAAGCAAACGGTGGAATCTTCCTCTGGTTATAAATACTCCTTGAGATTATCCAATTGATCAATTCAATCAACCACTTCCATTTCCACTTCTACTTCCAACAACAACAACAATATGCCATTTAAAGTCAATGCTGAAATCACTCAATTTGGTGGTAAATTACTTAAATTAACTCATGAATCGACATTTACTAAAACTCCAATGAACGTAAATGTTTTCATTCCTTCAATTACAAATAATAAGAAAATCCCAGTATTATTATATCTTTCAGGATTAACATGTACTCCTGAAAATGCTACTGAAAAATCATTTTTCCAATATTGGGCAAATAAATATGGATTTGCTTTAGTTTTCCCTGATACTTCACCAAGAGGAGCCAATATTTCTGGAGAAGATGAATCTTGGGATTTTGGAACTGGTGCTGGATTTTATGTTGATGCTATTAAAGAACCATGGAATAAAAATTATAATATGTATTCATATATTCATAAAGAATTACCTAAAGAATTGAGTGAAAATTTTAAAGAATTGGATTTTAATAATGTTGGTATTACTGGTCATTCAATGGGTGGTATGGGTGCATTAGTTGGATTTTTAAAAGAAAAAGGTCAATATAAATCAATTAGTGCATTTGCTCCTATTTGTAATCCAAGTATTGTTCAATGGGGTGAAAAAAATTTTGGTAATTATTTAGGAGTTGATAATAAAGATGAATGGTTGAAATATGATCCAACTTATTTAATTAAACATTATGATGGTGAAGAACATCCTGATATTTTAATTCATCAAGGTTTAAAAGATCCATTTTATGAAAATCAATTAAAACCTGGTAATTTAATCGAAGCTGCTGATAATTATAAAGGTAATATCGATTTACAATTAGTTGAAGGTTATGATCATCTGTATTTTTTCATTAGTTCATTTGTTGAACAACATGCTAAACATCATGCTAAATATTTAGGTTTATTATAACTAAATACGGTATCTACTCCGAATCTATAATAAATTTATTTATCCAAGTTTCATACCATTTAGATTTCTTATCATCCGTTGAATGAATAGAAATACCAATTTTACTTAATTTATTAGCTTGTAAAGTGATTTCTTTAGTATTTTTCAAAATTTCATCATCTATAGTTGTATCAAGCATTAAATTCATAATAAATTTATCAATTAAATTGATCAATTTTAATTGAATTGAATTTATTTCATCTATTAGTTGACCTGATGTAGTCTTTGGAATGGATTTTTTAAATGATGATATTAATAATTTAATTAATTCAATTTTTTTAACCCATTTTAATGCAAACTTGGATATTTCTGAATTATCAACTGGTGGTTCCTCATTAACATATCGATCATCTTCTTCTCCCTCTTCTTCATCATCATCTTCATCATCATCACTAAATCCAAATGGATCATCATCCATATCTTGGGGATTTTCAGCCCATTCTTTAAATTCTTCAAATCCATCATCTAGTAATAATATACTTTGTTTAATTTTATTACTTAATAATCCAACTGCACCTTCATCTAATAATTTAATTAAAGCATCACAATTAGACCAAATTCTTCCAACTCCAACTAATCTTCCATCATCACTAACTTCTTCTCTATCATCTTCATCATTATCTCCATCTTGATCGAATATAATCATTAATTCATTACTTAATTGATTAATAGAAACGATTAAATTCTTAACATTATTAAATATTTCATCATAAAAAATTTTAGAAATTTCTTCTTGTTTAATTTTAAACAGTTGTATTAAACTAATTAATAATACCAAAGTTTCAGATAATTTTTCTAATGTATTATAAGCTACATTTGGATCTTTTTTCAAATTATTAGGTTTAAAAATAATTCCTACTTTAGTTACATGAGCTTTAATTAATTTAATCAATTTATAAAGTTCATCTATTGGATCAGTGATTTTTGAATTACCAGTAGATTTTGTTGTATTATCTAAATTAGTCAACCAATATTTTATGGCTTCATTAAATGAATCTAATAAATTCTTAAGATCGTCCCTTGTTTTTGTTGTCATTAATAAAGCTGATATATTACTTATAAACTTACATTGAATAGATTGGCTGTGAAGAATTTTTTTTTTTTTGATGTTTGATGTTTGAAGTGAAGAGCATGAAGTCGTGTCGATGTGCACAAAATTGCTTTGAGTATTGGGATGGGTGTAGAAGATGGATTTTAATTGATTGAATCAATTAGCTGTAAAGATTCTGGTAGAAGGGTGATTCGGTAAACAGATTAAAAGTTTTAAACCAACAAGCCATGGTAGTTGTTGTGATAACTGATAAAACCATAACTAGTTTGATGATAACTTTGCAACTCGATTGCAGTAAACATAGTACGTTGTAAGAAAAAAAAATGAATTCATGGAAGGAAGAATTTGCAAATCCAATTGATATCAACTAAAGTGGTGGTGAACAAGATCGAATTCATTCCAACACTGCTAGCTCTAATCATGAACAATATCCCATATAGCAAGTAAGCATATAAAACCACCTGATATGCAACAACAACAAGAATGATATTACAAGGTGGTTTTCTGTTGTACGCATACAACACGGGACCTAGATTTGAAAATTCATGAGCTACACGTGACAGCTCTTTGTCTACGCTATTTACGAGATCGTTTGTTTGATTTTTGACATGAAGTTTTATGTAATCAATTGCTGCTGACTGCAAAATAAAATAAAAAAATATGGCACATCCACTTCAAAGGAGATAGAATGTCTTGCTAACATTACCACTACTATTATCAATTGATCAATTGCAATTGAATCTACTTACAATTCATTCATTACATTAATGTAAGCATATGAGTCATTGCAATTGGAGGAGGAGGGGAGACAGGAGAAGTATCCAATCCCAATGATCAACCACTGAAAAGGATACATTCAAATAAAGAGGAGAAAGTTTTAACAAAACTAACCTGATACAATTAGTTCTCCTCTTTTTATTTTTTTTAAGTTGACTAATTATGTACTCTCCCCTCAATGGGGCTGTTCTCTGTTCTAAGTTTTTTTTTTTTTTTTTGCAACTCATTATTATAGCAACATTAAACATTCCCCTCCAATTTTGCTTCTTCTTTTTTTTTTCTATTAAAAATACATCACGTGACAAGCTCGTATCACAATTACATAATCAGGCGGAACGATTGGATATTTAATATTTATTTAAAGAAGAGAAAGATTGATGCAACAAAAAAAAAAGTTATTTTTTTTATTTTAAGAAATTTATCTTTTCTTTTCTTTTCTTTTCTTGTTTCTTTCTTTTTTTCATTTCTATTGATTTAATTAAAAATTTTTCACGTTATTTTTTTATATTCCAATATCCATCTGATAATTATTTTCGAAATTAACTAAAGAGATATTTATAATTCCACTTTTGTTTTATACTCATATATTATTATCAACATTTATCCAATCCCGTTCCCCCTTTTTTTTTTATTTGTTTTTATCAACTCTCCCCAGGTTTTATTAAATTTTCTCACTGTTTTAATCTCACAAACCATAATTTATTCTAAAGTATGACAAAACCAACAGAATTGAATTTATTAGAAAACATACGACATTTCACACCTAGAAATTATCATAATTCAAATTTATCAGTATGGCATAAATTACCAGTAGCTCGACGTTCAGCTGTTTTTATATTATTATTTATGGGGAATTTAGGAGAATTACGAGTAATTTTAACTAAAAGATCATCAAAATTAAGAAACTTCCCTGGTCATGTTGCATTACCTGGTGGTAAAGCAGATAATGGATTAGAACTGGAATGGGAAGTTTCAAGAAGAGAAATGCATGAAGAAATTGGATTAAGTTCAAATAATGAAGAATTAAAAAAATTGGGTATTTCAATTGAACATTTAACTATGTTACCAAGTTATTTATCAAGAACTTTTTCATGTGTTAAACCTTGTGTTGGTATAATGCATAGTTTATATGATGAAAATGATATTGCTACAAAATTAAATATTGTTTTAAATCCTGGTGAAAGTTCAAGTATCTTTTCATGTCCTTTAAAAGATTTTTTATATCCTGCTGTTGATCTTCATGCATTAGAAGCATTAGAAAGAGTTTCTTATAAAGTTAAATGGGGTGGAATACCATGGAATTTAAGATCTTATACTTTTTTACAAAATAATCCAAATGAAGCTGAATGGTTAAAAGATATTAAAGATTTACTGGCTTCTGAAGAAGAATCAGAATTAGATTTAAAATTAGGTCATGAACTAGATTCAAAAGATAAACAAATGGTTACTCCTCCAAATGCAACTCCTAGAAGATCTCAAAGTCCAGCAAGACGTAAGAAAAATTTAAATGCATGGGGAAGATTAGGTTCAAGAGTTGATGATGATACAAATGAAAAAATTTATGATGTTTGGGGATTAACTGCTAATATTTTACATGATTTAGCTGAATTAGTATATATTGGTAAAGGAAATTCATCTGAACATCATATTGGAGAAGAAGAAATGATTTATTCTTTATATGAATATGGAAATCAAATGAAAAATAAAGAAAGAAGTCCAGAAGAAGTTAAGTTGATTCATGCAACTCATGACGATAATAAAATTGGTTTTAATGATCTATTACCTGAAAATGAATTCAATAGATTGGTTAATATATACAAGTTGTAGATAATTATTATTAGTTTATTGCATATTTTAAAGTTTTTTTTTGTCTATCCTAGAACTGGTGGGCTGTAAAATGGTTGTAAAATGGTTGTAAAAAAAAATCAACAATTTGCAACACGTGATAATCACCATTCAAGTTAAATGATGATTGTTCAAACCCATAATATCATTAACCAGTACAATAATTTCATTCATATAATTCATTAATTCAACCATCTTATCAACATTTCCATGTGTTTTATTTCTTTTATATGTAATTTCCAGCATTTGCAAAATAAAAAAAATCTTGAAATGTACTTTTGTATTTATTCGTATCAGTTGAATTATTCAGAATTTGATATTTTTCAATTGATTCTTCATGATTCGAATTTGATAATGAATTTCTTCCTATACATGGATATGAAGTACTATTGTTAACTTTCATCATCGAGGATTGAAATTCAATCAATTGTTTTGAAATATTTGTCAGTATGAAAATAAATCATCAGAGAGATTTTTTCTTAATTTTAAAATCTGATTTAGTTGGTTATCTTTAATTTATCTATTTATTGGTAATTGATAATTTGTTCCTTCTTTATATAGTTGAATTATAAAACAATGATAACATAATGTAACTGAATGATATTCAATACAAGAACACATGATATTTATTACCTTAATTAAATAAACATCTTTAGATGATTTAGGTAACATTATTAATAATATTGTCAGATTCATTTTCAATTCAATTTGTAACTTCATTTGCAAATGACAACGTAAGTTTTTAACTAATGAATCGTCATATGTTTCACTAGACTCATCAACAAGTGTTTCTCATATGTTATTCAAGCATAAGATACTCTTGACTGTCAGATTACTTACTAAACATTGAGTCGAAGAGGAAGTCATTGACTGGTGGTGATGGTGGTGGCTCGTTGATATTGACAGTTTGTCTGATTTACAGTGAAGGAAAAAAAGGAAAAATGGATAAAAAAAAAAAAAACGCGGTGAATTTATTACATCATAATCAACATCAACTATTACCAACAGAAATGTCAGAAGATAAAGATAGCAAAACAATTCAACTATTGGAATTATTAGATAGATACCAATTACTTACAACATCGAATCGTGATAATTTTATCAATGGGTTTTTCAATTTAAGTAGAGCTAATTTCCAAAATGAGAAATCAAGATATGGATCGGATAAATTTGATTTACGAAGTTATCAAGCATGTAAAATTGTTGAACAAATCAATGATGGTGAATTTCAAATAATTGATCGATTAGAAAAGAATAAGATCACTAAAAAGAAAGTAAAATCAAATGATGAAGAAAAATCAAGTTTACGAAATAGAAAAGAAAAATCTAAAGAGGATGAGATAAATGATACATCCGGTGATGATGAAGAGTTTAAAGATCCAATTAGACAATTTGGTGCTCTTGTACCTCAAGAATTAAGAATTAGTCAAAATGATTTCAATAAAGCTTTGGTTCAATCGATAGAGATTATAAATTTACAAAAGAAAATTGAAAAATTAATAAATGAATTGAGTTAGAATAACATTATACAGATTATATATATATATGACAACTATACCTCAACATCACTATATAAATCACTATCATTTTCATAATCTTCAGGATTAATTTCAACTTCATTTTCATCTTCACTTTCCTCTTGATCATCACTTTGATTAGCCATTTCTTCATCTTCTTGGTCACCTTCACCACTGCCACCTTCTTTTCTAGCTTTTCTTCTTGCCTTTTTAGCTTCTTTTATATCTAATTTAGCTTGAACTGCAGCTTGTTGCTTAGCTCTTCTTTCTTGTTTCAATTGTTGTTTCAATTGATGTTTCTTTTCTAAAGATTTAATTTCTTCTTCTGATTTCTTAATAGAAGCATGATACAAAGTCTTTGAAGATCCAACTAATCCTTCTTCAATCTTCATCAAAGTCATATTTATTCTTGGACCCAATTCAGTTAATTTAATTGCACGTTTTGTCTTTGCAACCACTGGTTCTTGTTGTTGTTGTTGCTGTTCTTCTTCTTCTTGATCATCACCAACAGATTGTTTAGGTTCTTCTTTTTTAACAAGACTTTCTTGTTGGATTTCAACAACGGCATCGTCTTCAACTTCACTATCTGAAGTTAATCCACCAACTGAATAAGGATCCAATAATAATTCAGAAACATCTTTATTCTTAGTTAATCTTGGTAAATTTTTCTTTAAATTATGATGAGATTGAATCAATTTTTTAACATTTCTATTTTCTTCAACTAATTTAGTATTAATTGCATAATGTCTAAATTCAATTTCATTAGTTTCTTTATTTTTACTAATTAATAAAACTCTTTTAATACTTGAAACATTAGTTGATTGTGGTTGAATTGGTGGGAACATATTTTGAAACATTGTAACCATTAATTTTTCATGTTGTGACATTTCCAGAACTTTACCAAATCCATTTAATACTAATAAAGGAGGCATATGAAATATAGAACTATCTTTACTTATAGATTTTGGATGTCTTAAAATTTTATGAATATCTTTACATAATGAATAACTATTAATTTTAAATTGTAAATTTGGACCTCTTGGTAATTTCCCAATTCTTAAAGTAATATTACCACTTTCCAGCTGATTGAAAATTAATAAATCTGAAACATGTAATGGACCACACATAACTATGAAATCTTTTAATTTGTTTGATTTACGTTCTCTTAAATTGATTGCTGTATGTGGTTGCATTACATTTCTAACATCAGAAACTAATTGTGATAATGAATGATTTTTTAAGGATGAACCCAAATGAATAACCATCGATTTTGGAATAGAGGCCAATTCCTCTTCACTAATCTTCTTATGAGTTCTCTTCTTTGTTCTTCTCTTAGCCATGGTTTAATTGTTGTCGATTGTTGATAAATGAAAGAAGAGTAAATTGAAGTGAAAAAACGAAAGGAAAAAATTTCTAAAATCTCATCGCGAGATAAACCTCCATCATCGAAGGGGAACAAAAAAAAAAAAAAAATTTATGTAAAAAATAATTCACCATTTCCAATCATCACGACTTAACCGACAATATCCACTAAAACAATTCAATAATGTCTTCTAAAGGTGTATCTAAAAAGAAAGTAAAACCATCAAAAACCATCGATGCAACTAAAAAATTAGCAGAAAAGATCAAACAACAAGCATTAAAGAAACAACAAGAAAAAGAATCATCATCATCTACAACCACATCAACTCCAGAACCAAGTTCATCATCGATAACAACTATTGATCCAGATGCTGAATTAAAATTTAAAACATTTAAAGAATTAAATCTTGTTCCGGATTTATTAGAATCTATTGAAAATATGAAATTCACTAAACCAACACCAATTCAATCAGAATCTATTCCTCATGCATTAGAAGGTAAAGATATTATTGGATTAGCACAAACAGGTTCGGGTAAAACTGCAGCATTTGCTATACCTATATTACAATCCTTATGGCATGCTCAACAACCTTATTTTGGATTAGTTTTAGCACCTACTAGAGAATTAGCATTTCAAATTAAAGAAACTTTTGATGCTTTAGGTAGTTCAATGGGATTAAGATCAAGTTGTATTGTTGGAGGTATGGATATGATGGATCAAGCAAGAGATTTAATGAGAAAACCTCATATTATTGTTGCCACACCTGGTAGAATAATGGATCATTTAGAACATACTAAAGGATTTACATTGAAAAATTTGAAATATTTAGTTATGGATGAAGCTGATAGATTATTAGATATGGATTTTGGACCAGCTTTAGATAAGATTTTAAAAGTTATTCCAACTAAGAGAACAACTTATTTATTTTCAGCAACAATGACTAATAAAATTGAAAAATTACAAAGAGCTTCATTACATAATCCAGTAAGAGTTGCAGTATCTTCAAAATATCAAACTGCTGATAATTTAGTACAATCAATGATGTTAGTTAATGATGGATATAAAAATACTATTTTAATTCATTTATTAAATGAATTTATGAGTAAATCAATTATTGTATTTACAAGAACTGTGGCACATGCACAAAGAACTGCATTACTTGCAAGAATTTTAGGATTTAATGCTGTTCCATTACATGGTCAATTATCTCAATCACAAAGATTAGGTTCATTAAATAAATTTAAATCAAATACTGCAAATATTTTAATTGCTACTGATGTTGCCGCTAGAGGTTTAGATATTCCTTCTGTTGATGTTGTTATAAATTATGATATTCCTACTGATTCAAAAGCTTATATTCATAGAGTTGGTAGAACTGCAAGAGCTGGTAGATCAGGTAAATCCATTTCTTTAATTACTCAATATGATTTAGAAATGTATTTACGTATCGAAAGTGTATTGGGTTATAAATTACCAAAAGAAGATAAACCTCCAAAAGAAGTATTGGATGCTTTACATATACATGTTGATAAAGCTACAGCTGAAGCTATTCGACAAACTAAAGAATTACATGAAAAAAGAGGTGGTAATAATAGAAGAAGAAATAAAGATGATGCTGATAGAGAAGAAAGATAATATCAATAAAGAAGAAATAAATAAAAAAAGATAAATTAGGTTTGTATATTATTTGTGTAAGAAATGAACAGGACATTCACCATAACCTTTCTTGTTAAACCAATCTTTAATACATTTATAATGGAAAACACATAAACATTCCAAACGACCAACTTTATCACCAGGTTTTAAACTTTCTAAACAAATCACACATTCATTTTCATCGTCATCATCATAATCACTTTCTTTGATTTTCTCTTTTGGTGCTGAAGATGAGCATTCTCCATCATCTTCATCAATTCCAGAATTTATATTCTCATAAGTTGGTTTTGGTATAGGAGGAATATTATAAACCAACATTTTATTTTTCAAAGTTTTCAGATTATCTGGTGAAAATCTATTTGAATTTTTAGTATCAAAATCAAAATTAATTAAACAATCATTAATATGATGTTCTTTAAAATCTTCAAAATTCTCATTTGATATATTCGATAAGTAGTCCTTATCATTAGTATGAGAATGAATATTTTCAATATATAATTTTAATAAATCCGTAGCACATACAGGACATAAGTTTAAATCAGATGATTGATCTTGAAGTTGATGTCGTAATGAAGGTGTTGAATTATGTAAATTTCTTGTATGTTGATGAATATTTGCATGTTTAGTAATACTATTATTATCTTCAACGACACTTGAAGCAGTAGATGATCCCACTACTCCTCCAGAGTTATTGTTACCAGCAATCGGATAATTATTACCATTAAATAAAGCTTGTCGTATCATTATTGTTTCATCAGCACATCTATCACATGTTCTATAAGTTGTATTATTATTTGAAAATTGAGGAATAATTATATCTGGACCATTTACTATAGGAGTATTTGGGAAATAAGTAATGAATCGTTGGGAACAATCCCCACAAACCACTTTGCCACATTTTCTACAATGATGTCTTCTATTCAAAAACATATTGTATGGCTTATTACATATGAAACATTGGCTTACTTCAAAATCATCCTGCCAAATGGGTCTTTCTTCGTTATTAAGCGTGCTTGTCATGACTATCTCGATCTTGTATATATGTGTGTGTGTGTGGGGTAAGTGTTGGTTATGTACTGATAAGAAAGATGTGGTAAATTCAGGGAGTTGCATTTTCCCTTTTCTCTTTTGTCTCCTTAAAAAGTAAAAGTGATTTGTAAGATAAACAATGCAAAAAGTCACGTGGCAATAACAGGTCACGTTTATTGTTCAAGGTACACGACACAGACGATCAAGAATCAAAAAAAAAAATCGAGAGGAAAAAGTTTTACGACCAAAAAGACAACCAACGGAATTGATAGATAGTAATATCAACAACGACAGGAACAACAGGAACAACAGGAACAACGGGGATAACAATGTCTGATAGATTAACACAATTACAAATATGTTTAGATCAATTGATACAGCAGTTTAATGCTACTATAAATTATGTGAATACCAACTCAGAACCAAGTTTACTAGATGAAGATGATCCAAATTCATATTCAAATATAGCTGCTAATGCACCAGTACCACAAGCTCAACAACAACAACAACAGCAGCAGCAACAACAACAGCAACATCAACAGCAACAGCAACAGCAACAGCAAAGTCAACAACAGTCACCTACGGGACAAGCTCAACAATCACAAGGACAAAGTAATTCCGGAGGATCTAAAAATACCACACCAATACAAGAAGAAGCTAATTTTGACAATACTGTAAATGAATTATCTACTGATTTAATATTGAAAAGTCGACAAATTAATATGTTGATTGATTCATTACCAGGGATAGGGGTTAGTCCTGAGGATCAATTAAGTATGATTTATGAATTAAGTGGAGATTTAAAAAATATCGAAGAGGAAAGAATTGCAAAAATTAAAGAAAAAGATGCATTGCTTAAAGTTTTAGAAAAATTAATTGCTGATGTTGCTACAGGAATATCTGAAACTAGAATGTAAAAATGAATGTCTATTTTTTTAAGAAACAGAAAGTGTTTGAATTATCCTGTGTATGCCATACAATCTATGTCCCAATTGAAGAAGGAAAACCATTTATGTTTGGTACAGGTTTCTAAAGTCCATGGTAAACCATATATGATTGGAATAAACTCAATGAAACAATAAATCACACTGGCTGAAAGTGCACCAACCAATGCAATGCCAAAGATTTGGTTCTTGGAGTATCGATAGTTCAAATATTGAGCTAATAATAAAATACCAAAACTCAATGCAGGTAAATAGTGATGCAAATACAAGTTTCTTGACATGAAAAGATATGGTAAATAATTAATTCCCCATCCAAGTAAATATTGCCATGAATTTGTATAGAAGGTTGTTTTGAATTCTGGTGAGTCAGTTGGTTGTTTATAAGGATTCATATTAATAAATGCAAAGATACAATATTTAAACCAAGTTAATAAAACAACAATATTAACCAGATAATAAATTGCAATATTACCCAAATAATAAATCAAACTTGATTCTTCATCAATAAGTTTTAAACCAGAATTATTAAAAAATAAAATACCACGATTCAAAAATGGCCATTCTATTGGATATGAAGAATAATCATGTTTAATAGTAAAACTTTCATTTAATCTAAACATAACTTTATGAATTTCCAATAATTTTTGCCAGAATGAAAATTTCGGAAATTTCTTCAAATCTTGTGGATTATTCAATAATGGATGAGAATTCAGTTCAATATACCATAATGAATTTGGAATAGTACCTTCTTTAACACAAACTACTTCATTTTGATAATTACCCCATTCAGGTAATCTAGTAGGATGACTCATTAATAAACAATTTTTATCACGATGAATTAATTGAAATACAGTTTCTGTTGATCTAAGTTTAATTAAAGGTAAATCATTTTCAGAATGAGGTTTTTTAAGAACAGTTCTTAGTCTAAATTCATAAGTATCATCACCTAATAATCCTCTTGTTTCATTACAACTTACTTCAAAAGTATATTCTTGTTCAGAAAGTGGAGCATTATTATCAGTAACATGTAAATAATGACCAGTTTTTTTATGATAAATTCGAACAATTGCTCCATCTTTAAGATCTTTCTTTGTTGACATGATTTTATTTTCATAGAATTTATGTTTAGTTTCAATTACCCATTCATTATTTTCATCAGGAAATTCATATAAAGAAACTTGTTGATTTTCTGAACCTCTTGGATAATTAGCATCATGGGAACTTAAATATTTTTCTAATCCATTATGTTTAATAGTAACTGTACTTCCATATAATACTGGTAATGGAGATGTTTCATAATCTTCTAAAGTAGATCTAAAATGAGGTGATAAAAATCCTGATCCACTACCTTCTTTAGGTAATAAACCAAAATGAATATAAAAAACTGAACAATAAATAGTTAATGGTATCATAATCAATGAAACAATTCGTGAAATAACATGTAGAATCCATTGAATTATAGATACTTTTAAATCACCCAAGATTTCCCATAATTGAACCATAGTTAAAATCCCAACCCAGATATAATTAAATCCACCGGATAATTTAGTTGAAATATTCAAACCTAAACAAACCCCAGTAGAAATAAGATAAATCCACCAAGATTTAGTAAATTGTTCTGATTTAGTAAATGATTTATAATTAAATATAACAAGAGTTTGGAAAAATAATAATGGACCATCTAATAAAATCAATCTTGAATCAGTAATTAAAGAATTTTCAAAACAAACAAATAAAGATCCAATGAATGAAATAAATGAATTACATGAAGTTCTTAGCGTTAAATATGTGAACAATATATGACCAATACCACAAATACCACTAAATAATCTTAACCATAAATATGGAAATTTCAAAGGATATAAATCACCAATTTGTTCAAGATCTTCCAATTCCAATAAATTAAATTTGAATAATTTTGTAATATAATAATAAATCAAATTACCTAAAGGAGGATGAACATCAACAAAGATCTTACCCAGATAATATTGTTTAATATGTCTAATAATATGAATCTCATCAAATACAACTCTATCAGGGATATATAATTTATATAATCGTAATAATGATAATAATAAAATCATGAAAATTAATAAATTATCAAGACTCGTCCATGAATATTTATTATTTCCATCAAGTAGTGGTTTTGATGTATGATATGGTCGAAAAGGACCCTGTGAATAACCCAGTGGTAGGACTTTTGACATAGTTAGTCACTTAATGAATGAACATAAAAATTGAATAGGTTGTGTTTGCAAAAAAAACGGGGGAAACCCTGGTGATGATTGAAAATTTTCGATTAGCGGAATGGAAACAAAACAAAATAAAAATTCTGAAAATCTGTGACACGTGATAGAAACACGTGATAATTTTAATCGTTGAGTAAATTTTTCATCAAAGCAAAAAGGAGTGGCAATGCAAAAAAAATAAAAAATCATTTGAATTGTAATTGTGATTAGTTTGCTAACGGTGGACTTGAGGTTTTGATCATGAAAGATTGACCATAATTTATTGCGATTGGAGTACTAACTACTAACTATGATGCATCTATATTCTAGCACCAAAACTATTTGTTAATAATATTTCAATATACATATATTACTTATATATTTTTTAATTTGCTTTGAATAATGATTGTAGAGAATGAACGAAACAACAAGAAATTCACTACTATCGTTAATTACAAAAAATCTCTTCTACTACTCCGGTCAATGATATTTGTATGTTCTCTGTAAGCATGTACAACTCTACTTTACTCAAGACTGTAACGATATTTTAGTTTCCCGATTTCGGCATGAACCTTGGTGGTCGTGGTTTTACTTCCTTTCTAGGGCTAAGCCCACTTATTTTGTTCGTCTTGTAAGTATGATTACAGTTTTCTCAATGCTAACCACTGACAAAGACATATCAACGGAGGAGGTATACTTACAGTCAACCATTATCCCATGTAGATCATTGATTGTTCATCACGCAATTATTGACAGAAATTGCGTACTACAAACCCGGTTGACACACGCATGATTTAATTCCATTTCTGGTGCGTTAATCCCGTCGAATGAGATGGGACAAACAATGGGGCCGAACGGTCGACCGGCATCGTAACAAAATGCCGCCATGTCTTTGTTTCTCGTGGGGCGACACAAAGACAGAAAATGTTTCACTTTTTTTTTTCACTTCCAGAAAGAAAAATATCATTTGATTTTTTTTTTTTTTCGTTTTTTAGTAATCAACATCTAATAACCTTGTTCTTCTTTTCTTTATTAGTAGGGGATACACAATGAGTTCTGGTATACCTGAATCTTTGAAACCATTCTTGACCACCAAATTGGTTCATTCTACTTGGGCAGGAACATTTTTATGTAAACCGCAAGCAATCTTTCAACCTAGAAATGAAAAAGAAATTAAAGAATTGATTAATCAAGCTAGAATTAATGGTAAAACTATCATGACTGTTGGTTCTGGCCATTCACCAAGTGATTTAACTATGACTAAAGAATGGTTATGTAATTTAGATAAATTTAACCAAGTTTTAAAAGAAGAACCTTATTATGGTCCTACTTCTACTACTGATGATACTCCAGAGGTTAAATTTGTTGATTTAACAGTTGAAGCCGGTACAAGAGTTTTTGAATTGAATGAATATTTGAAGAAACATGATTTAGCTATTCAAAATTTAGGTTCAATTAGTGATCAATCTGTTGCTGGGTTGATTTCAACTGGTACTCATGGTTCAACCCAATATCATGGGTTAGTTTCTCAACAAGTTGTTTCAATTACTTTTCTTAATTCTGCTGGTGAATCAATTACTTGTTCAAGTATTGAAAAACCTGAATATTTTAAAGCTATCTTATTAAGTTTAGGTAAAATTGGTATTATCACTCATGTTACTTTGCGTACTTGTCCAAAATATACCATTAAATCAAAACAAGAAATTATTAATTTTGATACTTTATTATCCAATTGGGATAATATTTGGTTAGAACTGGAATTCATTAGAATTTGGTGGTTCCCATATACTAATAAATGTGTTTTATGGAGAGCTAATAAATCAACTGATCCATTATCTGACCCAAGACCTTCATGGTATGGTACTAAATTAGGAAGATTTTTCTATGAATCTTTATTATGGGTTTCTGTTCATTTATATCCAAGTTTCACTCCTTATGTTGAAAGATTTGTATTTGGTCAACAATATGGTAATGTTGAAACTTTAGGTAAAGGAGATATTGCTGTTCAAAATTCAGTTGAAGGATTGAATATGGATTGTTTATTTAGTCAATTTGTTAATGAATGGTCGGCTCCTTTAGTTTCTGGTCCTGAAGTTTTAAAAGAATTGAAACAAATTATTACTAATGCTGCTAATAATGGTGATTTTTATGTTCATGCTCCTATTGAAGTTAGATGTTCTAATGTTACTTATTCAAATAAACCATTTATTGAAAATGATGGTAAGCCTTCATTATATCCATCACAAGAATGGCTTTCTCATCGTAGTAAAACAAGTGCTGGCCCAATTCCTGGTAATAATTTACGTCCATTCTTAGATAATTCACCAAATTTACCTTACACAACTAAAGAAATTACCAATGATCAATTGACTTTATTTGTTAATGCTACAATGTATCGTCCATTTGGTACTAATGTTGAAACTCATCAATGGTTTCAATTATTTGAAAATGTAATGAGTAAAGCTGGTGGTAAACCTCATTGGGCTAAAAATTTTATTGGTTTAACTCAAGATGAAAAATATAATGAAAAAGAAGATTTGAAAACTCAATTGGAATTTGGTGGTAAACCATTTTATTCAATGATTGGTTTCAAACCAGTCATGAAAGATTGGTTTGGTGAAGATCTTGTCAAATTTAATAATGTAAGAAAAGAAACTGATCCTCATGGTGTTTTCCTTTCTGGTAAAGTTTGGGCAGAAAGAAATGGTATCTTATTGGACTAATTACTAAATGTATATGATTTTTTTTTATTAAATATAGACAATTTATATATAAGTATATGAGATTGAATTTTTTTTGTTTATTTATTTATTTATTTATCTATCTAATTATTTAAATGGAGCTTTTAAAGGATCAATGACAGTACCTTGTTTAGTGATTATTCTAGGCATGGTTAATTTTTGATGAGTTTCTTTAGAAGTCCATTCTTGACCAACTGGCATTCTTAAAGAACGTTCATATTGTTCTTTATTATCAAAACCATAAGGAACTTGACTACTTTGATATTTCAAATTTTTCTTATTAACTTTTTCATTAATAATTACATTTTTCAAATTTTTATCCTTACGACGATTCTTTGACATAACACCTTCAATTTTACGTACAATCTTCCTCTTTTTAGGTTTTGAATCACCACCGGCCCAATCTCCCCATCCTGGTAATGTTAAATCTTCTTCTTTATCATCTTCATCTTCAATAATACGTTTCTTTTCATTCTCAAATTCATTAACAACATCATCTCCTGCAAATGCTTGTTTAATCAAATCCTTTTGTTTGAACATCATCGGAATTTCTTCACCTTCATCTTCTGATCTTTCATCATCATCATCATGGATATCTCCAACTGCCAATGTTTCATTAATATCAATCAAAACATTATCATCTGATTTATGTTTCCTAAGTTTAGATTTAGCAATTTTGGCAGCAGCTTTAGCTAGTTTGGAAGAATCTTTATCTATAGTTGTTATTTTATTGGATTTTTGTTTTGTGCTATCATTAGATGAAGTTAACCATGGATTAGATGCATCAACTGGTAATGGTTCTGGTTCTGGTTGTTGAGCCGATGTTGATGCTGATGCTTGTGAACTAGATTTAGATGATTTTGATTCATGACCTGCAACGTTGTATTTCTTGGATAATCTATTTTCTAATGATTTGGCATTATCATCATTAATTTCTTCCATGACTTTTTCATTGACAGAAGCATTATCTTGAATAGCTGCACTTGGTGTGTAGACTCTTCTACCTTGATTTTTAGTGATATTTACAGCACCATTATCCTCTTCAAAAATATCCAAATCACCTTCTCCATTCTCCAATCTTTTCAACATTTCTAATTCTTTCATATTTTCTTCTCTTCTTCTAGCTTCAGCATTCTTCATGAAATCCATATTCATAACCCCTTTACCTAATTTGGATCTTAATTTGTCATCTTTATCTTCATCATCATGATCATATTCATTAATAACATTTTCAGCTTCCTCATCACTTTGATTACCATCTTCAAATCCAACTTGTTTTTCACGCAATCTTTCACCTTGTCTCAACATTTCCTCCAATTCTGCTCTGTTTGAAGCATCCTTGGATAAACCACTTTTGATCATTGATTTAGCCCATTTTGATTGAGTCTTGTGTTTTAAATTCATTCTTTCAGTCGCACGTTTGACATCATGATCATCACCTTCTAAATCTTCATCATCTTCAACTAATTCTTGATTTCTTAAACGTTCACGTTTTTGAATCTTGTGGTATTGTTTAGATTTAATTTTCTTAATACGTTTAGCTCTCTTTTCATCTCTAAACATTAATTCACGCATTAATCTTAATTCATTGGTTCTTTGTTTCATTTCTTCTGGTGATAATTTAGCAACTGCAATTTCTTCAAATGTAGCTTCTTTAGAATCATCAACCAAAGAAGATTTAACTAAAACATCATTGATTTTTTTCTCTAATTCAGTAGTTGGAACATTATCTGCTCTAAAAGTCATAGCAGAATCCTTAAAACTATCAGGTTGTTGATTCATTAATGGGAATTTTAAAACTTCGGCTTGTCTATTTGATTGAACAGTATCTTGAAACTTACTAATTTCTTTTTTAGATAATTCATAAGCTGCAGCACGATCATTTCTTGTTTGGATACGTTTAGGTAATGGAATAGCAATTGATTTTGAATTTTCATCAATTAATATAGCATCATCATTTTCTCCATCAATCATCATATCTTGTAATGATAATTGATTACCTCCTGTAGGCAAACTAAATTCATTTTCTTCTCTACTTTCAATAATTAACTTCTTACGTTCTTTAGGTTGTTTAGATAAGATTTTTGATTGTAAATTATCAACTGTTTTAGATAAATTGACTTCATTCTCTTCTTCTTCATCAGGACGTCCAAAAATATCTTCTTCATCTTCCGATGATTCTTCTTCTGATGACTCTTCTTCGTCATCATCGTCTTCTTCTTCATCTTCATCTTCACTTGATTCAGATTCCCAATTATCGTTTAAAACAATATCATTTTTCTTTCCTTTAGTACCTAACCTTTCTTGTAAATCACGATCATCCATATCCCAAGCTTCAGATAAAGTAACTAATTGTCCTTCATCAATACTATCATATTCTTCATCATCATCATCTTCTAAATCTTCCTCATCATCACTATCAAGACCTTGTTTTTTCAAACTCTTTCTTTTATCTCTAATAGTTTGTGAGAATTTAGAATTTAAAACATCATAATCATCATCAGATCCTAAAGCTTCATCAGAATCAATTTCTTCATCTAAATCAACTTTAATATCATCAGGTAAATATTTTCTAGCATCTAATATACCATCTTCAAATTCTTTATATTGTGAATTATATTTACTTTTTTCATTCATGAAAATTTCATCTTTTCCATCATCTCCTGAATTATCTCCATCTTCATCATATCCATTTAATTGTCGTTCTGCTATTTGATAAGCATTTAAATATTTCTGAGCATTTCTCTTTGTCTTGGTTTTACCCTTACGTGCCATGATGATTATCTGTTGAGTTAGTGATTGGTTTAAAAGATGTGATTTTCAATATTAAAATTTTTTTTTTTTTTTTTTTGGGATTGATGAGATGGGACAAATACATCACACAAAATTAGATTACTATGGGGAGGAGGAGGGTGGACAAGGGAAATTAACAACAAACTGATACACCATAAGCAAGTTGACAAAATAATTCACCGAAATCAGCTATCATGACAAGCAGTAATGATATCAAGTCAATTTGGTATGAGTTTGGTATGAGTTTAATTCAAAAATACCGGTAGTGTAATTCCGATGCACGTGCGAGACACGTCGATTGATTATTTTCGAGTTTTTGTAACTTTTAAAGCAAAATAGAAAAAAAAAAATAAACAAAAAAAAAAATTTACTCTAATTAATCACAAGAATCCTTATTTAGGAACAACCAGCGGTAAGGAGATGTCGGAATTATTCAGGAGGTATAAACAAACTAGAGAAAGCAATGGATTAGGAAGATCAGAACCTCCACCACTACCATCTTCACAACAAGAACAACAACGAGATTCGTCGTTATATCCAAGTATGAGAAGTTTAGATGATTCAATAACACGAAGAAGAAGAACTACAGTTAATCAACAATCACGATTTGGAAATGATGAAATTGATCATAAATTCACAAATTTGACAAGTTCTATTAGTAATAATAGAGATAAATTAAGTGGAAGATCTTATAAAGATGTTCGATTTAGTGATCCACCTTCGATTAGATCTAATCATACAAGATTTGATAAATATCTTGAATCAAGAAATGGTAGAGCTTATGGGATTAAATCAAGAGAGGAAGAAAAAGAAGAAGAAAGATTAAGATCACCTATTAAATCATTAAATAATGGAAGAACCCTTAAAAATAAAGATTATTCAAGAGATAGATTATCAATGTATTCTACATTAGGAAGTACACCAATTAGAAATAAATATAAAGTTTCAAAAAAAGTTCCAGATGATAAACAATCAGGGATTATATCTAGATTAGTTAATTATTTTACTCATCATGATGAGGAACAAGAAGATGAAGATGTCAAATTGTTGAAAAGAACAGCTAGGAATGTTTTAGATATTGATCCAGTACAAGATGTTTTAGATCAAAGTTATGAAGATAGAATAAGACGTGAATCAAGAATCAGAGAAGAACAAGAACGTTTAAAACTAGAGGAAAAATTAAGAATTCAACAAGAAGAATATAGATTAAGATTTGAACAGGAGAAGATTTTATTTGAAGAAAGAAAAAGACAAGATGAAGAGAGATTAAGAAATGAACAAGAAAGATTTAAAATTGAAAAGGAACGTTTCAATTCAGATATTGAACGATTGAAATTAAAAGATAATGAAAAGATATTAAAATTAGAAAAAGAATTAAATGATTATCGTAAACAATTAAAAGATGCTAAATTGGAAATTAATTCAAAAGATACAGAGATTCAAGAACTTCATTATCAAATTGATGATTTGAGTGAAAAATGTGATTCTTTAGAACATTCTCAAAATGATAAATTAACCATCATGGATGAAAAACAAAGAAAACTTTTATTTGAAATTAAAAAATTAAAAGATAAATTGGATGCTAAGAATAAAGAGAATTCAGCTTTAAGATCTGAAATTGAAGAGTTTTTAAACCTGAACTTTAAATAAGACAGCTTTTGTATTGATAATAATAATATTAATAATAATAAACGTAATAGTATTTATATTCAACAAAACATACATATATGTAGTGGTTGATTATCATCTTGGTTATACAGCACCAAATTTACTGGCAAATTCATCATATTTATGTAAACTTTCAGGATCAACACTTGGCTTTATATATTTCAAACTTGCTTCAAAATCTTTAAATCCAATTGGCCTAATTTGTTCAATTGGTGTACTCAAAAGATCCCCACCAAGTTCTCGAAGTGGTCCCATGGCTGCATCTTTAGCTAATGTAGTAATATCACTACCAGAAAATCCATCAGTTTGTTTAGTTAATTCATTGATTTCTTCATCACTAAGATTACTATTTTGAAATTTCAATAATTTCTTAATTTGATTCAGTCTTGTTTCATCTTCTGGTAACGGGATATAAAGTTTTTTGGAAAATCTACGTCTTGCAGCTTCATCAATACTCCATGGCATATTTGTTGCACCCAATACCAACACTCTACTATTATCTTCGCCCTCTCTTGCCGCAGCAGCTGATGATAAGTCACTCCATTGAACTAAAAATTCATTCTTGATACGACGACTACTTTCAATTTCACCTTCTGATCTTGCAGTAAGTAATGAATCAATTTCATCCATAAATATAATTGATGGTGCTAATTTTTTCGCCAACAAGAATAATGCTTTAACCAATTTTTCTGATTCACCAAGATATTTAGAAACTAATGATGCAGCGGAAACACTGAAAAATGTACTTTTTGATTCTGTGGCAACTGCTCTTGCCAACATCGTTTTACCAGTACCTGGTGGCCCAAATAATAACATCCCTCTAGTTGGTTCTCTTAATCCTTTAAATAAATCAGGTCTTAAAAATGGGTATACAACGGCTTCTTTAAGTGCATTCTTAGCTGTTTCCAACCCAACAATATCGTCCCAATAAACTTCATTCCCATGCACAACAATGTCACTTAAAATATGTTCGGCAGAATTCTCATCAATACCACGAATTGAAGAAATAAGTTCTTTACGAGCATGTTCATCAGTAAATGGATCCGGTTCAGATGCTGGTGGTGCTGTTGCTGCAGGTGTTGCAGAGGATGATGTTGCTGACGATGGTCCTTCATCAGTTCCTTGTTGTTCGTCATTCTCATATCCACTTAACAAATCATCCATGGTTGGACTTGCTGGAGTGACCGGATCCAGCCTTATCTGTGTTGGAGGTTTGACAGCTACTTTATTGCCATTGGTTTTAGGAGTTGTACCATTCGTCCTTGGTTTGGTAGTTGAAGCAGCTGGTTTCTTTTTCGGTTGAGTAGTTCTAACAAAATTATATGTAATATTTGATTTTTGTTTGGGAACAGCAGAAGATTTTGCTGGTGTCAGTTGTTTCATAAGTTTCTGAATATTCATAGGTTTTGGTTTGGTATAAACATAAGGTTGTTTTGGTTTAGTTGATCGAACATCAGATGTGCTCTTTGAAATATGCTCTTGTTTTGCTGGAGGTCTATGTATTCTTGGAGGGGCAACAGCTACTCTTTCAGGATTTATAATTGGTTTAATGGTTAAATCTTCTAAAGAATTAGATAGGGCCTCTCCATCAGCATTTAAATAATCATCCAAATCAATTAAATTAGGTCCATCGTCTGAGTAGCTGGATAAATTTGAAGAGGTTCTTGAGTCAAATTTCTCCCAATTCCCACTATTATTTCTACTACTTGGAGTATATGTATCTTGATCGAAATCTTGAAATAATTCATCTGGTTTTAATTTAGATTTGGCTATTTTATATTTTTCTTGAGATGTTAGTGGTTTAGTCCATGATGCTGATGCTGCTGTTGATGCTTGTTGTTCAGATTGTGGTTTTAATTTTGGTTGAGGCTGATGATGAGCACTATAGCCATTTGGACGCAAAGATTTCATCATTGCTCTCGGAGCACTTGAGCTAGATGGCAACGAAGAAGAATGTCCATGTCTTAAAGAAGTCTGCACCACTTTACCTCTTGATGGAGGAGGGATTGGTGCTTGCTGTTGAGGATTTGCATCTCTGTGTCTCTGCCTATTGACTTCATCTAATCGTAACTGTACTCTTATCAAATGTTTGACGTTTTCATCTCTGATTCCCTTTAATTCATTCAATATTGTCTTTTCTTCAGGTCCAATCTTGGACGATAATTTGTCAAATAGATCTAATTTGTATAATAAAGATGTATGTAAACTTTTCCAACCTTTCAACGCTTCTTCGAATTTTCCTTGTTCTTCCAAAGTCAAATTTTTGATTGTGAGGTTGCAACAATCAGAATACGTTTGTTGAAGTTCTTCCAAAGTAGATAGTTGAGGCGGTTTCTTTCTTGAAAACATTATAGTGGAGATTCACAATCGTCTATTCAGTTCAACCCAATGCAATATTCAACACTTCCAAGTGACAATAGACTTATTGATCTGATCCGTAATCTGGTTGTAAAGATGTTGTCTTTGCAGAAAAAAAAAGAAAAGGGATTCACATTTTTTCGTTCTATTTTTTTTTTGTTCTCTGTTCTCTGTTTGGCTTTGATTTTGATTTCCTCTGTGTGTCAACAATGAAAATCAATTTTGCTGTGTGTTGTCTGGCTGTTGTAAAAAAAAAAAAAATTCTCTTGCGGCTAACATGGAATTTTTTTAGTGATCGCTAACAATTACGTAATATAACATTGTTGCCAGTTTATCAAACAGTTGATAGGTTACTCTTGAATCAAAACAACTTTACACGGTTCAAATTGCTCACTCAAATCTACACAAGAAGATGGATGCAATTCCATCAAACGAGAGTTGAAAAAGAGAGTAGAGATTGGATGTAGTGATATAACGGGACACTTTAAAGTTTCTAGACCTTTAAAATATTCTTAATAACCACAGATTGATCTGTCCGAACAATTTATCAACAATTTACCCACCAACATAATCAATAAATCAAACAAATCCTCTCTAACAAGTCACTGAATGAATCAGAAATCAATGAAATTTCCCTAACTTAATAGGCGAAACCATCAAAATCAATCCATTATAAGTTAGCAACAAGCTTTCAAGTCTTAGTTGAACGAAAGGCATTGATCATATTGAATACATTAAAAATAAATTGCCAAATTTCTGTAAATTCGGAGGACAACTTTCAAAGAAAAAAAAGAAGAAAGGGAAAACAAGAAAGAAAGAAAAAATTTATTCGACTCTCGATGAGTATTTATACTATCAAAAAAGTCGTGTAAGTGTGGATAAACTTCTCTTAGGGTTTCAGGTTGCCACTTGTGTCGTGTACAATGTGTCAATTACTGATTTTATATATTTTTCTTTTGCTTGATATGGAAATATGTGTAGGTGTAGTGTATTTTTTTTTTTTTTTGGTATTTAAGTTTCACGATTTTTCTTTTTATATAAGCTATTCATTAATTTCAACAGACTAGTACTCAACCATGGTGGAGGTCAAGGACATTATAGTACAAATTGGAAGTGTTGTGGTGTTTTTATTAGAGGTATTCTTTAGAAATTCAATAACATTTATCGTTCATGCACAAAGAACATACCCTGAACTAACCAATATATTATTCTTATTAATTGGTGTTTATATTTTCTATCGAGTATTGATTAGAGCATTTAAAACATGGTTTAATTTCTTAATCATGACCATTAAAACATTATTGGTTTTATTTTTCATTTTTCTTGTTTTCATTATTTATATACGTGGATGGGAAAGATTTATTAATCAAGATTTGCCATTTTTAAAAAATTCAATTTACCATTTATGGAATTTAGGTAATCATGTTAATGAAAATGGATTTAATTTATGGAGTTTGATAAATAATGTTAATTTTAATGATTTTTCTCAAAAAGCAGAAGAGAAGTTTAAAGAAAATATCAATGAACCAAATGCTTATTTTGAATATATGAATAATAAATTTGGTAATGAAGATGGTGATGAGCCTGATTTTAATGATATTCAAAAAATGGTTGAAGAAGGAATTGATTATTTACAAGAAAATATTGATTTAAATAAATTTGGTGGACATGTTCAAGATTTTTTAAACAATCTACAATAAGTGTACAAAAAAAAAAAATATACGTGTGTATATGTGTGTGGGTGTTTTATTATTCTTCTGGTTCTTCATCTATACATTGTAGACCTTTATCTTTGACAAATAGGTTTGTAATTAAACAGATAGCTAATAATGGGATTGTTAAATAGAAAAAATTCCTAATTGATGTCATGTACATTTGTCTAACCACCACAACTTGATCATGAGTTAGCACAGAAGTATCAATTTTGGAATAAATATGATTTTGCATATAATTTAAGTAATCATTTGGTAAGACACCTTGTGATCGTTGATGATTAATTTCAGAAATTAAAGTGTTACTAATTATTAAAGAAGCAATAGCTAATCCCATAGCACCACCAAATGATCTAATCACATTTCTACAACTTATAACAACAGCTCTTTCAGATTTTTTAGCTTGACTTTGAGCAGCCACCATAGTTGGTTGAAAAGTGCAAGCAACCCCACTTCCCATAAGTAACAACACAATCACTATAATTCCATAATTTGTATTCAAATCAAATAATAAAGTCAATCCACAAGATAAAGTCCATATTGAATATCCAAATATAACAACATAAATATAATGACCAGTGTAACTTATTATCTGACCGGAGATGACTGAAACCACAGATTGTGGTATAACTAATGGTAACATCAAAATAGAAGAATGAATTGAATCCAACCCTCTAACAATTTGATAGTAATAAGCAATATAAAATGTAAATCCATAATAAGCCATTCCAAAAAAGAAATTTGAACCTAATATAAGAGCTAATGATATCCTTGTAAATAATGTCATTGGAATCATGGGTAATTCAGGTATTTTCCATTCAACAAGTAGAAATACAAGAAATAATGCTCCACCAATGGTAAACATTGAAATTACCAACGAGCTATTCCAAGGATATGTTGATCCACCTCCACTTATTGGAATTAACAATAAAATAATACTTGAGCAACCAAATAATATCCCCCAATAATCTAATTTTTTAAACTGTTGAGATTTTGTAATTATAGATTTTAATTCCTTTGATTGTTGTTTATTATCAATAAATATTAAATTAACAATCATAATTAAGAATACCAATGGACTCATCATATGATAAAAATTTCTCCATGAATTATTTTCAATAAAACTTGACATTAAAAAAGGACCAATTGAATTACCCAATCCAACACTGGCACCTAATATACCTTGGTATTTACCTCTTTGTCTTAAACTTACAACATCACTTAAAATAACCATACATAAACTTTGTATCCCACCACAACTTAATCCAGTAATTGCTCTAAATATAAAAAATTCAATTCCTGTTTTAACAAATCCACAAATTAAATCACCTATTGATAATCCAAATAAACATAAAATTAACATAATTTTTCTTCCGAAAATATCTGATAATCTACCAAATATTACTTGACATACTGTATTTGCTAATAATGAAGCAGTTGGGGCCCAATTAATTGTAGATTCACTATTTAAATCTCTACCTATTGTAGGTAAAGCAATAGTTAACCCTGTTTGATCAACAAATGATACAAATAAAGCTAATGATAAACATCCTAAACAAATTAAAAGTTTTCGAAGTGGTAGAATATTATAATGAACATCACCTAATTGTTCAGATAATTGTTTAACTTCTGCAATAGATTTCTCTGACATTTGTTATTACAGAACATCATTGGAAAGCAAATTTTTATAATCTACAAGCAATTCAGATAGGCTTAAATACTCTTTTGTCGATGAGTTAACGGAGTTATTCTTCCCATTTTGCAATCAATCGGAATTGTACTGCGGAGAAAATAGAAAAAATTCCGAAATACCGATGAAAATTTCTCAATTTGGGAAATCGGAAAGATTCATATTCTGATTATTGAAAATATGACATATTTAAATAACATCGATAGAAAAGAGGGGGGACTCCGAAATAGGTAGATAACTGGATGGAATACCCAAGTAGGTTGATTCGACTAGATATATATATATATCAATGTAGAGCTACTAATAGGGCAATCTTGAGTTACTAAGAGACATAAAGAAAAGGGTCGTGTGTATTAGTACAAGAAAGAAGAAGAAAAAAGAAAATTTTCTTTCCAACAAATCGTTGGAGTAAAATATGACCTCAAAAATAAATCTCTGCTTTTCTTACTTTTATAACTTATGTGATTTTATAATATAGTGTGAAAATAATTATGTCATCCATGTATATGAATTTGGTTTGGGTAAAGACCTAACTTACTAACCAAGCATTATCACTTCAATTAGTTGAAGTGGCAATGAAAATTAATCATCTAGCATAATCAATATTTTATACTCATATTAATATATATATCTCATCGTTATTCTATTATATTATGAAAGTTATTTTTGAAATTGTAGTTTGTTTTGTAATTAATAACATATTCTTCTTTAATTATATACTAATTTCTGATCTCTGTTCCTCTTTGTTGTGTTAATCAATACTGATTGGTTAACATTTTAGTTTTGGTCACGTTATTTAGTCGTGTCCAAGGTTCAAATGAAATAATAAGGAGGGGCGAGTGGTGAAGAGGGAATTCTTTGAACGATCCCAAAAAAAAAAAAAATCATGTTGTTGACCTATAAACATAGTAGTTTCTTACTCTAAATTGAATATCGATCTTATAAATTTCTCGAGCATGGAGAGAATTGGGATATCTTATCATGAATTTCAAAGATTGTCAGGAGCCTAATTAGCATGACGTCTTTGATTAGTAACTAACTTTTCGAAATTGATTTCTAGCATTCTGAATTTTATTTATATATCTATTCAATATATACTACTGTTATTAATATTATAATTATTACTTTAATGAATTATATTATCCCTTGTAGAGTTGTAAAATCGTCTTCCAATGGTATTGAACATTGGTTGTATATCACGTGGCTAATATCATGTGCTTGGTTTTCTTTCTTTTTTGTGTAGAAAGAAAGCCACGGAACAACTACGAAAAAAAAAATTACTGCAAAATGAAAACGAAAAAGAAACGAAATTTTTCAAATGTGGGTACAATAACCACAGTGATATGTAACGACAATGCTTATAATTATGAATAATGATAATGAAAATAAGAAAATGTACATTAATTTTATAATACACAACAAAGGAAAATGAAATAGAAATGATCATGTTTTATTTTCGATTTCATACATTACGTCGTCTTTTGAAATTGATATATAAATAATGTATTTGTGTTTTATCTTCTTTTGTTTTGATTTTATTACATCTACATGATCATCATGAGGAGAAAAAACTCAAAGGATGAAATAAGTGAAAGCATGTTTGTTTGATGTTGTGTAATGTGTAATGATATTACTTTTATAAGAACGATGATGATGATAGAGATGATGTGTGTGGGGGGAGGAAGTGAAAATGGAAGAAGATAAAAACTAAAATTAATGAAAGGTTTTGATATTCTTCAAAATTTCATTTATAATTACTAGTTGTTGCTAGTTGGGGATAGTTCTCAAATATAGATAATCAAGCACACCAACATAGTAACTGCTGAGTTTATTTAATTGAATCAACGAAATTTGGCTATATTTAAGAGATAAACTGTAAACTGTATAGCCTAAGTAAATTTTAACAAGGGATAGTTTACAACGAAGTTTCTTTTTGTTTTTACTTAGTAAATGTACAATCTGCATATTGCCTCTTTTAATAAAAGATAATCAATTCAATTACTTAGGGGGTGTAAACGACGATTTAAGCCTGGTAGAGGTATAAAGAAAACAAAAAAGTTTAATTTTTCAATAACTATTAGATATGCATTTAACCAAAAGTAGTATACCTTTGTCTTAGAGGGCCGGCGCTGCCACCGCTCAAATGTAAAATAACCCAAAAACATAGGTTAGAATTTCTATATATACCTTTTCACAGAAATGCAGAAAACCATTACAATTATACACAATTATAATCTGTGTAATTATCTAAAAGTGTACTATTTTTGGAATTTACATACATATATAAGGGTTTATGTTTTGCGTTATCATGATTTGAATAAACACAAAAAAGGAATAGAAATCCATTTAGAAAATATTGCAGATACTAAGTAAATAGATATCCATTTAATCTAGACAGGAGATAAATTTCTTTTTATCATGCATGAATTGAAATATAGTGCTATGTATAATCATTAAACAATACAGAAAAGTGATCATAACGAACAAAGTCTCTGCTTCTAATTGTAAACAATCATATACATGCATGAAATGGAGTATAACGTGTAATTTCCAAATACATATAGAATACTAAATCACCTTGACGATATAACACAAATGATTTAAACTTAATGGTGGAAATTTCAAATGCAGAAAGGATAAGTCTAATTGTAAATTCTAGAATTTAGAAAAGTTCACAGAAAACAACAGTTTAATACTTGAAACTCACTCAAATGGCCTGGAATAGTCAATTTATCCGGATTTAGACGACTAAGATGAAATTCCTTATGTAATATCTCGGTGTTCGGTGTCAGAAGCCATAACTGATGTTCTTCTGTAATTTATACACTAGTAAGTACTGAAATATTATGGTGAACATTATGATTGTAAAGAGAGAGAATTTTGGAAGCCGTTTTTTTTTAGACCAAGATCGACGATCTTAGATCTTCGGTTGAGATCGAAATTAAAACTTACATAATGAATAATATACCCAAACCAAGGGTTTCATTTAAAACAGATAGAACCCAATTTAAATGTGGTTGGTGTATATATCATTCGGATGATCATCTTCTATTTTTTTTGTATCTGTCTCATCATTATCATCAATCTCATCAATTATATATATCAAGTCATCAGTTGATATAGCAAGCAACAAGTAACAAGCAACAAGCAATTTCGTTTCCTAGTGCTTTTCAATATCGTGCATTATAAACACAACAACAACAACCAAAAAAGAAAAGAATAGTATTTCCAATTAACAACAGAACGCATTTAAGTGGACATTCGAGAGTTTCTTAGTTTCGTCTATACAATCTTGAAAGAGAGACACAGAGAGCCAGTTTTGATGTATACACAAAAGCAACAGTTAACACGCAAAAAGCAATATGAATACTTGCCATAATCTGAAATTCGTGCTATTGTTATATTCGTCATCTATCGTTATACCCTTTTTATTTATACAAATCAATTGCATTCGCATATACATGATGTATGCAATTTTGTTTATAGGAAGATTAGACGATCAAACGATTTTTTTTTAAAAAATAATAAGCATGATTTTTTTAAACAGGAAACATAGACAACAAACGAGAAAGAGCAACGTGTTGTTGTTAATGCTTGCTACATAATGCAAATGATTACCTCTTGTTATGTGAGTTGAACAATAGATTCTAATGGTTAACAAAAAAGACATGATCATTTTTGTTGTAGTATGCAATGAGCACCTAAATGCCTCTGACTTTTGAGCACCCCTAATCACTTATCTTGGACTAATACTACCATTCTTATATTTGCTGGGCTTACCGTGTAGTGACAATGGATATAATTCAAACACGAATTAAATTGAAATTCCTAATCAGAATTTAGTACTATCTACATATTATCTTGGTTTTTAATTCCTTTTTTTTATCAAACTCAACAATTGGCGTGTAAACTTTTCTTCTTTAGTAATTTCTTAAAAATATAGACTTCACGAGTTGTAGCATATTTCCGAACTAGACTTTAAAAAATATTACAAACCAATAAACACAAAACTTATGCTAATATTTTCTACCATTTATTACCTTTCTATGTTGCTCTTGAGATGTAATTCCTATTATAATTGAAATGATTCGGGGAGTATAGAGCGTCGTTAAAGATGTACTAACAAAAATAGAAAGAGAAAGAGAAGGAGAGGACTAAAACTCTCAAGAAAAACTTTCATCTTACCTCTAGGGCAATATGAATATGTTAATGTATAAATTAATACTAAAAATGCGTGTATGTATGTCTCTGAACTATATAATTTTGGGTCACTTCACTAAAATAAAGGAATGACATCATGATCAACCAACTTTAGAAAAAACAAAGTACTCTCTTGAGAAGATCAAAGGTTTGTTGTCTCAGTTCGTATATTCACTAAGGTTATTTCGTCTAGAGAGGAAGGGTTCTTCAGAACGTGGCATTGTTTTCCCAGAGGGCTATTCTAGTTTGTATCATTTCAACAAATATCTATTATTAGAAACAACTTTGTATTTGCTAGATTTAGTTCGAACTATTAAACTTTCGAATTATCTCAATTTAAAATATTTACAATTTTTTTTTATTCAATAAAAGGCACATATCGGTTTTAATTCTTAATTCAGTAAATTTATTCTGAACAATCATATATTTCAAAACATACACTCTTCACAATGTTTACCTACAAGTATATGCTCACCTTCACATACATATACATGTTCACATACATATTCATTAACATATACGTGCAGTTACTGGTACTGTTTACAAAGTTAGATGATCGAACACAAAAAAAAAATAAAAAGCCGAAATGTATAAATAAAAACAAGTAATATTTTCTTTGGGCAACATGCAAATGTATTGACCCAAAAAGGAGTTGAAGAATATGTATGATCAACACACAGAAACAGCAACAAATAAAATAAAATAGAAAATAGAAAACAGAAAAGAGAAAATAGAAAAAAGGATTTATCCAGGAAAGACAA